CACCTTCAACTACGAGAGCTACCACGTCCTGCCTGAGGTACGGACGCCACCGCCACCGACAACTGCAGCGTCACGCACAACATCAACAACAACAATAAAAGCACAATAGCACCACCATCGTTAAAACCGCTAAAATAAAAAAAAATAGCGCCAACATCACCACAGCCAACGTTGACAATTCCACCGATGTCAACAGGCGCGACACAAACACCACCAACTGCGGCATTAACGCCACCAGCGACAGCTAAAATAACAACACTCAAGTGGCCTTGCCTAAACATGGCAATTTTGAATAGAAGAAAACTGCCACATTACGGTATCAATCCCCACCCCCACCCATCTCGTCGTCGTGCGGTCGTGCGCAGATCAACACGTGGATGCAGGACATGGTGCGCGAGTACCCAAGCCTCGTGAGCCTCATCAACATCGGATCCACGTACGAGAATCGCGGCATCCCCGTGCTCAAGGTAACGGAGCCCCGTCCGTTGTACCCCCCCCCCGCATTGTGCCCCCCCCCCCTCGCTGTGCCCCCCCCGCGTTGTGCCCCCCACCGCGTTGTGCCCCCCACCGCGTTGGCTTCATCTGGTCCGTTCGTCGCGATGTATTGACGACGAACGGCTTGCGATGCCCACTCCGCATTTCCACCTCGTCCAAAACGCGCGGCCGTTACGCGCGCACGCGCGCGCGCTCTCTAACATTCGCCCAATATCCAGCGCCTCGCTACCAGCAGATGGCAGCGAGGCGGTGCCGGGCCGAGCTGCCCGTTCTCGCCGTTTGAACGTGGCGGCCACGGGAGAGGGAAATTCGAATGAGCAAGGTGACGTCCGCCGCGTAGACGGAGCGATGAGACGGATATCGGCTCGTGCACGGGCACCGGCTCGGTCGTTGCCTGGCGAGGCCTTCACGCGCCGGCGAAGCGATCGTGACCGCCGTGCGTGCGTGCGTGCAGATCGGCGCTGGTGGCGGGTCCAAGCCGGCCATCTTTGTGGCCACAGGCATTCACGCTCGCGAATGGGTCACCGTGGCGACGGGCATCTGGATCGCCAAGAAGGTACGGGAGCCCCGGTGGCTGTGCGGCGATGCCGCCGGCGATGATGAAGGGTGAATGCGGTGATGCTAGTTGTGACGATGATGGTGGTGGTGACGTGGATGGCGATTGTGAGGATGATACAGGTAGCGATGATAGTGTTGTCTCTGATGGTTATAATGGTGGTGATGATACAGACGGTGACAGTGGCGATCATGATCGCGTGTGTTCGTGACTGATGATGACTGCTGACCAGTGGTGCCATTGACGATTATCCTAGGAAGCACCGTGGTGCTTTCAGATAATGATGATAGTAGTATTGTAGTGACATGAATGACTCATGATAATAATGATTAATTCGGACATTTCTGATGACCGAAGCCGATGATGATGCTGACCAACCCCCCAAACCCCCGCAGCTCGTGAGCGAGTATGGGCAGGACTCGGCCATCACCTCTCTGCTCAACACCATGGACTGGTACTTTGAGATCGTGGCCAACCCCGACGGCTACGTGTACACCCACGAGCGTGTGAGACTCTCCCCACTTCCCCCCACACACACACACAAAAGGCTGCCCCGTGCAGCCCACGCAGGCCGTCGCAAGCGACGCAGATGGCGCAGTAGCAGCGTACGGCTTATACGCACACCACCGCCGCGGTGTTAACCAGGGCGGCCTGGCACATTAAAACCGTGAAACTCTTACCACGGGCACGCTACCACTGGGCCACGTCTCTCCCTCCGATGACCCCGCTGACCTCTGAACTCCGCCGTGCAGGACCGCATGTGGCGCAAGACGCGCTCCCAGTATTCTGGAAACTCCTGCGTGGGAACCGACCCCAACCGCAACTTCGCCGCTGGATTTGGAGGTAGCCACCCGCCCCCCCCGCCCCTGCACCACACCCGCTCCCTCGTGTGCTGCGCCGGTCTTTATGGTAGCTCTTGCCCCAACATCCCACGTGCGCTGCCCAGGCGACCTTTGCGCGCTGTTTGACTCGCGAGTGCAGGCCCGGGCTCCAGCAGCAGCTCGTGCACGGAGACGTACCGCGGACCCAGCGCGCACTCCGAGTCGGAGGTGCAGGCCATCGTGAACTTCGTGCAGGCTCACCCCGAGATCAAAAGCTTCCTCGACATCCACTCCTACTCGCAGATGCTAATTTTCCCCTTCGGATACAAGAACGAGCTGGCGCCGGACCACACCGAGCTGGTGTGTATGCCACTGCGTCTTTGTGTGCGTGCGTGGTGCACCCACCGGTTAGCGCGCCGCGCCACGCTATAAACCCGGCGGCCCGAGCTCGATTCCCACTCACGGCCACCGACATCAGTGACAATTATCTGAAGCCGTCCCGGGCCTCCCCTAGGTCGGCTCAGCCTCGAATGAGTACCCGGTGCAGTGTGTAAACATCGCCACTCGGGAGACAAAGGCGGCCGGGCGTGTTGTTGACCACCCACCCCCTCGTGTGTGCCGTGCCGGCCTTCGTAGGCGCTCGTTAACAGTACTCGCCCCAACAGTACGGTGAGGCTATATGGGGGATGTTTGTCTTTGTGTACAGAACAACCTGGCTAAGTCGGCGGTGACTGCCCTCACCTCCCTGTACAACACCAAGTACACGTACGGTCCGATCATCACCACCATCTGTGAGTACTCGCCCTGGTACACGCACCCCTGGCACACGACTCATGCCGGGGGGACTCGCATGCTCACGGGACTCACGGTGGCTCTACAGCAGCGGTTCTCAGAGTGGGGTCCTCGGAGCACGAGTGGTCCGTGACGGTCCTGCACGTGTTCCGCTGGGCTGTGATGCAAATGCAGGCTGATCCGGACAAAAATAGAGGTCGACAAACTGAGCACCACTTTGTAGGGAAGTCAACAGCGGTTGTCCGTTGAAGTCTCACCCCTGCTACAGGAAGATGGAATTTCTACCAATGTCAACAAATGACCACCGCTTCCATGCTCATGTGAGCAGGAAATCACTTTCTGTAACTTTACACCAGCGTTTCCCCGTGCATGCCCCATTGGATAAGTATGTGTGTCCGTCTGTGTTCCGGCCTTCATAGGTGCACGCTAACAGCACTTGCCTCTACAGTCTGTTAAGACTATACGGGGGATCTTTGTCTTTGTGTACTCATGTAGCCCTCGCTGTACGTCCCTCTGCGTGTACCCATGTATCACTCCCTCCGTGTCCTTGTGTATCCCTTTGTCTTTGTGTGTCTCTGTGTATGTGTCCCTATGTGTACCCATGTATCACTCCCTCCGTGTCCTTGTGTATCCCTTTGTGTGTCTTTGTGTGTCTCTGTGTATGTGTCCCTATGTGTACCCATGTATCCCTCTCCACGTGCACCAGTCAGCAAATCACTTTGATCAGTGGACTCACCGACTGACCTCACTCGCGTGTGTATCGTTACCACCTCCGACTCGTCGGACACAGACCAGGCCAGCGGCGGCTCCATCGACTGGACCTACGAAGCCGCCAAAGTCCGCTACTCGTACTGCTTCGAGCTGCGCGACACGGGCCGCTACGGCTTCATCCTCCCCGCCAACCAGATCCTGCCGACGGCGCAGGAGACCTGGCTCGCCATCAAGGTGATCGCTGAGCACGTGCGCGACAGCTCGTGAGGGAGGCGTGCCGACGGGCCGACGGGGGACGGTCACGCGGAAGAAGCCTTGACGGCGTTACCAGTTCACGTGTCAAGTTGCGTTCGCCTGTGCCGCACTCTGCCCTGACCTCTCGCTGTGACGCGATCCCCCCAGGGGTCGTGACACCGTGACCCCTGTTCCAAATTGAAATAAAACTGCCACATTTCTTTGATGCAACACCCCGGGTCTTCTGTGAAGGTGACGATTGGGATGATGATGGCAAAAAATATTTGTGGTGATGCTGATGGGGGGGTGGTGGTTGTGAATCATGAATATCGTGGAGTTGATGGTGAAAATGTATGTTTGTACGTTGAAATTCTTACGCACCGTGCGTAGCCAACCGTGCTCATCAAAAGTGCAGGGAAAGGGCAACAAACACAAAAAGCAGTTCTAAAGAAACGCGTTTTCAATCTGGATGACTGAAAAGTGCATATAGCTTCAGTGATTTCCTAATATCGGAAGGAAGAGCATTCCAGAAGGCCGCAGAAGCGCATCTGGAAGTGCGCGATGCGGTGACCGTCTTTGTTCAATGGCTAGCGAAAATCCGCTGATGGTGGTTGTCATGGTGATAATGATCGTAATCATGTGTGATGATGATAAGATGGTCATCAAGATCATGGCGGATCATGGTGATAATGATCACAACGGCCGCTCATTACAGAACCACGAGCACACACTCAGGAATTATAAATTAATTGTATTTAAATAATTCTTCTCCACATTGCACGCGGTCAAAATTCACTTCCCCCTCCCCCCCCACCGACACCTGCCTGGGTATCGAACCCTCATACCAATGTAAAGTGCAAACCTCGCGCTCCCGTGCCAAAACAACGAAACGAGACTCGACGCGACTCCGGCGAGACGTGCGGTCACAAAGTCCCGAGGACAGTTCCACGCCGCTCTGGACATAGCTCAAAGGTGCAGCCCGGCAAATTTGCTGCTCGGGCCGCTGCTGGTGGGAAGCCCTTCCACTCGAGGGAGCTCTCGATCCCTTCTAGACGGTACTTGGCCGACTCTTTCGCACACCGAGCCAGAAGTCTCCGAAGAGGTGGGAGTACCCACACTTGACCCCCACCACACGCAAACCAATCCTACTGGTTTGAGGCGACCACATTTTTGGAGGCTCTGCGGCAGGGGTGGGGAACGTCCGGCCAGCGGGGCCGTATGAGGCCCGCGAAATCATTTGGTGTCTGGCCCTGCCAAGGCAACCGCAAGCGGGACTCGAAATTCAATAAGTCTACGAGCATACCTGGAAAAGCAGTTGCGAGTGGCAACATCAATACCAGCTAATATCACACGTCTTGCCAAAGAGAAGCAGTTCCAGCCATCGCATTAGGGGCGAGTTAATTAAATGTTTGACCAAATATAACAGGCAAATTTTTAAGTTGATAATTTAGTATGGCCCGCGAATTGTTATATCCAAATGGCCCTTGGCAGAAAAAAAGGTTCCCCACCCCTGATTCTACGGTGACACGTGGTAAACTGTCAGCTCCTCCCTCTCTCTCGTCAGCCCCACCCACGTTTTACAGACATCCTCACTCATTCACTAGCCCTGCCCCCCACCCAGGTATCTCCGCCTACTACTTGGGTAGCTCCACCTCCTAGTCGGGTAGCTCCACCCCCACCCAGGAACCTCCGCCTACTACTTGGGTAGCTCCACTCCCTAGTCGAGTAGCTCCACCCCCCCAGGTATCTCCGCCTACTACTTGGGTAGCTCCACCCCCTAGTCGAGTAGCTCCACCCCCCCTTCATGGTGCAGTGGGTTGACACGTACATGCTCAGGACTTCCCAAAAGCCTCTGCTGACCGCCACACAAGCACACGCGTGACACACTGTGCACACACAATTGGGGACCTGTCACTTCAACTCTTTAGAATAGTGACTCCATCCCAGCACACGGCTGTAACAGTCGGACCTCAGCAGCTAAGCAGGTTTAAGCCTGGTTAGTACTTGGTAGGGGTAGACACGCCACGAAAGGCAAGTGCTGCAGGCTTGAACTGCAAGGTGCAGCCAGAACATGCCAGAATATATTGTATAATCCATCTGTGTGGAGAATTCAGTGTTTCTCCCCGTACGTGATGAGGTTTTCTCCGGGTTATCCTGGTTTAACGCCAAATGACATTCACCAACATAATTGGCCAAAGATCCCAATGTAGCAGAACACGACCCAGAAGAGCCTCACTCAGTCTGGCGACTCAGTGAGGCTCTTCTGGGTAGAGGGCATAATTATTTATGGCAATAGCCTTCGCCCTAGCCTAGGCCTAGACTAGGCCTTGCCCAGGCCACCCACTCGGTCATGACCAAGTGAAGTGATGCCAACCCCTGCAGCATTCACATTCCAGGACCCGCAGGTGCTGCTCGCTACAATTTCAGTCACATTCTAGGGCCCATAAATTCGCTGAGACAAACACGGGTTGCACACACAAGGGCAACTGCTACTGACCAACAGCAACAAAAATGAACAAGCACTAATAAATAAAATAAACATAAGATAAACACACGCAGTCATACACACACAGACACATGGTCACACAAATAGGGCTGTGGCCGAGCCAATATCACAGCCACGCTCTGGAATATAGCGTTTCTCCTCCGCAAGCGGTGGACACATGGGCGAAATGAAAAGAACGACTCCACAGTCTGAGGTCGCCAACCATCCATCAATCCATCTGTGCGTCCTCACAGCTCCGATCGACCATCGGGGGCAGCAGCAGCGGAGGAGGAGGGGGGAACCTCATCATGGCCTGAGCCCCAGGGCTGGGGCTCCCGACCGGGCCACGCGGAGTCAGGGTGGGCGGGTCGCACGGGGTCACGTTGACCCGGCCACGCGGGGTCGAGCAGGCGGGACTGGCGCTGGGCGTCCGGGTCGACGTTCACCCAGAGTCGTGCGGTCCAGCGGGCGCCGCGCACGACTGCGCAGTCGCCCTGCAGAGAGTAGTCGTCCAGCTCGCCCACCCAGCCTACACAGACAAAGTTCCCCGGTTATCACCTTTAACAGACTGCATGAGCAGGTGCCGTGAGAGAGCGCCTACTGAGGCCGGTACGGCACACGAGGGGGTGATATATGGCCAGCACCACGCCCGGCCAGCGCTGATTAATTACAAACTGCATTCGATGCTCGTTTAAGGCTGAGTAAATCTATGATCTACGCAGCAGTGGATAGAGCACGGCTGATTGTGGTGTGCGACTGTCCAGGACCCACCACGGCCGTCCGACAGGTGGTTGTACCACAGCAGAGCGCTGCCAGCGTGTGGGGTGACGCGCAGGTTGGCGCGGGAGCAGTGGGCACGCATGTCGCTCAAATCCACGTCGCCTCGCACCAGGTCCTGCGCCCACACGCACAGACACACAAAAGACAAAGATCACCCGTATAGCTTTAACGGACTGTTGGGGCAAGTGCTGTTCGGGGAGCACCTATGAAGGCCGGCACGGCACACGAGGGAGGGCGTGGATAGCCAGCAAGCACGCCCAGCCGCCTTTGGCTACCTTGTGGCCAGGGGCGGAGCCAGGGCGGGTGACAGGGGTGACATTCTGCGTATAAGTGTACGACACTCGGTCTGGCGGACTCCGTGCAACTGCATTGTCAAAGTGTGTCGCCAACCGATGGCGTTTAGTTCAACAGCCTGACTCTCTAATCATTCTTGAAATTAAAATTTGTTGAATGTCACCCAGGCCTGAAATTCTGGCTCCGCCCCTGCTAGTGGCAATATTTACACATCGTACCAGGTATTCATTTAAGGCCAAGTCGACCTAGGAGAGGCCCAGGACTGGTTCGGATACACCCCACTGTTATTGGCTGTGAGCGGGAATCGAACTTGGATCGGCAGGTTAGTAAGGCAATGCGTTAACTACTGCACCACCGCTGCGCTTTCCACAAACACGCACAGACGCATGCACGTGCACGTGCGTGTGATCACACTTGGACTCAAGTCTTTATTTCTTATCGTGTGAATATTTTTGGAGCACGATGGGACAGTCAACTTAGCCGTGGCCAGAAATAGCACAGCACACACAGACACACACCTCGCTCACCATTCATACATACTCAGACACACTACTCACTCACGCATACATCACCACTCACACACACTACTCATACATATTTCGATTTAAAGCTTTCGTGACTGCAAGGATTCATCTTCTTTGGTTCTTTCGGTAAAGTCACGTAGAATGAGAATAAAATAATAAATTGATAAAATAAAATAACACAATAATACTCATACATACTTCACTCACCACTCACACACACCTCACTGACCACTCATACACAATACTCACACACACAACTCACCACTCGCACACATTACTCACACATACCCCTCACCACTCACCCACCACCCACACACCTGACTCACTCTCCACTCACACCCCTCTCCTATTCCCGTCCCTTCGCTCACCGAGGAATCGAAGGTCCGGTTGTCTGCGGCAGGAAACGCCGTCTCTCCGCCCTCCTCCACGTCATTCAGAAACACCAGCACCGTGACATAGCTACACACACAGACACGTGACACCAACACCGTGACATAGCTACACACAGACACGTGACACCAGCACTGTGACATAGCTACACACACACAGGTGACACCAGCACTGTGACATAGCTATACACACACACAGGTGACACCAGCACCGTGACATAGCTACACACACACAGGTGACACCAACACCGTGACATAGCTACACACACAGGTGACACCAGCACCGTGACATAGCTACACACACACACAGGTGACACCAGCACTGTGACATAGCTACACACACACAGGTGACACCAACACCGTGACATAGCTACAAACACACAGGTGACACGAACACCGTGACATAGCTACACACACACAGGTGACACCAGCACTGTGACATAGCTATACACACACAGGCGACACCAGCACTGTGACATAGCTATACACACACACAGGTGACACCAGCACCGTGACATAGCTACACACACACACAGGTGACACCAGCACTGTGACATAGCTACACACACACAGGTGACACCAACACCGTGACATAGCTACACACACACACAGGTGACACCAGCACTGTGACATAGCTACACACACACAAACACAGGTGACACCAGCACTGTGACATAGCTACACACACACAGGTGACACCAACACCGTGACATAGCTACAAACACACAGGTGACACGAACACCGTGACATAGCTACACACACACAGGTGACACCAGCACTGTGACATAGCTATACACACACACAGGCGACACCAGCACTGTGACATAGCTACACACACACAAACACAGGTGACACCAGCACTGTGACATAGCTACACACATACAGGTGACACCAACACCGTGACATAGCTACAAACACACAGGTGACACGAACACCGTGACATAGCTACACACACACAGGTGACACCAACACCGTGACATAGCTACACACACAGGTGACACCAACACCGTGACATAGCTACACACACACAGGTGACACCAGCACTGTGACATAGCTGCACACACACAGGTGACACCAACACCGTGACATAGCTACACACACACAGGTGACACCAGCACTGTGACATAGCTACACACACACACAAACACAGGTGACACTAACACCATCATGGTGCGTGCCACCCCCCACGTACCGGCATGGCGTTTCCGCCGTGTGGTGGTGCTGCGCCAGCATGCGCGTGTGGGCACACACGGTGCGCGCGTCCGTGGCACCGCTGTCGCGGTGGGCGCGCTCGTGCCCGCCCTCCGCCAGCACGTGCACCTGTACGGGCTCGCCCGCCTCCACCAGCGCCCGTGGCAACCCCGTCAGGTGCACTACCCTGCGGCGGCAACAGCAGCAGCAGCGGCGGCGGCGGAAGCAGCAAAGGATGAGCAAGAGCAGTATCAGCAGCAATATAGCCAGAATCAGCGCTGTCAGCATCACTGCAACAGCGCCAGCACTTTGCCATGTCACCATGCCCACGAGTACCACATTCACCACGAGCAACACCGCCACCACTGGGCTAGCACCACCAGCATCAAAACCACCGTCAATATCACCACTATCACCACCCACACCACCCTCTCATCCACCGGGTATGCCCGCACCCCGCCCGCCGTACCTGTCACTGAGCGAGCGCAGCACCTGCGGGGCGCCGGCTCTCTGGTTGAGCCACGCGTTCCACGCGTTGGTGCGGTGCGCGTCGCCGGTGGCGGCGGCGTCGTCGCCCGTGGCGGCGTCGTGGCTTCCCGCCGGTGGGGCTCGCACCTCGTGCAGCCCGGCGCGCCGAGCCAGCTCCTCCAGCTCCCGGCACTCGGCAAGGGAGAGCATGGCCGACACTTCTACACGCACGGGTACACGCACGGGTACACGCACGGGCACACGCACGGGCACACGCACGGGCAGACGCACGGGCACACGCGGGCACACGTCGGGTACACGAGCACAGCGGCGGCAGCAGCAACTGCTGGGGTGGCAGTGGCGCGTAGCAGCAGCAACTGCAGCCGCCACGCGCCACTGACACCCCTTTTCCACTGGCACATCCGAACCGAGCCAGCGTGCGTCCCCCCTCATGGTGCGGATCGTTTTCCACTGGCCATTTCCCAAGCCGATCTGGACCCAAACTGCGCTACGCCGCCCTTACAAAACGACGTCGGAATCAACTCGGGGCCAAGCAGGGCCATGTACAAGGCTTATTAAAGGGACAGAATGCATCATGGTACCCGGTGTGCCTCGCACTCACCAAACAGCAGAGGCTTGAGGCTCAGCGTGGTCACATGACTCAGCACCCCGGGCACGAGGTGACTTGCGCGCACGTGACCTACCTGTGGGGTAAGGGGGGAGGGGAGTGGGGTTATTATGAAGCACCCATTTCATTCTCACACTTCACCTCTCAAATCGCCTCCCGTTTACTATGCCGCCGTCTTTTCAAATACCTCGTCCTTATATCTGTCCGCGGCCTTGCCGCACCTCATCTCACCTCGTTTTATGTCCCCCCTCATCCTCTTGGTTTCCAATCTTCTCTCGGTCCCTCCTCCTCCCAGTACCCAATCCCCTTTCCGCTCCTTCTCCCTCCTTGCACCCCTCTGCTGGAATTAACTCCCCCTGTATATTGAGCAGCACAGCCCATTGACTCAGCACAGCCCATAGACTCAGCACAGCTCATAGACTCAACACTACGCATAAACTCAACACTGCACCATAGACTCAACACTGCACCATAGACTCAGCACAGCCCATAGACTCTACACTGCACCATAGACTTAACACTGACCATAGACTCAACACTGCCCATAGACTCAACACTGCACCATAGACTCAACACTGCCCATAGACTCAGCACTGCACCATAGACTCAACACTGCACCATAGACTCAATACTGCCCATAGACTCAGCACTGCACCATAGACTCAACACTGCCCATAGACTCAACACTGCACCATAGACTCAACACTGCACCATAGACTCAACACTGCCCAGACTCAACACGCACCATAGACTCAGCACTGCCCATAGATGCAACACAGCCCATAGACTCAACACTGCCCATAAGTTCAACACTGCCCATAAATACAACACAGCCCATAGACTCAGCACAGTCCATAGACTAAGCACTGCCGAGAGACTCAACACTGCACCATAGACTCAGCACTGCACCAGACTCAGCACTGCCCATAGATACAACACAGCCCATAGACTCAGCACAGTCCATAGACTCAACACTGCACAAAAGTAGACTCAACACTGCACCATAGACTCAACACTGCCCATAGACTCAGCACAGTCCATAGACTCAGCACTGCACCATAGACTCAGCACTGCACCATAGACTCAGCACTGCCCATAGATACAACACAGCCCATATACTCAGCACAGTCCATAGACTCAGCACTGCTCATAGACTCAGCACAGTCCATAGACTCAACACTGCACCATAGATACAACACAGCCCATAGACTCAGCACAGTTCATAGACTCAACACTGCACCAAAGTAGACTCAACACTGCACCATAGACTCAGCACTGCCCATAGATACAACAGCCCATACTCAGCACAGTCCATAGACTCAACACTGCACCAAAGTACTCAACACTGTCCATAGATACACCACTGCACATAGACTCAGCACAGTCCATAGACTCAACACTGCAACATAGACTCAACACGCACCATAGACTCAGCACAGTCCATAGACTCAACACTACACCATAGACTCAGCACTGCCCATACATACAACACAGCCCATAGACTCAGCACAGTCCATAGACTCAACACGCACCAGACTCAACACTGCTCATAGACTCAACACTGCACCATAGACTCAGCACCCATAGATACAACACAGCCCATAGACTCAGCACAGTCCATAGACTCAACACTGCACCATAGACTCAGCACAGTCCATAGATACAACACAGCCCATAGACTCAGCACAGTCCATAGACTCAGCACTGCCCATAGATACAACACAGCCCATAGACTCAGCACAGTCCATACTCAGCACTGCACCATAGACTCAGCACTGCCCATAGATACAACACAGCCCATAGACTCAGCACAGTCCATAGACTCAGCACAGTCCATAGACTCAGCACAGTCCATAGACTCAACACGCACCATAGACTCAGCACTGCCCATAGATACAACACAGCCCATAGACTCAACACTGCCCATAGACTCAGCACTGCACCATATACTCAGCACTGCCCATAGATACAACACAGCCCAAAGACTCAGCACAGTTCATAGACTCAACACTGCACCATAGACTCAGCATTGCCCATAGATACAACACAGCCCATAGACTCAGCAGTCCATAGACTCAACACTGCACCATAGACTCAACACAGTCCATAGACTCAGCACAGTCCATAGACTCAACACGCACCATAGACTTAGCACTGCCCATAGATACAACACAGCCCATACACTCAGCACAGTCCATAGACTCAACACTGCACCATAGACTCAACACTGCCCCTGTACATTAAGCAGCCCCCCCCACCTCCCTTAAAGCCTCCCCACCTCTTCTCCACTGCCCATTCCCTTCCTCTTCCCTTCCCTGGCCCCTCCACTCCTTGGCGTCCCTCCCCTATCGCCCTTTCGTGTGACCCCCCCCACACCCCCTGGGCGTGCCCTCTGTTACGGTCATCCCCAATTCATCGGCCCTTGCATGGCCACCTTGACACACCACCCCCCCCCCCCATTCTCTCGATCGCCGTCACCGCCGTTCAACTCTGTAAAGCGCCTTCAGCTAAGGCGGTGCGCTCCGTAGACACCTAAAATAAGATCGGATTCCATGGCTATCAACCCATACGGTTTACCCCGTATTCTTGTAGAGGGAAATTTAGTTTTTAGATCCATACGGCGTACAGCCGTTTCAATACGGGCAATAAAATGTGTTTGTCTATTTGTGTTTCTGTTTCTGCCTTGCGATGGGACTTTGTGTAGGATGAACGTTGAGATGTATAAGGGGCACGGGGTGATCAACACGGCCTGAATTGGTCTGTAACAAGCTGGGCAGCAGTGAGAGGAGATTGACGGCTATGGAGATGTGGAGGGCGGGCGTAGTGGGGGGTAGTAGTGGTGGGGGGTAGTGGTGGTGGGGGGTAGTGGTGGTGGGGGGTAGTGGTGGGGAGGGTGTAGTGGTGGTGGGGGGGTAGTGGTGGTGGGGGGTAGTGGTGGGGGGGGTAGTGGTGGGGGGAGTAGTGGTGGGAGGGGGTAGTGGTGGTGGGGGGTAGTGGTGGGGGGGGGGGTAGTGGTGGTGGAGGGGGGTCCCCACCTTAATCCCCTCCATGCGCGGCAGCTGGAAGGGAGGCAACCGGGGCCCCCTATGCTCATCCCCTTGGTGGCCCCCGGCGCTCCGTCGTCCCGTGGCGGGGGGCGGCGGCGCGGCCCCCTCGGCGTGGGGCTCGGTGGGGTCCCCGCGCGGCCCCCCGCTGTAGTGGACGTACATGAGCAGCACGATGATGTTGAGGATGTAGACGTGGGCGAACACCATCACCGCCACGAAGTAGGCGCGCGAGCACACGCCGCCGTCGGCGCGCCCCATCGCAGCTGATGGGGGGTGATGGTGGTGGTAGCGATGGTAGTGGTGATGATGGTGATGATGATATGGTGATACTGGTGGTAATGATAATGGTGATGATAATAATGGTGGTGATGATGGTGGTGGTGGTGGCGGCGGCGAAGTTGGTTTTGGTAATGGGTTGGACTCCTTTTTTCGTGTGGCTTGGTTGATGGTGGTTGTTGGTGGTGGTAACCGGAGCGACGATGATGACGGTGATGTTCGTGATGCTCGCGGTGATGGGGGGGGTTGATGGTGGCGATGCGAGCGATGGTCGCGTCCGTGTCCACGTGATCACGTCAGCAATTAAAACCCCGTCACGTTGCTGACGATGTTATTGATGTTGTTGTTTCCCGAACCGCGATGAGGCCTCGCCCGCGACGACGGAGGCGGCGCGCTAATTGGTCACGTGACGCCAATTAACTCGGCCCGGATCACCAGGCGCCGGCCTCACCACCGGCGGCGCCGCCTCGCACCGAAACAACAACAAACAAACAACGTGCCGCGGCTTTAAGCCTCACTCCCGCGCACCACAATGAACGGACAGAAATGTCGCTAGGGGTCGGGGGGGTCAACCGGTTGCTCGTTGTTGCCCGCGATTGATCGCCGTTCGCCGGCTGCAGCCCTGAGGCCCCACGGCTGATATCGCCGCCGGTGACGTCAGCGCAGACAGAGGCAACTGCACCTGGTGGGGTGGGGGGGGGACCTAAACCGTGGAGCGAGGCCAAGCGTGTGACACGAGTCGGTGTTTTCAAAAGCGTGTGAGCCACTGCAATGGCTCGCTCACGCCGCCGTTCGCCGGCCGGGCGGCTGCAGCCCTGAGGCCCCACGGCTGATATCGCCGCCGGTGACGTCAGCGCAGACAGAGGCAACTCCACCTGGTGGGGACCTAAACCGTGGAGCGAGGCCAAGCGTGTGACACAAGTCGGTGTTTTCAAAAGCGTGTGGGCCACGTCTTGAAGAGGCAGAGGCGCAGCCCTGCAATGGCTCGCTCACGCCGCCGCTGACGGAAGGGGCCTCCCACTGAGCGGAGCTCTGAAAGGTGCTTTGGCCTACTCTTCCACGGTCTTAGCACCAGGACCAAGATTTTTCTCACACACCCCCCGCCCCCCCCCACAGATCAATGAATCAGGAATTTCGTCTTTTTTTGTAACCAAGTGAGAACTCACAAAAAGAGACCAAGATGATTCATCATTCGCGAGTGTCAACTGACAAGTTACAATCCCGGTCACGAGCTGGCGTAGCCAATCATCTCTCCTGAGGGTGGATGGAACGCGTACCACCTTGCAGTTATTTCACAGCGGCGTGCGCCATAAAAATATGGATTGTTCACCGCTGGGCTTGAGGCTGCCAGCCATGACGATTTTAATAAACTTCTCCCCACCCCGCCCCCCATGCAACGTGACCGGAGGGAACACGAGGCTTGTGAGGGAATCATTGTTCCCCCGATCGGCCTTGGGTTTCACGCAGGAGCCGCCAAAACAGTGGCGGATCGGGGGACATAAGAAATGGGCGTTAATACAACCCTACAACCGGTAAAAAAAACGGATTGAATTTGTCAAATTAATAATTTGGTTACATTTCGTATCGGACCGCAGGTCGACGGCGACCGCCCTTCCACACACGGGAGTCCTCCGCCAGCAGCAGCAGCAAGGGCGATGCTGCTGCTGCTGCCGCCGCCGCCGTCCCAACCGAGTCATCCGCGGAGCAATATTTCATGTTGACCGCGACGGCCGTGAACGATGTCAGACTTCGTCTCGAACGGCATCGCGGCGTTCCGAAACGTCCGCCGCTGTGAAGGAGACGGCACGCAGTGTCTCGTGTGGTTGATGCGCACCCACGGTAATTACCGCGGCAGCCTGCCAGATTACGACCACGCGCACCCCAGCAACACGCGGTGAACAAAGTAAGGCCCTGGTTAAATTAAAGAGCTTGGAATTTCAACGCTACCCTCCTCCCACCTCGGCAAGTTTCCATGGCCACTGTCTGGGTCAAACCTGCAAGTCAAGACGCGCATACGGACGGGACAAAGCTCGCGATAAAATTTGTACAAGGTTTATTTCGTTTTTTTTAATTCGCTATAAATTAGTACAACCTGCGAATACAAACAAAAACAAGAAAAATAATAATACAGTAACAATAATGAGAAAATTAAACCCCAACGAACCCTCTCGGTGCAGAGTGGGAGACATCAAATCACCCACGCGACGTCAGAAACGGCAGCATGCCCAGCTGCACCGACAACTCAGGCCGATCGGGGGGGGGGGGGAGGATTTGGGTATTGCAAGGGGGGACCCCCTCCCCCCCAAGGGGTTGGCTGGGGGACGGGCGGGGGGGCATTTTACAAATTTTGGGGGTCTGACCGGCTCCACATGGTAGGGGGGGGGACTGTGATGATGCCGCAGATGTTAGTAGAAGCAGGGCAGCATCTACCCGAGGAGGAGCAGTAGCCAAGGCAATGGGAGCTGTAGCCGAGACGGTAGCACAGAAAGTGGGTTTAACTGTGTGGAGGAGCTGTAGTCAAGGTGATCGCATGCATGGTGGTTTCATTTAACACAAATGAATCCAGCAGTCTGTCCACTGAGAGAGGTTAAATTGGGGGTGGGGGTCAGGGGGGCACTGGGGCAGCTTTTCTGAAATAGCCCTCCCCCCTTGTAGAGCCCCCTACGTGTGTGGACTGTGTTTGACTCCGGTCAGTGGTTGTATCAGGCTTGAGGGTCAGGATCCGGTTGCAGCTGGCGAAGTGGCTCGGAGGGTCGGTGGGCCCCAGGGACAAGTTATACCTTTTATCCACTGGCACATCAGAGCAGAGCCAGCACTGGTCCCCTTGTGGTACGGGTGGTTTTTCCACGGGCCAATTGCCAAGCCAAGCCAGAACCAAACCATTAAAAACTTTGCCCAAGGACAGGGCGAATGACTCATTCGCTGCGTGCAACGTCAGCGGTTAGCACCTCCATCTTACGCTGTCCCGAACCGTGCCGGGCTGGCTCAGCAAGGCCCCGGCGCGGCTCAAGTTGTGCAGTGGAAAAGCGGTAGCAGGGACGAGAGGCAGGAGGGAGGGGGGGGGGTCTCGAGGTGGTGCCATGCTTCTCTCCCCCGAGAACCTTATCTTTGTACCGTGCCGCGCTGTGCTCACTCGCGCGCACAGAGACAAGGTGGGCGAGGAAACTCTCACTTGCGTACGCGCTGGGGGCAGTGGCGCACGTGCTGCACGGGTGTAAGGTCAGGAGGGCGCGCGTGCAAGAGTGCGGTTGCCAGTGGGTAACACTGCCGCGCGCGTTGATGCATTCCGATGTGGGTTTGTGATGGCTGCGCGCACGTGCCGGCATGGGTGCGCAAGTCAGGGTGTGCGTGTGGCAAGAGTTCGGGTGTGTGTGCTGTGCGTCGGGGTCTTCGCACAACTTCGGCAGGTGTGGGCATAGGTGTGTGCGAGGCGTGCGCCGGTGTGTTTGTGCGTTCCAACAGGTGTGTATGTGTGTGCTGGCGTCTTCACACACTGGAGCGGGCGTGAATGCGTGTGTCGGCATGTGTGCTTACACGCTAGTGTGGGTGGGGTGTGCGTGCGCGCATTCCCTGTGCCACTCAGGACATGTCGTGGAAGTCTTTGAGCAGCGTGAGTCTCCTCTTCTCCGCGATGTTCATCTGGTTCTCAAGGTCCTGAGGACAAACGAACACAATCACAATCCCCCTCATCATTAACACCGTTAGCATTAGCATCAACATCCGCATCAGCTGACTGCCGTGGTGTTAATGGCAGTTGAAACAATGGGGCAGGTTTCTGAAATCCCTCCACCACTGCGTCCGCTGTCCATCCAGCAGTGTACAACCGCAGTTAGTCGGTCACGTGTGGGTGCGCCCACCTCTTTCGGGCCGTGTGGCCAGCCTGAAAGAGTAGGCCATATGCCCTCTAAAGGGGACCCTAGAGCTCCCTCTTATGCTAGCAGTGGCGTGAACGAGCCATTGCAGGGTTTCACCTTTACCTTCATCATCATCATTAATGTGTATGACCCAACCACCTAGAAAGTGCCTGGTGTCAGGGCGCGGAAGCCAAGCAGCGTTGAGCCTAGATATACCATTTGGATGGGCGACGACCACGGATAGCAGCTGATTATAATATAGCTACACGGCAGGCAGCAGTCGTCCAAAATCTACAGTTGTACCGTACTTGTACGCTACCACGTCAATGCTCCCCACCTTTGCCAAAAACGAACATTGACCAGCCTGGTGAAGTAAGGTCAAACAACTTCCACAACCCACACGGAGAGGCGGGAAGGCCCTTATCCAGCAGTGGAGTTGACACAAGGGCAGTGCGTGCAAAAGCGCTCACCCCGCGATCGTAGCTGTCTGCTCGCTCCACCTTCCAGGACAGGTTCTCAATCTCTGCTTCGAGCTGTGCCTGTTGGTACTCGAACTGCACACAGGTGGACGGGGACACACACGCACTCTGTTCATATATGCAAGACAGATAGGACACATACAACACTGCCTCGCAAAGTTACATCAGTCACACACACAGTTACAGAAAGACCCCCCTGGAAAATGTACATACTGATAAGGCAAGAGCTGTAAGAGCACCTACAAAGGCAGGCATGGCAAACAAGCACATGGTGGAGTTGACATCATGCCCGCTGCCTGTATGTATGTTGAACTTCTTTCGCACTGTATGTAGCCAACCGTGCTATCCGGCGGTGTGGGGGAAGGACAAAAACTAAACACAAAATGCAGTTCTAAAGAAATGAGTTTGCAATCTAGATGATTTAAAAGTGCATAGCTCCAGTGGCTTCCTAATATCGGAAGGAAGAGCGTTCCAGACGGCCACAGAAACGAATCTGAAAGCGTGCGATGCAGTGACCCGCCTTTGTCTCCCCAGCGTCCATGTTTTTTTGTTTACACAGCAGCAGGGACTCATTAAAGCCCCGAGTCGAATGTGGGGAGGGCCCAGATCCGGTTCAGATTATCGCTCACGGCTGAGTATCGAACATCGGTCGCCAGGTTTGGGGCGCAGTGTAGTGCCAACGACAGCGCTAAACCGCTTGGCACAGACCATCACTCCCTCTGTCAAACAGACGCACACTCGTACGTTGGTGAAAGCCAACGCGCGCGTGTGGCAGGAACGCGGCCGGGTGGACGGTGCTGCAAGCGCCTATTGGGCGTGCGAAGAGGGGAGGACGATGTTGTCACTCACGAGTCGTTTGCGCGGCCCGGCCTCCATGTAGTACGCGTAAGGGTAGGTATACTGCAGTGTGTACCGGCACTGCATACACACACACACAGGCACATGGGGGCTCGTGAACAACACACAGGAACACACAAGCACAAAGACGGGTGAGAGGGCAGTGGGGGGTGAGAGCTGGTGTGGTGGCGGGGGTGGGGCAGGAAGGTGCGGGTGAGATGAGGGTCAGAGTCGTGGTGTGAGGGTGCAGGTGAGCGTGTGGATGAGGAGCATTGGCAGGTGGGTGAGAGTGAAGATTGTGGGCGAGTTGGGATGACGGGTGGGTGAGAAGGTGGGGGCGGATTGTGAGGGTGCAGGGGAGGAGGCTTGGCGAGTGGGTGAGCGGGTGAGAGTGATGGCGAGGGTGAGGGTCAGGTTGGTGAGTGAGCGAGTGGGTGAGCAGTGCCAACCTTGGCGAGCAGGCGGGCTGCATTCTGGAGGTATTGCCAGTCGATCCACGTGCCCAGGTTGTTCATGACGCGCTCCGTTATTTTCTCCTGGATACGCGTGTACGTCTGGGCCTCCAGCTGCAGGCTCTTATTGTGGTTCTCCCACTGAGTGGACAAATAAAAACACAAAGATCCCCCCCATAAAGCCTTAAGAGATTGCTGGGGTAAGTGCTGTTAGCGAGGACCTGTGAAGTCAGGCACGGCACACAAAGGGGTGGGTGGCCAGCACCATGCCCAACTGCTTTTGTCTCCCCAGTGGCAATGTTTACACATCACACCAGGTACTCATTGGAGGCAGAGTAGACCTAGGGGAGGCCCGGTACCGGTTCAGATAATCGTCACTGGCGTCGGCCATGAGCGGGAATCTAACTCCGATGGCCGGGTTCGTAGCGCAGCGCGTTAACCGCTACGCTACCGTTTTACATAGATCTGGGTGAACGTCTGCTGCCCTCTGACCTAACCGACACCCTCCGACGGCGACGCCCACCACCGATCGACCTCCAAAAGGAAAACCGCGCTCCATCTCCCACCGGCGGCGTAACCTGTGCCCCCTCTCGCTCCGCCCACCCCTCACCCTCTCGAAGTAGAAGAGGTACTTCTTGAGGGCCTCGCGCGCCTGGGCCTGCTGGCTTTGGTTCACGATGTCGGGGTTCTCCTTGTAGCGGCTGCACTCGTAGTACTCGCTGCCGTGCGTCTTCCAGTCTCCCAGGCACATCCAGCAGAAGTCTGCGCACACAGCGGATGGCGGGCGAGTTAGCGGCGGCGACACTTACGATCCGCCAAACCGCCGCCCCCCTCCACGGTGCTGGATTAGAACAAACGGGTGGAGAGATTTCCCGCTGCTCGAATGAGCTTTGAGGTTACTCACCTCCTGCTTATCGCCCTGTTTAATGCCAGTGCTGGCATTAAATGCCAGTGCTTCATAGCGCATCGGATTTCTCCAGAATAAATAAACATTCCGAGTCTGAATTTCCACACTCCAATGGCGGGGGGCTGGACTATCCATAGGACAACACCACTATTCATGTCCACCCCCACACAAAATGGTACTCGTTTTATCAACCCCGGACGGAGAGATGATGGGTCGAGTCGATTCCCAACCAGGATTTTAACTCGCCACCTTCCGATTGCAAGCTGCTCTCTCTACAGACGAGCCACGCGGGCGTGCTGGTTTACGGGCGTGCCGAGCCACCAGCACCCAGCTGATGATGGTGGTGGTGGTGGTTGGTGGTAGTGATGATGGTGGTGGTAGAGACACGTTGACCCACGGGAGAGCCGTGCAGCACTTACCGTGCTTGCACTTGGAGCATTGCTGTGGGTTCCGCGTGGAGGCGGCCAGTCGGGACACACGGAGGTGGAGGGGGGGGGAATAGGGGGGAGCGGGTGGAGGCAAGGGAGCAGAACATCTCGTTAGGAGACATTAACTCAATAAGTGCTTCCATAGCGAGGTGGCCGGCACCGCTGAGGTCATCGAAGCAAATTTCGCTCGAGCATCGTTACTCTTAAAACCGCGCGGTCGTGCCAAGGCCGCCGTCAAGACGTCGCTCACCATGTGGTTACAGCCTCCGTTCTTCTCAATGCAGATATTGCACTTGGGACACTGTGGGGCACAGACATACAGAGTGAGAACACACAAAACAGCAAACACAATGCACGGAGAGGCAACAGTGAAGTCTCACGCACCGGCACAACAACACACACACAGCACTGAGAACCGCACGATCACAATCAGCACCAATGGTCTTACCACATTGGGCACCACATAAAGTGCCCCATACTGATCACCGCGCCAAGCGCCACGCGCTTAGCACCGACCCCACTTAGCACCACTTGGGACGGTACCTGGTACCACAATGAGCACTGCACGGAGAACCACACTAGGCACCGCACTCACATCCTTGGTGTGCGCGCTGATGTAGTTGGCGGTCTCCGAGTCATCGGCACACTTGGTGAGCCACCGGCGGATCGTGTTGCAGTCCGTGGGAGCGTGGTACATATGCCGGCACTTAAAGCTGCACACCAGCACAGCAGACACACACACACACACGAGTTACACACGCGCACAGCAGAGTTGCAAACACACGCACATACAAAGACAGGGGCGTGTAAGGTAAGACACAAAAAAGACACGCAGATGTGTGTACATGCTCGCTCACAGCACTTGCCCCTACATTCTGGTAAAGGCTTCATTGACAGAACTGCCGTCCCGACAGTTCTGTCAATGAAGCTTCAATGAAGCGCTGTCGTCTCGACAGTTCTGTTCCTTCACCTGAAGAAGGCTACTTGTGTTGTGGCCGAAACGTCGTGAGAATTTTATTGTCTTATTTTGTTTTATTGTTTTATTCTCATTCTACGTGACTTTACCGAAATAACCAAGAAGATGAATCCTTGCAGTCACGAAAGCTTTAAATCGAAATATTTATCTATGTTGTGTTTGTGGGGAGTGGAGGCGCAGCAGTTAGCGTGCTGCGTTATAAACCCGGCGACCTGAGTTCGATTCCAACCCACGGCCAACACCAGTGACGAACTCGTCCTGGGCCTCAATTGGTCGATTCTGCCTCAAATGAGTACCTGGTGCGGTGTGTAAACATCGCCACGTGTGCTGTGCCGGCCCTTCATAGGTGCTCCTCGCTAACAGCACTTGTCCCAAATGTCTGTTCAGACTATACAGGGGATCTTTGTCTTGTGCAGGTGTGCAGGTGTGTATGTGTAGGTGCGCGTGTCACCAGAACGCGTGGCTGCAGCGGCTGCACTGCACGCGTCTCGCCTTGGGCTCCCCGACCTGGATGACCACGGGGCAGTCGGGCCCCGGGCACATCTGCAGCTGGTAGTGCGACTGCACAGCACGCACACCACACGCAAAACGTACCAATTCATAACGCAGTTCATAACACACGACGCGTAGCCATGTGCAACACACGCGGCTGTGACGTGGGACTGTTCGTATGATGAGTGGTCATGACGATGACGTGGTAGTGTTTCTGTAGCGGTGGTGTTATGGTGGTATTGCTGTGATTGTAGTTGTAGTGACGGCATTGTAGAGGAAATGGCAACAGTGGTGTTGCTGCAATAGTGGCGACGGTGGTGGTGGTGCTATGTTGGTTGCAGTAGTGGCGGTGGTGGTGTGGCGATGGCGGTTGTGGCGATAATGAAGATGAAGACGGTGTTGCTGCGGTAGTGGCGGTGGTGGTGTGGTTACGACTATGGTGGCAGTATTGACGATGACAGCGGTGGTTTTGCTGTGGTGGTGGTGGTGATGGCGGTGATGTGTGTGGCTGCGCACCTCGATGTAGTCGCGGAAGAGGAACCTGCGGTATTTGTCGCGCAGCTCCCCCTCGCCCAGCATGGGGAAGACAAAGTCCTCTGGGGCACGCACGTGGCAATCACGGGCCATGCAGGAGATACCTACACACTCACACACATACACACGTGGTTATTAGCACACCTGAACTCTCACACACATTTAAAGATAAAGATCACTCATATAGCCTTAACAGACTGTAGGGGCAAGTGCTGTTAGCGAGCACCTATGAAGGCTGGAACGGTACACGAGGGGGGTGAGTGGCCAGCACCACGCCCGACCGCCTTTGTCTCCCTAGTGGCGATGTTTACACACCGCACCAGGTACTCATTTGAGGCTGAGTCGACCTAGGGGAGGCCCAGGACGAATTAAGATAATCGTCACTGGTGTTGGCCGTGAACGGGAATCGAACCTGGTTTGCCAGGTTCATAGCGCAGCACGCTAACCGCTATGCATATACACACACACACGTGGGTATTAGCACACAGACACCCCCCCACCAAGACGCCTACTGTTGGGGCCAATGCTGTTCGCGAGCACCTATGTAAGTATACTGAACTTCTTTTGCACCGTTCGTAGCCAACCGTGCTGATCGGGGATGGGGACCATGCTAACAGCCGCAACGGTGGACAAGGGGGTGGGGGGTGTGGCCAAGACCACGCCTGACCGCCTTTGTCGCCCCCCGATGTTTACACACCGCGCCAAACATAGATTTAAAGACCGAGTCAACTCGAGGGAAGCCCAGGACCGGTCTAAATGTTCACCACCGATGCTGGCCTCGAGTAGTAATCGAACTTGGGTTTCATCGGGTTTGTAGGGCAGTGTGCCTACCACTCTACTACCGCTCCCCACATACACACAGACATATGCACATGCAGACATATCCAAATGTACATAAACACGTAGGTTTTCTCAGCCAATACCATGATTCAGATGTTTTTTGGGTTAGGTCACGTAATGATCTGGGCCAATATTTTTGTTTGAGACCCTCCACCACCCGACACAGCCAAACAGACTGTCACGCGGGGCGTCGTACAAGCATGTAACTCCGCGTCCATTATAACTGCTTCAGCTCATTAACCGTGGGCGAGTTGCAGAACATTTCTCACAAACCAAATTTCGCAGCAATTAGCTGCGATGCTTCGTCTGAAACTACGCCAAGCATCAAGTCAGAATAAAAATCCAGGAAGTTCGGGAAATTTTCCACTCCAGGTGTTTTATACAACCGGTCAGTGGCCCGTCTGTAAAAAAAAGCACCACAACTGTTCCACCCTTGGATACCGAACTTCACTCGGCACCAGCTCAGTCCGCCCACTCCCTTGTCCGCCCAATCGCCACCCTGCCCGCCCATCCAGCCACCCGCCCCCGACTCACCGACGCCCACGCCGTCTCGCACCAGCACACGGCAGTGTTCCTCCCAGCATGCCTTGCAGTACGCGTGCTGGCAGGCGAGGCTGATCAGGCTCTCGCGCCGCGTCGGCTGCAGGCAGACGCCGCACTGCTGGCCCTGCGTGCCGCTCGGCTGAAGGACGCGCGGGGGGGGAAACGCGTCACACGAGGCCATCGTCACACGCAGATGCACACCAAGCCCTCGACTACCCCGTGACACTTCAAGTAAAAACTTTAATTTACCAGGTCAAGCCAACTGAGCTATGAGCTCTTTATTGAAGAGGTAACCTGGCCACACATGATAGCTCATCGAAGTGGCTGATCACCATGTGGCAATCTATAGTTCGAGCCCAATCATTTTAAAGAATGGTTATAAATCTGGAGGGAAAACCCGGAGAATAATCAACGCGGGCGCAGGGAAAACACGCCAACTCCAAACATACAGGCACCATCAGGGTCGTGATTGTACCCACGATCTACTGCACAGCGACCATGGCACAACAATTATATGCGATATAAACCCACATTGGATTATGTGGCGGCTACGAGTGCAAGTACCGGCCAGCGGTAGCACATTTGCCGCTTAGTGCAAAGGTTCACAGTCGGCCACCCCGATTAATACTGTGGTATGGATTAGCCATACATGTACGAACCGTCCGCTTGACTCAGTGGATGTTAAAGATCACGTGACATCATCCACAACGAATAGGTCATTGTGTTGGCGTAATGGTTCAATAATTGCAAAATAAAAAAAATTACACTGCAAATTACTCCACTAGGATTACAACATTGCTGGCTAGTGGAAGGCTGAATCCGTCTGTGAAGAACAACGCTCTCATAATGGCCCTGTGCAATAATAATGGAGCGAACACCAAATGCACTGAACTATTATTATTCTCTGCATTATGAAGACAATTTTTCCCCAGTACACATGCGAAGGCAAAAGTTGGGGATGCGTCTTGCTCTCCGGAACACCTTACAATCCAGAGAACGCGGTAATATTCGTTGTACTGTACTGCAGCAGCGACCCTGCGGAGGGACGAGTGAAGGAGAGACTCACGGCCTTGGTCTGTCCAGGCAGGACCTTGGCCTCGATGAATTGCTGGCGTGGGTTTGTCCTGTGCCTACCGATACACATCGTGGGCACACAGCACAAGTGGCGTCACACGCACATGGCACTGGCAACGTTATGCACACGGCACCGACACAACACATGCTACGTCACGCACACACACCACCAACAAAACACACGCGTCGCACGAGTGCCACATACGTGGCACATGCGTGAAAAACATAGCAGCACATATGCGGCACATGGCCAGCACCCACACAACACACGTGCCACGCCACACACATTTCACGCAGGAATTGACTTTCTGACGCTGATAACTAACCAGCATTGAATTTTGATTTAAAGCTTTCATGACTGCAGGGATTCATATTCTTGGTTCTTTCGGTAAAGTCACGTAGAAGGGAAAAAATAAAATAATATAAAATAAAACAATAAACGTCGTGAGAATTGTATTTTTCATTTTTATTATTTTATTGTTTCCCTTCTACGCGAGTTTACCGAAAGAACCAAGAATAACCAGCATAGCTTCCACTGGCCGTGAAAATGTCTCCACCGCCCCCACATTTCACGGGCCCCCCACTCAACCAAGAATGGGTGGCTCCCTCCAAAGAAATTCCCAAACCACCCCTGCCCTCGGTTTGTACGCGGGAGCGAAGCATCAGACATCACGCCGAACACGCGGCACAACCTGAACACCCGACGGAGAGCTGAGCCTCTCCTACCCTTTCGACGACAATCCGCCCCCCAACCCCCTCTGCCCCCCCCCCCTGCTGTGCACACGGTAAGCCGAGCCCCCCACAGGCCGGCAAACACTGCACGGCTCTGGCTAAACTTAGCCGCGATGCGGACCGGCGGCCATGGCGGCGACACCTGCGATATCGCCACGCAACTCAATCCATCCCTGGGAAGAGACGCGGCGCTCGAGTGTGGATCGTTGCACGACGCTCGCTCCAAATAATCCTGGAGGCCGGGGCGACGAGGTTGACTTCATTATCATCTGGCGTGGGCCAATGGCGTGTGTTTTTTGTCTATGCTTTGCACAACTATCGGGCCCAGTTTCCTTCTGAAATCACGTTTCCCGAAGACGAAGCGTCGCGCAACGATCGTGGCGCGGGATGGCGCGGGTCGGCGCATGGACCCACCTCTCCATCATGTCGTGCAAGCGCCATTGGCATGCCACCAGCACCAGCTTGGCAACATCTGGCTGAACCTGGCGGGCGAGATGACACGGCAGCGTAAACATAAACACAGGCACATGCCTGGGTAACTCGGGCAGCCAGAATTAGTGTCTCTCACTCCATGACCCCGTGTCCCCTCTCAGACCTACCGTCTCCTCTTTACAACAGTATCTGCTCTCTGAACCCCTCTGACCCACGTGACTCTGTTTCTGACACGCTCCACAGCTCAATGCCTCCTTGTGTGATCCCGTCATCATGCTACCACCTATTTCAAGGAGAAAGTGGCCAAACGAACCTCAAAGCAAGTCACTAGATTTGTCACTATTCGCTTTGACAACCATTTAGCCGCGAGGTAAACCCAAAAACTCACTAGATCTGGTGACAGTAGTGCTGAGTTGCTCACACTGCCCCGTGACCCGCTCTGTGACCCTGCCCGTGACCTCACCTTTAGGGTGGCGGCCGCCTTGCCCTGCAGGTCAGAGAGGAGGCGCTCAGCCTCACGGTGCGAGAGGCACGAGAACTCGTACTCCTCGGGGTCAAAGGTCGTGTCGTCCACGTCGTCCACATCCCCGTCCACCCCCTCGTAGTAGTCACGGATGTCGCCCTGCGCATGTAAAGGTAAGACAAAGATCTCCCGTGTATCCCCCCTCCCACAGACTGTCGAGGCAAGTGCTGTTAGCGAGCACCTATGGAAGCCCGGCACGGCGAAGGAGAGGGGGGTGCGACCAGTACCACACACGGCCTTTGTCTCCCCAGTGCTGATGTTTACGCACCACACCAGGTGCTCATTAGGGAGTGCGAGCGGACGAGTACAAACACAAGAGAGTGAGTGAGCGAGGGAGGGAATGAGTGAGTGTATGGACGTATGTAGAACTTCTTTTGCACCGTACATAGCCAACTGTGCTAATCGGAGGTGCGGGGGAAGGACAACAAACTCAACACGAAAAGCAGTTCTAACGAAAACAGTGAGATTTAAAAGTGCAGAGCTCCAGTGGCTTCCTTATATCGGAAGGGCGTTCCAGACAGCCGCAGAATCGCATTTTAAAAGCATGCAATGCAGTGACCGTCTTTGTCCGATGGTTTACAAAAAGCCGCTGCGAGAATGACTGGAGCTTATGCGATGATTTATGCTCCTTGAAGGGAGGGTGAGAGAGAGGGAGGGAGGGAGAGGGCGAGAGAGAGGACGAGAGGGAGGGAGGGAGAGGGCGAGAGAGAGGGAGGGAGAGAGCAAGAGAGAGGGCGAGTGGGAGGGAGAGAGGGAGGGCGAGTGGGAGGGCGAGTGAGAGGGCGAGAGAGAGGGAGAGAGGGAGGGCGAGTGAGAGGGCGAGTGGGAGGGAGAGAGGGAGGGAGAGAGGGAGGGCGAGAGAGAGGGCGAGTGGGAGGGCGAGAGGGAAGGAGAGAGGGAGGGCGAGTGGGAAAGAGAGAGGGAGGGCGAGAGGGCGAGAGGGCGAGTGGGAGGGCGAGTGGGAGGGCGAGTGAGAGGGCGAGAGAGAGGGCGAGTGGGAGGGCGGGCGAGAGGGCGAGAGGGAGGGCGAGAGGGAGGGCGAGTGGGAGGGCGAGAGAGAGGGCGAGTGGGAGGGCGAGAGAGAGGGCGAGAGGGAGGACGAGAGGGAGGACGAGAGGGAGGGCGAGAGGGAGGGCGAGAGAGAGGGCGAGTGGGAGGGCGAGAGGGAGAGTGGGAGGGCGAGAGGGAGGACGAGAGGGAGGGCGAGTGGGAGGGAGAGAGGGCGAGAGGGAGGGCGAGTGGGAGGGCGAGAGGGAGGGCGAGAGGGAGGACGAGAGAGAGGGCGAGAGGGAGGGAGAGAGAGAGGGCGAGAGGGAGGGCGAGAGGGAGGGCGAGAGGGAGGGAGAGAGAGAGGGCGAGAGGGAGGGCGAGAGAGGGCGAGAGGGAGGGCGAGAGGGAAGGCGAGTGGGAGGGCGAGAGAGAGGGCGAGAGGGAGGGCGAGTGAGAGGGCGAGAGAGAGGGCGAGTGGGAGGGCGAGAGGGAGGGCGAGAGGGAGGGCGAGAGGGAGGGCGAGTGGGAGGGCGAGAGGGAGGGCGAGAGGGAGGGCGAGTGAGAGAGGGAGGGCGAGAGGGAGGGCGAGTGGGAGGGCGAGTGGGAGGGCGAGAGGGAGGGCGAGTGGGAGGGCGAGAGGGAGGGCGAGAGGGAGGGCGAGTGAGAGAGGGAGGGCGAGTGAGAGAGGGAGGGCGAGAGGGAGGGCGAGTGGGAGGGCGAGTGGGAGGGCGAGAGGGAGGGCGAGAGGGAGGGCGAGTGGGAGGGCGAGTGGGAGGGCGAGAGGGAGGGCGAGAGGGAGGGCGAGTGAGAGAGGGTCCAGCTCTCATCATGGCGGCCGCTGCTGCTGCTTCTCCTCGTCTCTGCACCGAACGCTGATTCCCTCACCGCCTCACCAGCACCACACACACCGAGAATTCGAACGCGGCCGTGGCGGCGTCGGCATTAGTTCACTCGCACCACACTGCAAACCCTCCACGCACTGCGGCATTGATGGTAATGTATACGAGGAAACAGCCGAGGCTCAATGATGGGTATCATGAAAGAAGACAAACCCACCCACAGCAGAGTGTCAATAAGTACCCAGCAAAGACTGAGGGTGGCGGTTACAGTCGTAATGACAAAATGCGGGACTCAAGAGATGCATCTCCAGCAAGCAAGATTCCTCGCAAGTCGAGCAGTCCTGATGTCCGGGAGCAGAAGACCAACTCCCTGCAGTCAAAGCCCAGAGACAAGTGCCGAGTATCTGGTGATGCTGTTGATGGAAGCTCTCAAAACCATTCTGCTCGCCCTATATCAAATTCACATGGTCCTGAACAACATAAGAACCCAGCTCCACAACCATGGTCAATCCACAGCTGGATGAAGGCCTCCCTAAGCCGCCGCCACCTCTCACGATCCGGCGATCCACATGACCTTGCTGATGATTGGTCAGAACACATTAGCTCTTCTGGGAAGAAGTACTATTACAACTGCAGAACAGAGGTCTCTCAGTGGGAGAAACCCAAAGAATGATGGAAAAAGAACAACCGCAAAAGGAGGCTGCAAACCGAATTGTTGCAAACAGTTTCCCTAAAGACAGGGACTACAGGAGGGAAGCCATGCAGACAGCTGTGCAGAGCAATTCCTCCAACCGCTTTACAGACAAGCATTCAAGTGAGGTGGGCAGCGTGCTCGCACAAACCGTCGTCACAGACGAGCAAACACAACGACAGGGACTACAAGCTGCCTCGTACTTAAGCGCCCGGCAGTGGGACATCGAGCAGCACTCCACTCCAGCAGCAAGCATCCCTCGGCGTCAAGCCAGGCTCATCGCTGCCAAATTGCACACCGAGTCCTGTGCCGAGCAGCCCATTTAACCTGCCTGAGCAACAGCAACAACAGCATCAGCAGCACCACAAGAAGCAGAATTATTCTAATGGAGCCAACACTCTCACCAAGCCACATCCTGCAGGCTCATCCACAGGCCAGAGGCCGAAAAAAAAGGGTGCAGACGCTCCCACAGACAGGGCCTCAACAGACAGTGCCACCCCTTCCCCCTCCCCATCCTCCACCTCACGGTTGATACCTGTCACACCTACTTCAGCCACGATGCCCTCCCTGCCAAGCCAAGACCCTGCAGTGCTGCGACAGATCCTGCACACCTCTCCCCAGATCAACCCGAGCCTTGAGTGCCTCCAAGAAGCTTTCACTCAAACACTTTCCAAAATCCTGCTTGCAGCAGCCCCAACGCTACTACCCCAATCAGTACAGGCAGCACACCAAGCTCACCAGCAGAGCCAATCGCCTGCATCCCAAACATCGGACGTGTCCTCTCCTCGTTCCCACATCTCCCACATCTCCCCACGGGTGGGGAGATGTGGAAGCCAGACCAGGGCCCATGCCACCACGCCTCACAGTCACAACTCTGCGCAGTCAAAGGCCAGTGCTATGTCTGTGAAATGTGGTGTCCATCAGAGCCAAGGGTCTCAACAGACGGGTGGCACAGAGAGGCACACTTATACCAGTCCAGGTTCTCCTGCTACCAGCGGAGGCCACAGGCATCATCCATCAGGAGGTCATCCGAGCCCTGCCCGCACTATATCCGGGTCACATGCTGGAAGTGCACAGCCTTCCGTGAGCTCCCTCAGCAATGCCTGCCAGGCCCTATCTGGCCTCAGCTCCCTGTCACCTGGACTGTCCTCCCATTACTGCGAGAACCTCACCAAGCATGTCCAGGGATGGCCGGCTGAACACCTGGAGAAACAGGCAGCAAGATTACGGGAAGAGAGTTGCAGCTTGAGGTGCTTACAAATGTCTGAGATTTGTACTGAACTGAAGAACGCCAGGTCGCTGGTGCGGGTATCAGAAATCCAAGCCACACTACGGGAGCAACGGATACTCTTCTTGCGGCAGCAGGATAAGGAGCTTGAAAAACTGAAGAATCAAAATTCCTTCATGATGTGAGAATCTAGCAGTAATTGACGAAGAAACGCGTTTGCCCATTTGAGAAGATTCGATTACTCCTTCACTTCTGAGCGACCAATATGGCCAAATGCTTTGAAAATACGTATGCCTCAGTTCACATGTACAGACTGTCTCTAAAGCTGAGTGAGACATGCTGGAAAAGGACTACAAGAACTTTTGTTTTCCAAAGTGAATGCGCAAGTCCACTTGTATATATAAACGTTTTCTAGACTGGATGACTCTTGATGGGTGATACAGCAGCTGATTAGGATGTTAACCTTGTAAGTAATCACATCACTCTACACCAAGTTGTAATATTCTCACACCAGTTGTAATATTTTAAATGTTTATTGTTTAATTGTATTTTGTCATTTTTTCCTGTTACGAAAAAAAATCCCCCTTACGTTTTCACATTCTGCATTTTTTTCATAAAAAAAGGAAAGAGAGGGAGGAAGAGAGGGAGAGGGCAAGTGAGAGGGAGAGAGGGAGGGAGAGAGAGAGGGCGAGTGGGAGGGCAAGGGAGGGCGAGAGAGAGGGAGAGGGCGAGAGAGAGGGCGAGCGAGAGAGCAGGGGGGCAAGTTACCTGCTCGTACTCATCCTCCCCGTAGCCATCTGCATCCTCCTCCTCGCTCAGGTCCGAGCCCTGGCTGTTCATGGCGCCGCGAGGCGGCTCGCTCACCTCGCTCCGCGGCTCCGCGCACACCTACCGCACAGCGCAGCCAGCGTCATTCACAACATCAACACCACCACAATGATGGATGCATGGAAAGCCAAATAGGGGTTCACAAGAAGTCACAAACACCTCATAAAATATCCGACGCAGAACATCACTGGCTTTGGGGAAGTTGATCGGCCACAACCCTACACTTACATCCGCGCACAAACCACGGCAGACGTGGATACCTGATGATGCACAAATGGAAAATGTTTAATCTGATGTCTTGAAATAGGGCGTCTAACACCGTATTATTGCCGGGAAGGGTAAAGCTTTTTTTTTCACCATTTGATGCCGGCAAAAAGGGGTCCCATAGATACAACTGCTCAACCCGAGCTTTTGATGCTTTGAAATTAGCATTGTCTTTCTGCTGTTCACCTTTTGGCATTCCCTGGTTTAACACTGGTGAGTGTAAGCATAAAGAAGCCTGTCTCTGGTGCAGGCCAATCATTTTCAAAGACAAGGCTTACATTATTATCAAAGCACGTGTGCTTTGTGTCGTTAATGCAGACATGATGCCTCGCAATATTTGGTGGTTGAACATCTTCGCACCTCCTGTATTATTGCCGCAAAGGGTAATGCCTCTTGCTTTTCTCACCAAATTAAAATGTCTCCAGTGCGCGACTGTGGTCACCCAGAACTAGACCGTGGAACAATATAATAACTCACTGTCCGATTCACAAACACAAAGTAGGCATCGTCACGGCGACACATTCATGACGCAATTATCAAACCAATTATCAAATCAACGTAAAATGATAAATGTTGCTCTACAACAAAATCAGCCAAAGAGGATCATAATTATTGTCTTCATTACCGTCACAACAGTTAACATCATTACAATACCATCATCATAATCATAACACCCTCATCAGGTTAACATTAACATCACTGCGTCAATAACATACTTATCAACAACATCACCATCATTATATCAGTCCCATCATTATTATCATCAAATTAACAACACGCTCATAGTCAACACTATAATCACATTACCTTAGTCACATCATAGTATCAACGGTATTTCAACATCAGAATTACTATAATCATAACCACTACAAAAAATGTGACCCAATGTGAAAATCAGTCAACCGCACAACCACTGAAGCCAATTCCTGGCTATTTAACCCGACCGGGATATATGAGCAATGTGCAATAATATCACATCATTCTCAATGTCATCATCAACACCATGAGCACATGAACACATCGACATCATCATCAACAACACCACGACCACCATAACAATAATAACAGCTTCATCAAAACCAGGCCGGGCAGACCCAGCCCACGGCCATTTCAACTCCCGTAACCTCAGATAAAAAAAAACAAATATTCAAAAGCGAAATTCCAAAATAACCCTGCACGAGTGGCAATCTCTTCTACACATGCAGGCTATTCGACCGTTCATCACAGTTACAACCCGAGGTCGGCTTTATCTCATCCTGCCCACAAAACTACCGACCGACACCGCGCCCCATCGTCGGTCGGTCGCGGCGTTCACCAGAGCTCGCGTTGAACTAGCGGTGGCGCCGCCTCTCTCGCCTGCGAAGATGTAAACACGAGGAGGAGGGTGGTGGTGGTGGGTGCCGTGCGGAGTGGCCTGTCGGGAGCCATGTGTTTTTTATTTTGCCTTATAAATCGCCTCTTGCGCAGCGAGAGCGTGCCGGCTAAATTTAGACCCTCCGGCATTGAGTCACAGCGATGGAATGTGCTGTAGCGACGACGAGGGCTACAACAACACAGATCTTATTGCGCACGGCTCGAAGGGGATCCAAAGTTATGCTCACGTTCGGAGCACGCTGCCGTGGTGCGAGGGTTAACAAACCAACGGTTGGCAGCGCACACTGTGCACTTGAAATCCAGAGGTTGCCGCCGGTTTGATTCCATCTCGCCGACGCGGCAGTTGTAGCAAATGGAAAAGTTGATCAAACCTGTCCACCCGGCGGTATAAATGCAAGCAGCACGTGTGGCGGGGTAAAAAGTGGTTGTACCCACACAGCGTGGAAGAGTCGGTCAAACACGCGCCAGAGGAACCTCCCTAGAGCGGAGCTCCATCGAGTGGATGCCCTTCTGCCAGTAGCGGCGTCACTAAGCAATTGCAGGGCTGCAGCTTTGAACCACTATTTAATACATTTTTAGATGCATTTGAAAATGAAAACTTTAATAAGTTGGGCAAACTCAATGCTGACTTTGTACCGAGTGAAAACCCTCAATTCTGGGCTGTCGGTAGCGATAGACCTCAACGGAATGCAGTCAGATCGATTGACGATCCAGCACTCACCGATTCGCTCCAGTAACTCACTAGCGGCCAGTCACCTCCTCATCACCCTTCTACTGCTACTACAACAACCCACTCACTCATCGACCAACCCTCTCGCTCACCTATCCGGTCAACTCGCTTACAAGCAGACAATTCATCCCTTGTTACTCTTTTATTGCTGCTACCATTGTTATAGTTCCCATTAACTGACACTCACCCACCTAATCACCCACCAACTTAACTCAGTCATCACTCACACATTGGTGGTCAGTCGCCTCGTTATCACTTTTCTTCGAATCCTTACTACTACTACGAACACGGTTACCGTTCTGACATACTTAACTCACCCATGTTGAGGACTATTGTCTACCGGGCTGTTTCATCTCACACTGTTCAACCAACACACTTCAGGGTTGCAACAATACGCTCACCCACTCACTCACCGCACTGCGGGTCACAAACACTTCCCCCGTTCCGCTTCTCCACTCTCACCGCTCCACCGTATATTTCCCTCCCATCTTTCTGCTTCCCCAAGCGCTCGCAATAACTTTGCTCAAGTCAATAAACGCGTTAACGAATTATCTTTGACATCTTTAATTGTGCTGTTTGTTGCTTGCTGCCTGGGGCCATTGGGCCTGTGCTCAGCGACTGCGATTTAAAAACCGCGAGTCACGCCTGAGCCGTGTTTGCTCCGGTGCCGCTGTAAACATTCAAGGGGGCAGCCCATTGTTTTTGTTTACGATGTTTGCTGCTCGCTGCTGGGAGGGCTCTCGGCGAGCCAGCCGGCCTGCCTCTGTCTCCTCCACTCTCCACCTACCCCCTCCCCCCAAAAGTCGCACTTCATCACCTCGCACCCAGCTAGCACCTCGACTCTCTTGCCACTCTCCCCACAAAGACAAAGATCCCCCAGCGTAGCCTTAACAGACTTTTAGGGCAAGTGTGGTTCGCGAGCACCGATGAAAGCCAGTACCGGCACATGATGGGGCGGGTGGTCAGCACCACGCACGGTCACCTTTGTCTCCCCAGTGTTGATGTTTACACAATTAACCAGGTACTCATTTTAAGTCTGAGTCAACCTATGAGAGACCCAGGACTGGTTCAGAGAATCTTCAATGGTGTTGGTGGCCATGAGCGGGAATCTAATTCGGGTTGCCAGGTTTGTAGCGCAGCGCTACCGTTCCCCACACAACCCCCCTCCCTCCGTCACGCACCACCGCCCACAGCACCAAGCACTTACATTTGGTATTCACACCAATCTTACCGCACGAAGCTATCACAAAAGCCTATGTTTCACAGACAAGCGCTATGTTGCTAATGTGGTTCTACCCAACTTCAGTTGATATACGGTGTTTTTTATGGAAGATTTTGCTGTTTTTTCCTGGATTTTTCTGTTGCGCGCAGTCACTTTAAGATGTTCTTTCTTCATGTTTTTTGTTTGTTGTGGTTGCATCCGAGTAGAGAGCCGCATGGCTCACAGGGCTATACCTAATAAATGTAACTGAAACTGAAAGCAACTTTAAAATTATTTAAAGCTCGGCAAATTTGGGCCGTGAGGTCACCTCACACGTGCCTACTCTCCTTCAAATCACGTCACGAGAAATGTAACATCCACTGTGAAGCAGTATTTTTTAGTTGATACACCCGCAGTGTTAACCAGGGCGGACATCTGGGTTCGAACAGCAAACCTCTGCAATGAGCGGCAAAGGGCACTACCGCTTGGCCACATCACTTGACCACAATCCCTGCCCACGATCACACGCCCAGCGCCAAGTGAGCACCCCAAGTCACATTAGTGCTGCTTTTAACGTCTATAAATACTATGTAAGCAACTATAAATGCCTGTCAGTCTACTGGGTGAAGCATCTGTAGAGTAATTTTCCAGTTAGAGTGCTTCTGGAAGAACTAAACCTGATAATAAGAAGCAAAATGCCAATGCGATGAAAGAATAATGTGTTTATAAGATTTAATATTACCCGCTATCACTTATGGATCAAAAATGTGAAAAAGGTGACAAGGAAAATGGAAAAAGAAAAGAAACATGGGGAGATGTACGCTTGTAATTACAAAAAAACACGTGGATCAGGGATCAAAGAACAATGTTAGAGGCACTGGAATTGACTTTCAAGAACAGCAATGATGGCCTGTGGTCCAAACCACAGGCCATCATCGCGGCTGGAGTACGCTGGACCGCCACTTCGCAAGACCGTGAAAGATACCGATGGCTTGGGGGAGGAGGCCTTCATCCAGCAGTGGATATAGCACGGCTGACGACAGTGACACTGCCTCGACAGTACACTTGAGGGCAGGCTGTCCTACGACTGTGGGTGATGTGACACTCACCCCTCACCTGGCACCAGACATCATCGTCTATTAAAGATGAGAATTGTGAATAGTATTATCAAAAATCGCAGTGCCATGCGGTGAACAATTCAGTCTTCAGTGGGGGTGAGGGGACCTAATCTGTCAATTTTTTTGCAGGCATTTTAACACCGATAACAAGAGTTTAAATGCAGCCATCGGATGTCTCTTAATAAACCAGCTGAGTCATGACTCCTTAGACCTGTGTTGTGGCGCGGTTGGGATAGGCCCAGGTACGAGTACCATAATTAAAATGCCCCATCCTCCGTTGTCCAATTTCACCCCTCTCTTTATAGTTGCCTGGCACATGGGCCTCTCGTGCAGTTGCCATCGCCTTCAGAGGTTGAGCAACAAAAACGTTACCCACTCATCACAGCCACCCCACGGCAGCCCGGGGCCCTGCCTCAACAGGGGGCCTGCCTCAACAGGGGGCCTACCACTAGGCCACGGAAAATACTCCAACAGTGCTGGTTGTTGCTGGCCGCTTGGCGTTTGAAGCCTCCAAGGGGCCTGTGCTCCTTAACCGCGATTTTGAAGAAGAAAAAAAAAACACTAATTTATGTGAGACCCCGACCGCGGGGGCTTAAATTTGACTCCAGGGGATTGAAGGGGCCCAACATAGTCAAACGAGGCTTCCGGTTCATTTTGAGAATCTTGTGGAAACCTAAGCAGGTGGCGGCCTTCGTTCAAAGTCCTGGCCATTGTGTTGCCCGGCTGTGACGCGCCAGCAGTGAATGACGAAGGCCAATTCGTGGCCCTCGATCACACAAAGGGGGACCAATCAAAGCCATCGGATTGTACCGCGCTCTGAAAACCAACGCAAGGGAACGCCGAGCAACTCTTCTCGACCGAGTGCCGTGTCCCCGAATGAAATGCAATGTACACGAGAGTTCCCTTAATGCTCCCAAATCCAGCAAGCGGAAGCGAAACGTCGGAACACAGTCGAATTACACGCGGTACAAACCCACCAAACACACCTGGGAAAAACCTAAGCAGTCTGCCAACGACAAAACCACCATCATCACCCCACTGCCACCATCACCAAAAACCAGTAAACCAACTCCCATAAAGAGTTCGCCAAATGTTGAGGATGTGGCTTGTGGACTTGTCCATCAGCATCATCTATCCACCGCTGAATGTATTTAAGGCCTCCCTACGCCGGTGTTATTTCTCGCGATCATCATCATCCGCCGCCTTACTCAATCCACTGCCGAATGGATCAAAGCCTCCCCCCCCCTCCACGATCCTTGAAACAATTCACGCGCAATATTCCACCGCTCCGTCTCCTTTCATATTTAATCCACGCACCCTACCTCTCTCAACCCCTTCCTTGTGATCGGAGCACCACGTGCAAGATCTCAACTTCCACCAACGCATCGCGCGTGAGCCCACAGTGACTCCCCCAACAACACCACCACCACCACAACCACCCCGTGCCCTCCCGGTTGCGATCTGTGTGAGCTCGCTGGCACGCGGGAGGCCACCAGAAAGCCACCAGAGGGCCGCGCTTCAACCCCGCGGAGGCGGCCGCGGTCAGACGTGAACCGAACGCATTCCGACGGGCGGGCCTAGCGCGTGAAAATGGGCGCCCGAGCCTCGCCCTCGCCTGGATTCTCCGCCGTCTCCGCGGACTCGAAGCCCGCACACCGCAACGGCCCCGGGTGGGGGGGGGGGGGGTTGCCGAGAGTGACGATGGTGGTGGTGATGATGATTGATTGGTGATGTTAATGAAGGTGATGATGATGGTGGTGGTGATGATGTTAATTAAGGTGACGACGACGACGATAATTCTGAGTGTTACGACAGTGATCTACAATGGTGGTAACGATGTGTGACGGTGTTGATAATGGTGATGTTTAATAGTCGTTGCTGACGGTAATGATGATGATGGTAATGATGATGAAGGTAATGATGATGGAGATGTTAACGATGGTGATGACGCACTCCACGGCAGGCGTGCGAAGAGGATAAAGAGGCGGCGGGTGGTCTAAGAATCGCGGCTCGGGGTGAGAGTGATGATGATGATGAAGGCGGTGGTGGTGGTAACGTTAACGATGCTGTTGGTGATGATGATGGTGGTGGTCTCACCTCGTTGCTCACACGGACGCGCTCCAGGGCAGGGGGTGAGCGACAGCGCGCTGCGAGGAGACTGCGGAGTGGGAGGGGGGCTCCGTGTTGATAGCGAAGCCTCCTCCTGCTCGCAACGTCACCTCCGGCTCGGGGCTCACGCGAGATCCCCGGCCTTCAGTCCGGGGGGGCGGGGGCTTCGCTCGGGGGGGGGGCGGGGCTTCGCTCGGGGGGGGGGGCGTCTCTCGGGGGGCCTTCACTCGGGGGGGGGGCGTCATGAGGGGGGGCCTTCTCTCGGGGGGACCTTCGCTCGGGAGGCCTTCACTCGGGGGGGGGGGGGGGCCCTCTGGGAGCCTTCGCTTGGGTCCCGAGTGAAGGCACCTCGAGTGAGAGAGACCGACCTTCGGGAAGGCCCTTGTGAAGGAGCATGGTGGGGTTGAATGGAGAGAGACCGACCTTCGGGAAGGCCCTTGTGAAGGTCCATGGTAGGGTTGGAGAGAGACCGAGCTTCGAGAAGGCCCTTGTGAAGGACCGTGGTGGGGTAGGAGAGAGACCGACCTTCGGGAAGGCCCTTGTGAAGGTCCACAGTGGGGTTGAATGGAGAGAGACCGACCTTCGGGAAGGCCCTTGTGAAGGTCCGTGGTAGGGTTGGAGAGAGATCGACCTTCGGGAAGGCCCTTGTGAAGGTCCACAGTGGGGTTGAATGGAGAGAGACCGACCTTCGGGAAGGCCCTTGTGAAGGACCGTGGTGGGGTAGAAGAGAGACCGACCTTCGGGAAGGCCCTTGTGAAGGTCCGTGGTAGGGTTGGAGAAAGACCGACCTTCGGGAAGGCCCTTGTGAAGGACCGTGGTGGGGTTGGAGAGAGACCGACCTTTGGGAAGGCCCTTATGAAGGACCGTGGTGGGGTTGGAGAGAGACCGACCTTCGGGAAGGCCCTTGTGAAGGACCGTGGTGGGGTTGGAGAGAGACCGGCCTTCGGGAAGGCCCTTGTGAAGGTCCGTGGTAGGGTTGAATGGAGAGAAACGGGCCTTTGGGAAGGACCCTAAGTCGGAGTGAACAGAGGGTTGATCTCATTCATTGGCTTGGGTGCTGCAAGTTGAAGGCTAGAGATGAAGGTCCTTGTTTGGATTCGTAGATAGAGCCCTCGTTGAAGGAGAGTAATAATAGTCATGCATATTATTCATCATACAAGTTAAATCCACTGCTGGATGAAGGCCTCCTACCCAAGCCGTTGCCGCGGGACTCTCAAAGACCCTGCGATACGCGGCCAACTGGGAATGAACGGATGCCAGAGTTTGAGGAGGTCGTGAAAGACCGTGGCGGTGGTTTGCAACGAAGAACCATCATCGCCGAAGGTGACTACTAAACGTACGGTCCGGCAATTGCTCGGAAGAGGTGGGAGCTACCCATACTTTGCCCCACTACAGTCGGACCTGCAAGTCGACTGTGGAGGACCGTTAACAACCACGGCAGCAGGTCGAACAAAAGCTAATATCTCTGCTCCAAGTAATTTTGTACTGTGTTTATATTCAGATGTAATGTTGCTGTATTATAATAATAAATCGATATAATTGCCGTAGACGTGGGATAAGACATTCATTCACTGCTGAGTGACAGATCCCAATGGATGTCGTCTCCTTCTCGATGTGGAGAGCCATCCGCACCTCCGATTAGCGCGGTTGGCTACGTACGGTGCGAAAGAAGTTCAACATACATCCGAGGGCCCACCCAGAGTCGCCAGAGGGACCTGAAGTGAACACGAAAACATTCGGTGCTGCTCCTGCATTTGGCAGTGGCGCGCAAATGCAAACGACAACACTCAACCCGTTCGTCAGTTTGATTCTTGCGTAAGATGGTGGCAGCAAGATGACCAGTAGATGCCAATGTCGAGTTCTGCTCGCCAGGACGAGAGGGCTTCAGGAGAGAGTTCGTGTCGTTTTCCGATGCCTCCCTCTCTGTTGGAGTTTGGGTTGCATGGCCAGTCACACTCCTGTGACTTGTGTCTTTAATTTTCCATTTATTAAGATGCGTGCATCGGCTCTGTGGTGTTCTGGTGATGTTCTGATGGTTTCACCACCAGTGTCTTCAAGGAGGAGGAATGTCAAAGCCAGGAGGTGCGATGTTCCAGTTTTGAATGTGTTTATTCGGTGGCAAGATGTTAACTACCTTGCCTCTTTTATACAAGAGGTCGTGGATTCGGTCCCGACCCTGACGCCTGCTGTATATTTGGAGTTTGCGTGTCTCCCCGTGGTCGCTTGGATTTTTCTCCGGATCCTCCGGGTTTCCCCTCCACATTTAGAAACAAGCGTTTAGAATATTTGGCTGCTATAGATTTCCACGTGATAAGCCACTTCATTGGGCTATCATTTGTGGCAATTCGCTTCTGAAAAAGAGCTACACAGCTCAGTGGGCCTTACCTGGTAAAATGAAAATTGTTTATTTTGTTTCGTTTAATTCTGGATGCTCGCCTTGTCTCGAGATGCCACGATCCGCCTCACTCCTGCACACGAGCCAAATCGTCAATTGCACTGCGGCCTCAAAATGAAAGTGTAGATAAGGCGACGTTTCGGACAATGACCCTTCATAGGACGAAGTAATAACGTCAGGACACAACGTGCCTTGTTCACCCGATACCAGACTTGTTGCTAGTTACTTTGCCAGCACAAACATAGCAGCGCCGACAAACTACGCCTGCACGGCTACAAGAGTCCCCGTCATCAACCCGCTCCATCCTCTCGCGGAGCCCAGTCGACGGCAGCTAATATCCGCACCTCGTGGTGACCCTGCTGCTGCTGCCCACGTGCAAGCCTCGTGCGGTGATACGGCCAGCCCAGTTTGACCGGGGTCTCCGGGTCGGGGACCAAGGACTTGGTTACTGAGCGGCAGATGTTCGGGATCCGTCCCCGAGTCTGAGCGAGTTTTGCAACTTAAGAGTGTTATTCCTAAGTGCCATTCTTAAGAGAAATAACACCTAGGAATTCCTCAGATGAATAACACCTCGGAATTCCTAAGAGGGATAATACTTAAAGTGGAACTCGTAAGAGTGCGTGATAACAAATATACCAACTTACTCGAGAACCTCGCCCAGAGCTACTTACAGACCAGACCACAGCATCATTTTATGTGCGTGTTTAGTTTGTCATCTTTAGTTTGTCATCTTTCCCCCGCACCTCCGATTGGCACGGTTGGTTACGTACGGTGCGAAAGAGGCTCAACATACATACATACATCATTGTCATCAGTGTGCCCTATACGGGACAAACGGATGACAGTGGTGGCAGCACACGAGGATAACACCCTGCCCTTTGTAGACGATAAAACGTAATTTCACTCGGGAGACATGGATACGGTTTTCACAAACAAATGGCTCGTAAAATAAATACTTATTTAGATAAACCATACAAAGTCATTAACAAAGCGAGATCGTCTACTCTGGGACTGCATGCAGAGAGTAGCAGCGAAGCGTGTCGGAACGGGAGTCGCACACGGGCGCGCGTTGTCGCCAAGGCGATTAACAGCAAGGTTACGACTGAAGATTACGGAATAAATATGAATTAGGCAAATATGAACCGTCTCAGATTTGCGACTTGACACTGTTACAGTGGAAACCCCAACGCAGGTACACGCTCCTTAATGATCCACGCCCACTCCAAGATGCCTCCCGTCATGGCACTTCACCGGCATTTGTTTAAGCCAAGCCCGACTCTGCTGATGAGACACTGAACGTCGAAACCAGTCGAGGCTGTTGCTTGAACCAATGCTGCTGGAATTATTGCGCTCCCTGAAGGCCGTGTGGCCGATGAGACGTGGAATAAAAAGAAACTTTTTTATTATTTTAGACGTGCGTTCATTTATTCTGTTCGACGCATATTCTCCACGGCGGCGTGAACGATTGCTTCGTGCTCTGGTTTTCCCAGGATGGTCCTCTTTGTCGAGGCAGCTGCTGTGTGGAGATATCTGTGAGTCTTCTGGGAACATTCAAAGTCCCAGTGTTTGTCGGTTGACTAACAACAATAATAATAATACCAGCACCGCACCACTCGAGACAACGCATTCACACGTTGTAGGTCTCCCCTCTTCTGCTCCTGCGATATAATCTTCTTCCCGCGGTGTGTCCCGGTCTTACGGGTAAGGCAACCCGAGCACCCACCCACGGAAATCCACAACCACGATCCAATCACGTCGCTGCCCCTCGCCCGTCCACCAGGTGCCCCGCTGCGAGGTCACTCAAGTGGGGGCCCAGGAGAGATCGGGGTCCCCTGGGCTGAACCGAGTGCCCAGGTCCTCCTCTGTCGGTGTCGATCACCACCGCAGGTCCCGCCGATGTCACGTCATCCTCGACCACGAATTCGCGGCCGTGCTCGATCTGCGGGTCCCGGATCGTCGAACACCTCCCGTTGACCTTGAGGATGCTCCTGGGCGGCGGGGGAAGCACAGGAATGGTGGGGGAGGAGGACGTGGGGCAGCTGCCCTCGGGGCAGCACGCTCGCCGCGGTGCCGCGTGACACGACCCCCTCGTGCGCCAACGCGGCACCGCGCCCGCCCCGTCCAGCGCCCTCGCTGACACACCCCGCCACCGGGCACCGGTGTCCTTCACCACCCCCACCGGTGCCATTGGGGTCCACGCGGCGTCCTCGGAGGACTCGGGGTCTGGCAGGAGACCTCCGTGATTCTTGAGAATCCCTTTGGGGGGCTGCCGGGCTACATAGCCCACCGGTGATGACCCATAATGCCCCTGTGCGGTGATTACGGTGGTGGTGGCGTTGGTGGTGGTGGCAATGTGTAACCACTGTTCTTGTGCTGACAAGGCCACGGTGGAGGTGCCATCATCTCGGATGAACGCCTGATGGCCAGGAGCCGTGTTGGGGTCCCCAGGGCCCCTTTTAGGGGTCTCACCGTGGTCCCCATCAGATATCCACTGCATGAGAGGCCGTGGAGCCACGGCAGTGGTGGTGGTGGCGGCAGCAGTGTCGTCACCCTCGCTCCACTGCCGGTCAGGCATCGGCGAGGCCGGCAAGGGGGAGCCATCATCTCCGACCAACGGCTGGAGGTCAGCAGCCGTATTGGGGTCGCCTAAGTCCTCGGGGTTACCGGTCTCGCCGAGGTCCCCGTCGGAGAGCCACTGCGTGAGAGAACTGGGCAGCGTGGTGGCGGTGGCGGTGGCGGCGGCGGCGGTGGGGGGCTCGTCGCAGCTCGTGCCGAGCGGGGTGTCGTAGCCCAAGTTGACCCACCAGTGAGCGGCGGCATCGCGCACGCAGGCCCGGCGTGCCGGGTTCACCATGAGCAGCCAGCGGATGAGCCCGCACGCGTCTGGGATGACAGGGGTGGGGTGGGGGGGCATTGTGGGTGTGATTGCCATGCATCGTGGGAGGCGTGTGCGCCACGTGGGGATTGCCGGAGCATTGTGGGGCGGTGACGCGGCCAAACGGCAGAGGTTCGCGATTCGAGCCCGGCGGCCGTCCCGGTGAATTCTACGTGGCGTCTTCTTCACAGTGGACGTTAAAGAACGCGTGGCGTTCATTATGCGTGGGGTTACGGTCTAAACATGTTTGTAAAATGACACGGCAAATCACTCAATTGGGTCAAACTACGCAGCAACATCGCCTCCCGGCTGCTAAAAACTACCGCAGATGAAACCCATCTGTGAAAGAGAGCAGCGCCTTCCTCCCCGATAGCCTTGCGCCACAAGAATGTCGCGAATACCGAACTTGCTCCCGACGTCTTTTCACTTGGGAGCTTCAGGCTCGTGTGCGACCTTCCTGCAAACTGAGCCTAGGGGTGTCAAAAAAAAGAAGAGCCACAGGCGTCGAGCACGAGTGGCATGGGCGCTGTCGTTCTTACAGCGCCGGGTTGGGGGGGGGGGCGATCATCGCGAAGGGCGTCGGGCGCTTTGGTTGCACGCGAGAGACGGCCTCCAGTGGACGCCGTGGCGGGCGATGCTGCCGATGCTCGTGTGCGTGCGTCAGCCCGATTGCGTAACTTTGCTGTGTCGCATTTCAAATGTGGGACCGTGACGCGGCCGCGACAATGTGCCGGCCCTCGCGAGTGGCGTCACGGGATGTCTCACGGCCACTGTGCAGCCCAGCGCTATGCGAATGGGACAGATAACAAAGTTTCTGTGACTTTATGTTGTGCTGTGATCGGCCTACACATCATCTGCCATGAGCAGACTCGCGCTACGGGGAGGTTAATAACAGTGATTTATGCTTGTGCAATGTTTTCGATTTGCCACTTGAAGATTTATTTTGCCGTTGTCATTTTGGTAACCCAGCGTCACTCTTGAAACCGACTCTCATCCTGGCCTCTCGAATTCTCACAAAATACGCCCAGAAGCCTGAACTCTACATTATTGCTATTTCCAGGCGTTGCATTGTGGATCTCAACGGCGGTGCGCAGTAGGGGGCACCGTTTGGTGCATCGGCCAGTCATCTCAGCGACCTGGGTCTGTCCCGTGACCTCCTGCCAGCGGGCGCGCGACACTTCACGTGGCCTTAAAGTGCACCTAGCCTGGCACAAGCGCCGTGGTGACGTAACCGCCACTGAGTGGCGAATGGCTGTTGCTTGTTATTGCAACTGGGGGGGCGCACCGTGGGTCCCCGCGGGGGCGCACCGTGGGTGGGCATCACAGCACCCGGCACGCCGTGGGGCCTCACCGGACGGCTGTGCCGGTTCTGCGTACTCTCCGCGGCTGATGTGCCGTGTCAGTGCCTTCAGATGGCGCCCGTGGAAGGGCATGGAGCCATAGACGAGGATGTAGAGCAGCACCCCCAGCGCCCAGCTGTCAACCTGAGGGAGGGAGGGAGAGCGGCGTGACGGGGGGGTGGGGGGACACGCGGTGCAGAATTTGCAGAGCCTCTGGATTACGTTTCTCTTTACGCCCGCGCGTTACGGAGATGGAGCCGTGATAGGCTGAGTCGGAAAACACGCACGCACAAAGACAAAGGTCCCCCGTGTAGCGCACACAGGCTGTCGGGGTAAGCAAGTGCTGTCTGCGAGCGCCTGTTACGAAGGCGGTCGTGAGCTGCGTCACCACTCCCCCCACACATACACAGACACACAATTATAGCCTTAACAGGCTGTAGGGGCAAGTGCTGTTAGCGAGCACCTATGAAGGCCGGCACGGTACACGAGGGGGTGGGTGGCCAGCACCACGCCTGACTGCCCCACAGCGACGCACCGTGCTCGTATGGAACAAGGCCCCAGTGGCGATGTTTACACACCGCACCAGGTACTCATTTCAGGCTGAGTCGACCTAGGGGAGGCCCAGGACTGGTTCAGATAATAGTCACCGATGTTGGCCGTGAGCGGGAATCGAACCCGGGTCGCCGGGTTCATAGCGCAGCGCGCTAACTGCTACACCACCGCTCCCCTACATACACAATTACATACTCCCTACTGTATACACACATGCACGGAGGCATGCGTACACGCACACAGTGCGAGACCCATATAGACGCGGTAATGAGATCTGTGCGCGTGCCTCATTGTGCCGCGCGGTTTAAATCCGGAGCACTGAGCTCTCCAGGCCCGCACCACCGAGGGCCCCCCAGTTCCGACCCAGGTTCTGACCCCGGCGGCGGGGGTTGGTGGGGGGGGTCACCGGGGTGCGCGGCGCATACCTCGGGCCCCAGGTAGGCCGTGCCGTTGACAATCTCGGGCGATGCGTACAGGGGGCTGCCGCAGAACGTGCTCAGCAAACGTCCGTTCCCGAACTCGCTGGAGAGGCCGAAATCGGCGATCTAGGGGGGCGCATGTAGGGATAGTGGCAGGCGTCAATCGAAAATCGACAAATTCAGGTTTCTGGGTTAGTTTGGTTCAACCGTGGCAGTGAGAACTCCAGAGATTCGTGGATAGGCCCCACTGCCAAGCGTGACCGTCCTGGGTCACCAAAACGACAAAAAAAGCTAAAATCACGTAAACGCCACGCACAGCGATGAAGCAAACATAAAATTGGAGGAAAAACAACCGCAGAGCAGACAAACTCTCCACGCTCTAACGCAGAGAATCCTGGCCAAAGGAAACGCAATGCCCCACAGCAACGCACCATGCTCGTATGGAACAAGGCCCCGGAGTCTGGATTAAATGCTCCTGCCAATGACACACGGTAATCCAGTTGCATATGTTTAACAAGCCAGACTCTGCCAAAGAGACCCAAGATGTTGAAACCAATCCAGGGTTTTCTCGCTCGCACAATCGCTGCTGCTGCTGGAAGTGGGAGAGTCGGGGTCTAATTTCTCACCGAAATGTTTTCCGGGTAGCAGAAATTCCAGGAATATGCACGTGACTGGTAGACACAGTGAGAGGTATACTCGATGTGGCGTGCCGTGGCTGGGAAGATTTACAATCTACAGGTCGTATAGTTCACTACGTACATGGTGGGTCATTGACGACAAGAATACCGTCACCTCCCGCTCAAGCGCTGTCTAGCACCATTATCGTCAGCCAAGATCGATCCACTGCTGGGCGATGGCCTCCAAAAGCCGTGGTCGGTCACGGGGGATCATTTGACCATTCTTCACCACGCTGGTCAGTGTGGGTAGGTGAAGGATGGGTGGGGGCCACTGACGTTGGCCATAACCGGCAATCGAACTCGGGTCGCCCCGGTTGGTAGTGCAGCGCCAACCTCTGCATTACCGCTGCCCACCCCCCCCCCCCCTGCAATATGAAAATCTGAAATGAATCTCCTGGATCGCACGCCCTCGTATCCCCCTGTCCCACCTCCGCCACCTCTCACCTTCACGTTGTAGCTCTCGTCCAGGAGGATGTTCTCCAGCTTGAGGTCACGATGGACGATACCATTCTGCCGGGGGGGAGGGTGGAGAACAGAGGGGCCTACATGTGATGGGGGCGCGAGTGACACCCGGTGCTGACAAAAAAAAAAACCTTCCGTTGAAGCGCCCTCTCGGCGGCTGACGTCCCCACCCGGGGTGGGCGTCTCGCTCACCTGGTGGCAGTAGAGCACGGCGGACACGATCTGGCGGAAGAGGCGGCGGGCCTCGTCCTCCGGCAGCCTCCGCTCGTGGGAGACGAGGTCGTAGAGCTCCCCACGGCTTGCCAGCTCCAGCACCAGCACCAAGCGCTCCCGGCTCTCCAGGACTGAGCAACCGCCAACACCATCACCACCATCACCACCACCACCATCACCACCACCACCATCACCACCACCATCACCACGTCAACCGACCACCACAGACAATTGAGGCAAGTGCTGTTCGCGAGCCACCTATGAAGTCCGGCACGGTACGCGAGGGGGTGGGTGGCCAGCACCACGCCCGGCCGCCTTTGTCTCCCCAGTGGCGATGTTTACACACCGCACCAGGTACTCGTTTGAGGCCGAGTCGACCTTGGGGAGGCCCGGGACCGGTTCAGATAATCGTCACTGGGTGTTGGCCTTGAGCGGGAGTCGAACTCGGGTCGCCGGGTGCGAAGTGCAGCGTGGCGCTAACCGCTACGCTTCCACTCCACACAGACACACGCACACAACCACCACCACCAGCACAACCACCACAACCACCAGCACAACCACAACCACCCCCCACACTTTCTCCCCTCATAGTCCCCAATTTGTTTACCCCCCGCCCATCGGTATCCACTTTTGAACCCCCAGGGCCCCCCCATGGGCCCCCCCATAGGCCCCCCTCATGGGCCCCCCATGGGCCCCCCCTCATGGGCCCCCACGGTCCCCGTACCCTCGTGGACCCCGATGATGTGGGGGTGTCGCAGGGTGGCCATGAGGCGGATCTCCCTGCGGATGCGTGCGATGCCATCTTCCCCCGGCACCTTGTCCTTGCGGATTGTCTTGATGGCCACCTGGAGTGCGAGGGGGGAGGCAGGTGGCCGACAATCACCCAGCTCGCAGCTCGCAGCACCTCGCCTCCTCCACAGTGCCGGATTAAGTTAGTGCGGGGCCTGGAGCATATGTTGTTATAAAGGGGCCGTAAATAAAAAAAACACGTAAATATTAAAACACTTTTTTTTACTTGCACAGTAAAGTAATTGTATTTTTTCATTTGCTATACAGCCAGCTAATACGACAATTCGCTATCCTTAAACTATAGTAATCGAGCAAGTGCAGATTCACTGAACCGGAATTGATAGCTTGAAAGCATTTAGCGCGGGGGGCCCTTGAAAGTGCGAGGGCCCGTAGCTTGTGTAGCTACTACACGTGCAGCTACTTGTGTAGTTACTACACGTGTAGCTATTTGTGTAGCTACTACACGTGAAGCTACTTGTGTAGCTACTACACGTGAAGCTACTTGTGTAGCTACTACACGTGAAGCTACTTGTGTAGCTACTACACGTGAAGCTACTTGTGTAGCTACTACACGTGAAGCTACTTGTGTAGCTACTACACGCGAAGCTACTTGTGTAGCTACTTGTGCTACGAGGATAATCCGGCACTGCTCCTCCATCCATCAACAAACACACCCATCACATCAGCCGCACGCGCGCACACACACGGCTCTCCTCCCGGGAATGCATCAATTGCAGATCGCCCACCGCATCCGTGGCGAGTGCGTTTCGAGGCTCAACTCCGCCCGCAAACCACGACGCAGCGGCTCTTTTCCGAGCCACCACTTGTACGCGAAGGGGTGGGCCGGACGCGTACCGACATCGCGGTCCAAATTTGACAAATGACTCGCGTAAGTTGTCCGATTGCGCCACGGTGGCGAGGAGATGTTGACCGCCTCGCCCAGTACGAAGGAGGTCGTGGGTGCGATCCCGACCCTGACGCCTGCTGTATATTTGGAAATTTCTTGTCTCTCACTCTCTCTCCGTTGACCGTGTGGATTTTTGTCCGGTTCCTCCGGTTGTTTCCTCCACATTAAGAATCAACATCACACGTTCAGAGTATTTGGCCACTAAACATTTCCACGCGATAAGCCCACTTCGTTGCGCTATCATTTGTGGCCAGGTCGCTTCTGAAAAACAGCTAAAAAGCTCAGTGGGCCTTACCTGGTAAAATAAAAAAAATACTCGAGTTTAGTAAACCATCCCGAATGTAAACGCACCGATTAGCACGGTCGGCTACGTACGGTGCGAAAGAAGTTCAACATACCGTACATGCACACGTCTGAGCAACATCGGTTCAACACAAGCACAACTCTCTGGACCGGTTTCGACATTCAGGCGTCTCATCAGCGGTCAGGCTGCCTTGAGCCAACGCTGGTGAACTGCCAGATGATGAATTTTGATTTAAAGCTTCCGTGACTGCAGTAATCCATATTCTTAGCTCTTTCGGTAAAGTCACGTTGAAGAGAAACAATAAAATAATAAAATATATATAAAACAATAAAAATTCTCACGACGTTTCGACCATAACGTCGTGAGAATTTTTATTGTTTTATATATTTTATTACTTTATTGTTTCCGTTCAACGTGACTTTACCGAAAGAGCTAAGAATATGCCAGATGATGATTACAGGCAAGGGACTCTCTCTCTGTGGGGCGATGGTGGTGTCGATGATGGTGGTGGGGAGCGGTGGTTTTGTGGTGTCAGTGGTGGTGGGAAACGGTGGCGTGGTGGTTAACAATGCACTGTGAAGTATGAACCACGGTAATTGAAATCGGTCTATTTGCGTCCGCGGTAACCGCATGAAAAAAACAGTAAAAACCGGCTACCGGTTTGTGGCCCATACAGAAATGTATGTAAAAGTGCCTTGTGAACTTAGACACGTCTAGGGATGCTGCCGTGGTGTAATGGTCAGCAGCAGCAGCAGCACCACACGACTTGCGACCCAGAGGGACGCCGGTTCAATTCCATCTCCCAGCGCTGCAGTTGAAACGATGGGGGCGAGTTTGTTAACTCCCCGCCGCCCTCGCCCCGTCCACCCAGCAGCGGACGCGGGTTCACCGCAGTTACGGCTCTCATCGGAAGGTCGCGTGAGTGTCCGTGACTATTGCCCACTTCATCCAAGACGCCCGGTCAGTTTTGGGTTCGGAAGAGTAGACCAAATGCCCGCTCCAGAGGAGGGCCCCTTCCGCCGCCAGTGGCGCGAGTGAGCCACTTGCAGGGCCTGCGCCTTCACCCGTCAACGGAGCCCGCGACGTGCCCGTGCGGTTTGTCCCTTGGCGCGTTGGCAGTCGGCGCGTTCGTCACCAAAACTCCACCGTCAACGATGGCCAGCAGCTCCCGTCCTTCGGGATGCGTTAAAACGAATCTTTAAACAAAATAACAAAAAAAAACTGCGAACAGTTTACCGGTTCTCATTCGCAGCCATGGTCGGTAATCGCCCGAGGTGGCAAATGCCAGCGGTGTCCAGCCGGGCAGCACTCTGGGGCGTGCACAAAGCCCGCGTTCAACAGCCTCAGTGCGCTTCCTATTCATCGCATGTCAAGTCTCCCCAGACGTTTCAGATCACGTTCTCTTCCCTCCCCCGCCCAAAGTGATATTCTCTACGAAAAACACTACCGCCTCAATCTTGCTATCAGACATATTTGCGATCCAAAGATGCAATTCTTCTACAAAAACCTTTGTTAGCAGTCGTCACCCCGAGCGGTACCCAATATCTCATTTGTGGGCCCAATTGTCCAAGCACCACCGCCGGGGACAGGTTCACGGCCAAATTCACGCCCAGCACTTACCTGGCGGCCCGTGAGTCGCTCCACGCCCTTGTGAACCTTGCCGTACGTGCCGCTCCCCAGTGCCCCCAGAAGCGTGTACCTCCCTCCCAGGGCATCCCTGCCCCTTCGAGCGCCTTCGAGCCCTCCCGGCTGCCCCCGTCCTCCGCGTTGCCCGCATGGGGGGAGGACCATTGTGGATCCCAGGAGCAGATTTACTTCCTCTGGTGGCAGGGAGAGAGAGAGGGAGAGATGCGAGGTGGTGGAGGTGTGTGTGTGTGCCAATGTGTGTGTCAGAGAGTGTGTCGGTGCGTTTCATCAGTGCGAGTGTGCATTCGGGTGTCGGTGTGTGGCAGTGAACCTGTGTCAGTCGCTGAGTGTAAATGTGTCGGTGTGTATCACTGTTATTAGCGTGTCACTGTTAGCAGAGCTTCGGTGTCAATGTTGTCGAGTGGCACTGCGTCAATGTGCTTGTGACTGAGTCACTGCCTGTAGGTCTTCGTCTTACTGTGTGTTCGTGTGGCTATATTTGTGTGTAGCTATGTGTGTGTCTGTGCTCGTTACCAGCACTTGCCCCAACAGCCTGCCAGAGGCTATTCGAGGGATTATGATCTTTGTATGTATTTGAAGGTGTGGCTGTGTATGTGGTGTGTGCATGTCTTTCTCCCTGTACATGTCTGTGCGTCTGTATCTGGGTGCGGATAAATGTGTGTTGCTATGTGTGTCTGTTTGTCTCTGTGTCTCTGTCTCCACGTCTCACCCTGTCTCCCTCCTCTCTCTCTCCTCGGATTATCTCAACGAGTGGAGGAGCGCGGGGGGCATTTATAGCCGGGGGCGGGGAGGGGGATCCGAAGGGGAGGGGGTCTGGGGGAGGGAACCCCCCCCTCGTCACTGCCCATATATGGAGTGGAGGCAGAGCGGGGGTACAACGGATGACATCATCCGCCCCCCTCTCACATAAAAGTGCGCGCGTGCGTGTGTGGGGAAGGGGGCGCAGTGGTGAGCACGCTGCTCGACGAACCCCAACAAACCGAGTTCGACTCCCAGGCCACGGCTAACATCCAAAGTGATTTCTGATCCGGCCTCTGAGCCGCCGATAGGTCAACTCGGCCTTAACATGACAGCACGTGTGGACATCAGCCCTGGGGAGATGAAGGCGGGCCGCTGGCGGATGGAGCAAGTGCTTAAATGAGCTCTAATTAGCTGCATCCAGCCCGCCCCCCTGCAACGCAGGTCGCGTTACACAGCGCTCCCCCCCTCCACGTCCCGTGACCTCGGCTAAAATAAACATTTAAATGTGGGGGGGGGGGGGGGGCAGGGTTACACAATAGACACGGGGTGAGGTCTCATCGCAATGGCGCTGCATGCAGAGGGGCGGTGGTGGTAGTGGTGGTGGCTACGAGATGCCTTTCCTCGGGTACGGTGAATGGGAGGGAGGGGTGAATGGGAGGGAGGGGTGACCGCCCCGGACCCCGCGCTTTGGGGGGTGCCTGCGCTTCGATGTCACGGTGTCAGATGTAATAGTTTAGAGTTTAGTTTTCAAGGCGTTGGATGGGTGGGGGGGGGCTACACGGTGGGGCTCGCCGGTAATCTCCAGAGCTGTGCAGGTAAGAGGGTTGGTGGATTACCGCGCACATACAGATGATGTTGATGTTGTTGCTGTTGTGAAACCCCCAATCTAGCCGTGGGTGCCGTGGAGGCGGTTGTCATATTCCGGCTCGCCAGGAGGCGGAAGCGCAGCAAGTGGGCTAATCGCCATTTTTTTCAATCTGTACGGGGATAGAGTTGTCCTTTCTCGCGCGCGTGGGGGTTACGTCCGGGTGTCGCGGTTGCCCTTCCACTTGTATGAGCACTCGTTCATTGGCTGAAAACTTCCGAAAATAAGAATGCAATACAGGACCCCTCCTGAAAAAAGAGTCCAAGGACTGTGTAGCTCTGCTGGATTGCTATAATATTACGAGTTATACAAACTCTGAACCACGGTCACACAAACCTAACCATATCTCTAAGCCGTACACTCAAAACAACAACCCAACATCACATTCCTAAGCGTAAAAGCAACCTTAGCCATATCGGACTCTGGTACGAGTACATTTCACAACACCCACGTCCAACCATAACTCTAAACCATAAAAGTATCCAAAGAGTTCTCAGACAACTCATTTAACCATACACTAAACCATCTCTATGGCTCGAAACTAAGGCCTTAACGTGAACCTGAACCATGCGCATCTCAAAACAAAGAGATGGGTGGGAGGAGATGAAAAGGAGAGGGCAGTTGAGGAGGTGGTGGGTGATGAGAAGAGGTGGTGAGGAGCGATAGGAGCAGAGGAAAAAGAGGCAGAGGACTGGGGGAGGAGGGGGCAGCACTGGAGGACAGAGAACGCGTGGATGTGGACAGAGTGCATGTTGAACTTTTTTCGCACCGTGCGTAAGCCAAACCGTGCTAATTTGGGGGCTGCGTGGGAAGAGAGGGGGGGGGGGGGGACGAGACGGATCGACGCGTGTGGGCGAGCGGGTCGCGCAGTTTATTGGAACACAGCTGCCGGGCGGGGGCGCACCCCCCGCGCCCACAGAGATAGAAAAAACACAAATCAGAGAAGGACCCCCTCGCGTCTCCCGCACCGCCACCTCCGCCTCCTCCTCCTCGTCGTCGTCAAAGAGTTCATTCGTATCGGGTGCAGCAGACGCGAGCCAGGAGACTGACATCCCTTCTCGCGTAGCTACGACACGGGTCGCTGTAAAGACCCAGCGTTTGCCGCTCGTCTTCGGCGAATCGTGATCGCCGGGAGGAGTCGCCCCCTTTAAGCGCAGTGGGGAAGTCGCCCCATTCTTCTCGGATGTCGGCCGTCCGTGCTATCGACACCCGGCCACTCTACGGATCCCGGCTCAGGACCGTCCTCCTCCTCCTCCGCCGCCTACGGCTGCCTCGCGGGACGTCACGACGAGGCGGTCTCACTCCATGGCGATGTTCTCAATGCGAGTTTGAGCGACGTTCTTAGACGAGGCTCTACACAGCCACAGTTTGGCACAGATAGAGTCGCGCCGATGCTCATACTGAGAGCACTACATCCATCGTTAATTTAGTTAGGGCCCCCAAAAATTTGGAGGGGGGTGGGTTAATAATTTCACTTTTTTCGTTCATGAAACTAGGCGTACAGAATGTTTGTATTTGGATGCCGAGTTAGAAAAAAAAAAACATTTTAAAAATTTGACATTTTTCAACCTCCCAAAATGTGGTGGCCTCCCCACGCTGTGACGGTCACGAGGAGGGTGGGGGGGGGGGCTGTTTGACCATACTTCACCACGCTGGTCAGTGCGAGCTGAAAGTAGACGGGGAGGCCAGACGTAGACGTTCGCTACACAGGGTGCAAAGCGCAACAAATTACATTTGCTGCATGGCCCCCCTCTGCCACACGTGGCGTCTACGCCCCTCGCCGTGCCCGGTGGGTGGCACCCGACAAGTGGGTGGGGGGGGGGCACTGCCCACGCACCGTCCGGGGGGGCCCCCTCCCCTACCCCGCTTAGCTTCCGATGGGGAACATTCCCCGTCAAATGTGGTCATAGGCACAAATAGGTGGAGGGAAACCAAAAATGTCGGGAACAAACATTCGATCCGTAGGGTCCATAGATCGGGGAAAGCAAAACAAAAATTTCGTTTACGCTGGGGGACTCACGGCCGAAGGGGGGGAGGGGGGGGGGGTCGGAACCCCGGTTCGATTCCCAGCCACGGCCAACACGAGCCGTGAGCGGAATCCGAACCGGCCCTGGGCACCGCCCTTCCGCCAGCGTGCGCGGTTGAAGTGTGGTCAAAACAATGCCCCCGACACACAGGGCCCCGTGCACAGCAGCAGGGCGACGGCGCGCGGCTACGAGAGAAGAGCGAGCGGCTGGGGCTTGGGGGGGGGGGGGGTCGCGCCGCCTCGCCACTGAACGCGGCAGCAGCAAAAGGGGAAGTATGTACACCCACGGCTTATACACGAGTAGACAGATTGGCGAAGGTCACCGCTGCTCCGACGCTGGACCGCGCACTCACGCAACAAGCTCCACGCGTCTTCCAACACGGGGAGAAACTACAGATTTCGGGATGAGCGTCAAAACTTTCACACTTCCCCATGGCTTCCCATCGTCATCATTACCAACATCATCGTCCACGTCGTGTCTGCCTGCGTGACGAGGGTCACGATCAGTTTGCAAGTCCTAATCCTGTTGGCAATTTGACCTTATCGAGGCGCGGACTGGTGCGTACATACTCACACCCACGGACGATTTCCCACCACGTGGCACTCGTTTTTAGCAACCCGGCAAAGACGATGATTGGGTGAAGGTGACGCCAGTCCTGCGATGACCATCGACGCTCACGTTGTATTGGTCAAGAATCACAACGGAGCGGCTACTGACGAAATCGGAGACGGCGCGACGGGAATCGGTTCGCGTGCAGCTGCTGGGTTGGACTGCACGACTGGATCGCGAGAGGTGGCCGTGGATTTGAGGCATTCGTCCATTAGTGGATTGACCGTGGTCGATGGCGAAAGGTTGCATCACTGCAATTGTTATTAGTGTTACTCCTCTGGCATGTTGTACAACCCGATTTGGTGGGGCTCGGTTTATCTAACCGAGACACGCAGCAACGATTTTGACTATTATTACAATTCATCGTCGGCTCTTTGCGTTTGGCCACAAAATAATTTGGGTAATTGTTTGTCGGGAAGCCCTACAATTAGACACGATGCTCTTCCATCACGTCGGGGCTATGTTTGCGTGGCGGAGGGTCTTGCGACATACATTTTACCACATCATTGCGTAGCCGAACCTAAAAATCATGAATGAATCCGTGACATCGCCTGCGAAAAATCTGCCTGTTAAGTTGAGCAACGGCCGCGGTGACAATGGGAGCAAGTAGGTCCTGACCAGGGTCCCAATTCACACGGTCCTCATCGTCCCGTGCACAGCTACGCTCCCTGCCGTGAGCTGGAAACACCAGACCAAAACCGGAAAACACAAATTTACATTTCCATAAAAAAAAACACGAAACAAATCCGCGTTCACCTTCCACCCACCCACGCACCCACCCACCCACCCACGCACGCACACAAGCGATGACGTTTCTCTTTGGTTCGTTTTGATTTCTAAAAGAGCTGCGAAGTCCACAGATCGCGGCTACAGCGAACCTCCGCCAGACTCCCTACTCGACGATTTCCGCTGGGTGTAAAGAGATAAAACCAACAACAACAACAAAAACCAGAAATCACTCTGCGATCAATCGCCGCGACGACGACGTACAACAACAGTACCTCGAACTCGGCAGCAATGGCACCAACGCGCCGCTCCGCCGCCTCGACCGTCAAAAAGGAACGGAAACCGTCCGAACAATCTTTAAAAAAAAAACCCCGACGGAACTTAATTATCAGTATTAATAGTAAAGTACGAATAACCCGCGCCGTTAGCGGGCAAACGCGCGCGCAAAAAAAACAAACATAACTAGCGAGTGCCAAGTAACCGGGACGAGGAGCCTGCCAACACTGGGAGGCAAACGGGCAGTAACCCAAAGAGCCGATTTGATTTTGGATCTGCGTCCAACTAGGACCCATGTCTGACAAAGAGAGAGCGAGAGAGACCTTGCCTCTAAATATCCGGCAGTTAACCAGCGTTGGCTCAAGCGAGCCCGACTCTGCTGATGAGACACTGAATGTGGAAACCCATTCTGAGTTTTCTCGTGTTGAACCAATGCGGCTGAAATTCCACACTTCCAGAAGGCCGTGCGTGTGGCTGATGGGGATGTGTAAAATGTTTACATTTTCTTAAGTGCAAAGACAAATGTGGAAGGCGTATCTGCTTAGTTTTGTGATTAGGTCACTGGTCATAGGTGCGTGCTTGTTTGACCAAACTCCACCACGCAGGACCAGTTGATAGCACCAATCGCCACCGTCATAACCGTGGCCGGGAATCGAAATCAAGCGGCCGGATTCAGAGCCCAGTGCACTTACCACTTCATCACCACATCGGTGATGCACGAGCTACAATTATAATGACAACACTTTAGTGACGCTCAGCAGCAGCAGCAGCAGGCCTTGCAATCCAGAGGGCACCGGTTTGATTCCATCGCCCGGCGGAGAAATTGAAAATATTGGGCACATTTCTTATACATCCCCCACAGCCGCCACCACCTTTGTCCACCCAGCAGTGGACATAGGTTCTCTGTCGATCGGCAGGTCGTGTGTGGTGGGGTAAAGTGTGGGTACGCCCGCCACTACCAAGACGTATGGTTAGCGTGGAAGAGTAGACCAAATACCCTCTCGGTGGGGGCTCGGGGAGGGGGGGGAGGGCTCCGTGTGCGTCCCGAGTGTGGGCGCAGCTCTGCGAGACGCAACGCCGCCGACCCGCTTAAGGAAGCGAAAGAGCAATAAAAACATCGTTATCACTGATCGTAGTTGTGTAAAATATATATACTGTATATATATACCGTGTATTTGTATATATGCAAATTGTGTATAAAAATATTTTGCTAAGTGCAGTAAAGCAAGCACGGACCGTCAGTATGTCACTCACGGAACCCACCCAGGTAACCACCCCACACACGTCTCCCAGTTCTAGACAAAAACACACGTGACCCAATGACCTGGACTTTGGGTGAGTTCAGGGTTCAACAGGAATGGGGGGGGGGTTAAGTCAGGGGTCACCTGGTCACTCCCTCCCCACCCTCAGAGGTGGGGGTCACTCTAACGACCCACTCACAGACTCATTCCTCACAATCATCGTAGGAAACTTCTGAAGTTACGCATTACCTCTTTAAATTAGCGTCACAACTGGGGTGAAGGGGGGGGGCTAAACAGTAGGAGTGTGGAGGAAGGGGTTTGTGGGTGTCAGAGGCCGAGGGTCAACTGTGACAGTGCAGGGGGTCGGAGGGTTAATGCTGCCGGAGTTGGTATGGTTGTAGAGTTGGGAGGGGAGCGTTCACGTCTACGCTACAGGCCACTGCCCATGCTGTGCGGGTCGTGAGTGTTGTTTGACCGTACTTCACCAATCTGGTCAGTGCGGATTTTTGAAAAGGGGGGGGGGGGGAGGACACAAGTTCAGATAATCGCCCTCCCAGGCCCCGTTCAGGTGTTCGCCGCCGGCATCGGCCGTGGCCAGGAATTCGAACTCGGGTCGCCGGGTTCAGAGTGCAGTGCGCTAACCCGCTGCGCCACCGCTCCACCCCCCAACAGGGTCATATGGCAGAAGAGCAGACGATTGGGGTTGTGGTGCAAGGGTCACAGGTCAGTGCGATCCGACAGGGGCGGGTTCAGGGCACGTGGGGGGGGGGGGGGGGGGGGGGGTCAGAGTTATAAGGCAGAAGTCAAGGGTCAAGATCACAGCACCAACTGAAGGGCGGCAGAGAACTCAGGGGCCACAGCGGCCGGCACAAACAGCAGTGACGCCGGGGCCGTATCGACTTCGGATGCACGGCGCGCGTGTGGCACGCTGTGACTACGCACGCGCGCACACACTCTGCAACACACAGGCACTGGGGGACAACACGCGCGCATTACACACGCAACACACACCGGGACACGGGCACTGGAACAGAAACGCACGCGTCGAGTGGACACGCGCGCTCCCAACAGCACGGACACAACGCTGCGTGCGCACTTAAAAAATGCTCACAATGCGTACGGGCATTCTATCTGACCGCAAAGGGGAACGCATACTCTGGAACAACACACGCTTTAAGAGAATAATGTACATGTTCCATAACAAGACGCACACTGGAGCATCTCGCGCAACGCGCACTCTCCGGAGCTGGAACAGACACTCTCTGGAATCGGCACACACAACACTCTGGAACTGGAACACACAACACTCTGGAACTGGAACACACACACTCTGGAACTGAAACAACACACATTCCCTGGAACATACATTCTGAAACTGAAACACACACTCTCTGGAACTGGAACACACACTCTGGAACAACACACACTCTGGAACTGGAACATACACTCTGGAACCACACACGTTCTGGAACCGGCACGCACATACACACACAACTGCTCGAACACCAAGCACGCTGGAATGAGGCACATGCTCAATGCCCTGCCCCTGACAATCTCCCTCACAGTGAAGGCGGTGGTGGAGGCGGTGGTGGTGGAAATTTGAGGCACACAGAGTCATGCCCGTAGATTCTGAAACCAAAGCCGTGACCGCCCCTAACCCCGCCTCCCAGCACACGAAGACGACTCCAGGCCTGGGGCGGGGGGGGGCAGCACTTCTTACCAGCGGAGGGAAACGGGCGGCCTGTGCCTCTCTACCCTTTTACACGGATTCCCACCACAGCCCCCGGTTCCAAATCAAACCAAAGGTGGTCACCCACCTCCCCCTCACCATCACCTCCCTTGCCCTCTAACCTGATGGCCCTCTCTTCCAAGGGTTACCTCTGTAGTTCGGTGACTCCCGTCGCTTTACAATGGGTCCCCAGTGACACTTCACACATTGGGCCCAACGACCCTGAATACTACGACACCAGTGTCACTCCTCGCAGAGTCCCAGTCTAACTGGAGACTCACACCAGCGTCACTCCAGACACATACACACACCACCGCAGTGGCACTTCAGACACACCCACCACCGCAGTAGCACTGCAGACACACACACACCACCGCAGTGGCACTGCAGACACACACCACAGCAGTGTCACTCTATACAGTGGGCCCAAAAATGTTACTCCATCTCCGCACCAGACGTCCCCCGTTCTTCTGGACTGGGTCTCAATGTCTGAGGCGGCACATACGTTGTCGTTGGCACATGGATTTGTTTAACTCCTCCTTCAAAAAATCCGCTTGCTGTCCACAGTAGAGTCACAAAGCGGCTTCCTTCTTTTCGTCTCCACATCTTCTCAAAACGAAGCTTCCTTGAGTTGGCAGGAGAGGTGCGATCACAGTCAAAGGAAGCCAGGGTTCCAGATGAAGCCTAGAACTGAATTGTCAAGAGGAACCTGTTACCCCTTTTCCACCGACACATCCGAGCTAGCACGGGGCACCTTGTACTGCGCAGGCCTCACAAGAGGACGTCTGGCTCTGAGCCAAGCAGGGCCAATGCCTGGGATCGTGAAGCGTGCGCAGCCACAAGACGTCAGCGGCTCGGCTCCCGCAGTGGAAAAACAACCCAGCGCCTTCTGAGCCACGCCGGGCTGTCCTGGCATGGCTCGGTGGCGCAGTGGAAAAGATGTATGGGTTCCAGCTCAAACCCAGAACTAGATTCTCAGAGAAGCCTGGATTCCAGCTCAAACCCAGAACTAGATTCTCAGAGGAGCCTGGGTTTCCGGCTCAAAGCCAGAACCAGATTCTCTGAGGAGCCTGGATTCCAGCTCAAACCCATAACCAGATTCTCAGAAGAGGCTGGGTTCCGGCTCAAACCCAGAACTGGATTGTCAGCGGCAAGTCCATGACTGACGTCAGTCCTCTATGGACGACAGACAGAGCCGTGAGGAGGAGGGGGAGTCGGTGGCACAAGACACTGACGATGATGAAGACGATGATGTCGGTGAGAACAATGATGAGGGTTTATGATATCGCCAAACCTCATTTCCACATCTCCAAAAAGTTGGCCGAGCACGTAGCGGTGAAGAGGTGAAGGTGAAGATAAGTGAGTACGGTGATTATGGTGAAGATGATGATGTGGTGGTAGTGGTGGTGATGATGGTGAGGTGTGACGAAGTTAGTTTTTCTGCGGCCCAGGAGAGAGCACCACGGGGGTAGAGAGGCCATCCAGCGTCGCCAGGGGGATAGTCGCCATGGATCCTGCAGACGGGAACTACACACGGCGGCGGTGGGGGGGGGGGTGGTGAGGCAGAGGTGAGACAGTGGTGAGTGTGCATGCAGTGTATTATAGTGTGTAGTTGGTGAGCTGAGTGGTGATTGAACGCTCACCTAGAGGGATTTCCCTGCCCGTGTGCGAGCTGTGTTGTGCACGATGCACCACGTGCGTGCGTGCGAAGCGTCCAACAAGTGGCGTGTGGCGAACGAGTGATTGATGGCTGGTGGCTTGGGCGGTGAGCTCAATGGTGAGTGAACGCTCACCTGGAAGGAGGAGTTGCCAGCCTGCGTGCGAGCGGGGCTCTGCAGGGCCAGGGGGCTCAGCGTGCTCCAGAAGTGGATGCTGCCCGACGGGATCAGCGGCGACGGCGTCAGATACAGAGGCTGAGGATCGCACCCACAGGAACATCACCACCATGACCGCTGCCAGTCACCATCACATTGCCACTGTCATCGCTGTCACCGTCACCCTTACATCAACATCATCATTGCTTTCGCTGTCATCATCACCATCACAATAACATCATCACCGCCGTGATTGTCACCATCACATCGCCACCATCATCACCGCTGCCATTGTCACCATCACCATGACATCGCACCATCTCAACAGTCAGTAATCGACCACTATCATCAGTCGCCACCACAATATTATTGTCACTAGCACCACTAACCACAATGATCCAAACGTCAGGTTTCAAACGTCAGGGGTGGGTCTGGTGTGGTGAGCATGGTGTGCGTGGTGAGTGTGGTGTTGAGGGTAGTGTTAAGTGCAGTGAGGGTGGTGGTGAGTGTGGTGGTGAATGTGGTGATGGCGGTGAGGTGGTAGTGAGTGTGGCCAGTGTGGTGGTGAGTGTGGTGGTTGTAGTCAGTATGTTGGTGAGTGTGGTGATGGTGGTGAGGTGGTAGTGAGTCTGGTCAGTGTGGCAATGTGGTGGTGTGGTCAATGTGGTGGTCAGTGTGGTGAGTGTGATGGGGCAGCGCTGCCCTCTGACCTGCCCCAGCAGCGATGCTCCGGTAGTGAACGGCATCAGGGGGCTAGGGATCATGTCGAGGGTGCGGCACCCCGCGCTGGAGAGCCCCCCCACAGTGCTCAACGAATCCGACTCGGAGATGATGAGCAGGGGGGGCTGGGGGGGTTTGGGTCTCTTCACGCGGGGGGCCTCGCCCCCCTCTGGGGACGATGGGCTCATCGCCATCTGCGGTGCAACAGCGATGACATGGCGACGGTTACCGGGGGGGGGGGGGGGGGGGTGAGTGCCTTAGGTTACCAATGCAATTAACGACCCATCAAATCTAAATCAACCCATGTCCGAGTGTTCAAGCTGATCCTGTTTAACCAGGCGCGATACTTGCTTGCACCTTTACCGAACTATTTTTTGCACCTCTTGCTTCCATCCTGTATTTTGCACTGTTCTTTTGATTTGTGTGCGTTTCGTTTATGACCATAGTTTGTTGGTTGTGCAATATCGCTGAAAGACTACCCGTAATTGTTTTCGGCAAACGTTCATGTTTTTATCCGCGATTTTATTGTTGCTGCTGTTCTCATGAAACCGCGAAGATCTCCCATCTAAAATAGCCGGGGAAGCTGGCTGAACGGGACCATCTGTGTAACAAATCAAATAAACTCTGTTGTCAATAAACTCAAAGTGAGACACCCAAGAGACAAGTCTCATTGGCAAGAGTGGCCTGGATCGCTAAAATAACAAAAGCAGTTACGATGCAATGAAGCGAATATAAATCAGAGTAAAAAACTAACGTTGAGACTAAAATCCATAACTTAATGGATTTTCTGGAAGACACTCGACACAGTTTCATGCAAAAAGTCGAATCTAATTTCGAAATCGGGCCGTGAGGATTTCTCTCTCGCCCACGGTGCGTGAGCTAAACCGCTCATAATCGGCGCGTAGTTAAACGCTTGTACACCGCATGACAATGTGATTTGTATGGCTGTGTTGGGTCGTGAAGGGATTTTACGACGAAATATAGAATATCGGCTGGGAAAACCAATGTGTTGAGTTGTTATGTTGTCGCTATTATTATACGCTTGTTATTGTGGTGGCGGGGGCGAAGTGGTATCCGCACTTAGCAAGCTTTGCCATGGCGACCCCTCACCTGGGAGATGCCGGATGACTGCAGTGTCGCCGTAGTGATGGGCGTGCTCGCCGCGGACACCAGGGTCAGCTGGGCGCCCGTTGAGAATTGGGAGGGTGCCTCCTTCACGACCACCATGGGCAGCGACGGCCCCACCTCATCTTCGGGGGTACCCGGTGACGACTCAGGCCGCATCACCACAATCTCCACGTCAACCGCATCCACGGCAATGCACCCCTCCTCCTCCTTGGGGTTCTGAATGCAGTCAACAACAGGCGAAAAAACACGAGTGGTTGCCATGATGCATAACAATCAAATCCACATCGATACTATCTCCTCCGCGCATTGATAACACATCTTTACGTAATCACCTCCTCACCACTACCAACAAACATCACAACCTCTACCCCATTACATAATCATTATCCTAACAACACACAGCAACACAAACCCACATTCATACACCATCGAGGACCACATCACAACCACTACAGCGAATGAACGTGCCCTTACCCTCTTTTCGCCTTGCACCTCGTGAGCCCCCAAGTGCACCGTAGCTGGCACGGAGGCTCCGTGCGGCAGGGGCGCTTCCCCTTCAGTCCGCTCGGTGCCTTCCTGCACCACCAAGGACTGCGCTACCCCGTGCGGCACCGTCTTGGCCGGTTGCTGCACCGGGAGCGACATTGGCGTCGGCGCGGCGGGCTGCTGGGCGGCACTGGTTTGCACGGCGCTGGGCGCCGCCTGCAGCGAGTAGATGGTGAACGTGGAGTACAGCCCCGACGTCTTGTAGTCCGAGCCGGAGGTGCCACCGCCACCACCGCCGCCGGCGGACGCGACGGCGCCCCCACCCACCTTCCCGCCGGATCTCCGTGCCCCTCCGTCCACCACGCCCCCCCAGTCGGTGACGCCGGCGGACGCCGCCACCCCGGCCATCGTCACCGCGCCGTTGCCCATGACGACGGTGGGCGGCTGAGTGGGCCCAGCTGCTGTGGCGGCGACGCTGGAGGAGATGGTGGAGGGCCCCGAAGGCCCTGTCTTGCTGGCGCCCTCCAGTAGGAGGGTCGTGACACGCTCGGCGTCGGCAGACGTGAGCGACGCTGTATCCAGGTTCACCGATTCGGGGAACGAGACGAACTTGTAGACAAACTTCTGACCGTTCACCTTCTTGATGATGTTCTATGTGACACGACACACGGCGCTCAACTCAGTGAACACGGCACGCGTAGCTCTCTAAATTCACCAGACTTAAATTGCCACACACCACACTGACACACCCAGTTAACCCATTGTGCTGGTGTGCCACCACGTGCCCTGCTACCGGTAGCCTTGGATTCTCTGGTTGTTGGACATTCATTGTCTCAATAAATTGAATTTCACGGGCTCATAAATTACGTTACTCTATCTGTGTGTTTATGTGTCACCATGTCTCTGTGTACCCCCATGTAACCCTGTCCTCATGTCCCACCAGTGTACCCGTGTCTCCCTACCTTCTTGTACAAGTATCTACTCGTCACGTTGGTCTCGTTTTCTGATCTTGTATCTCCCTGTCCCAGTATTCCTGTGTCTCCCTGTGACATGTCCCCGTGTCCCCCCACCTTCTCGTAGTAGTATCTCAGCGCCCTGCTGAGCTTGTCGTAGTTCATGTTGGTCTTGTTCTTGCGCAGCCCCCACAGGCGTGCCACCTCCTCGGCCTGCAGCAGCTTAAACTCCCCGTCTGACGAGGTCCACGCGATGAGGTTCTGGTTCCGCACGTCCAGCAGCAGCTGCAGCAGGAACTGCCACAGTGTGATGGTCGAATCCATTCCTACACACACACTCTGTTGAAGCAAGTGCTGGCCGCATTTTTATTCCCTATTTATCTCCAGTGCTGATGTTTCATTTAATAATGAGTCCACCTATGGGAGGCCTAGGACTGGTTCAGATAATCGCCACTAGTGTTGGATGCGAGCCGGAATCGAACTTAGTCGCCGGGTTCGTAGAGCAGTGCACTTACCACTGAGCTACCACTCCCCACACGCAACAATTAACTACGCACACATGCATTCCCAAACATGTACATACACCGGATTAACTACAGACACACGCAAACAAACGACCACAGTGCCAACCAAGGAATGGAACACGTATAAGATAAGGTCCCGCCGAGGAGATGGAGCGATGAAATCAGCTCAGTGTAAAGGTGCTCGGATCGATTATTACATTGCAGGAGCGTGAGACATAGCAACAGATTAGAGAGGCCTTCGTCCAGCGGTGGACTGATCAAAGCTCACCTGCACAGGGCCGGCGCTGAGAGCGGAGTCACGCGATCCGGGCAGCCCTGGTGGTGCTCCCATCGGCGTCAACCGGGGCACCACCGTTCCCTTGCTCAGGGCACCGCCCCCACGGTCATCTCCCTCTGGACGCGGGGCCCCTCGCCCCCCACGGCAGTGGGGGTCTCACTGCTCGCACGAGAACACAAAGATAAAAGATCCCGCATGAAGCTCACTTAAAATGTAGGGGCAAGGGGTGCGAGCGAGCGTCTTTGAAGGCCGTATCGGCACACGACGGGGTGGCGTGTACAGCTATGCGCTCAGCCGCTTTTGCCTCGCCAAGGTTGATATTTACACACCGCGCCCGGTTCTCATACAAGGCTGAATTGACCTTGGAGAGGCCAAGGACCGGATCAGATATTCACTGTCACTGATGGTGGCCATGAGTATGAATCGAACTCAGGTCGCCAGGTTTAAAGTGCAGAGGGCTCACAACCGCTCCCAACAAACATACAAAGACCCCCCATATAGCCTTTAACAGATTATTGGGGCAAGTGCTGTTTGTGGGCACCTATGAAGTCCGGCACAGCACATGAGGGAGTGGGTGGCCAACAACATGCCTAGCCACCTTTGATTTCCAGTGTTGTTTACACACAGCATCAGGCACTCAATTCAAGTTGAGTCAACCTCGCAGGGTACACATCATGGGTACGCAGGGTATGTTAGCCACAGGTACACAAACATGCGTGTTATAATGATACATTATATATATGTGATGTTAGGACTGTTGTGAGGTATGATGATGCGTGGCAACGTGATGTGACGATGTGTGGTGTTCAGGGTCGGCCGAAACGATGACGTCTTGAAACGTCACACACTCCCTCCCTTTCCGTTGTCAGGGAAACCGCTCTGAGAAGCATTGCCATAGCAACCAAGCTAAATAGCAACACCATAGCAACAGAACCAAGGAGCATCGTCATGGCAACAACGCCAAGCAGTATCTCAGTAGGAACGACGCCAAGGAGTAACGCTAAAGCAACCATGCCGAACAGTGTCACCGTGGGGAAAAAAAAATCCAAGGAGCATCACCTTAGCAACGAAACCAAGTAGCACCACCACAGTAACCATTAAATAAAATATCACCGTAGAAACCACGTTCAGGTTCACAAAATCTCTTAATTGAGTAGGCGGTATGCAAACGGTACCCAACGCACAATGCCCTGCAGACGGTAATCCGTAAGTGAGCATCTATTAAGGTATTAAGGTCAGCACAACACCCGTCAGAGCGGTGTGTCGAAAACTACACGCGCACGTCCGCCGCTGTGCTGGTGATGTCAAACGCACGCTGATGTTTTCGTAATGCCGAATTTATTTGTGGATGCAAGTGGGTTTAGGCCGAGGTGACCTGGCTGCCATACCCACAACCTATAAACCTTGCCCTGCCATACCCTGAACCTATAAACCTAGCCCTGCCATACCCATAACCTATAAACCTAGCCCTGCCATACCCTGAACCTATATACAGTGAGGGAAAAAAAATATTTGATCCCCTTCTGATTTTGTACGTTTGCCCACTGACAAAGAAATTACCAGTCTATAATTTAATGGTAGGTTTATTTGAACAGTGAGAGACAGAATAACAACAGAAAAACGCATGTCAAAAATGTTATAAATTGATTTGAATTTTAATGAGGGAAATAAGTATTTGACCCCTCTGCAAAACATGACTTAGTACTTGGTGGCAAAACCCTTGTTGGCAATCACAGAGGTCAGGCGTTTCTTGTAGTTGGCCACCAGGTTTGCACACATCTCAGGAGGGATTTTGTCCCACTCCTTTTTGCAGATCTTCTCCAAGTCATTAAGGTTTCGAGGCTGACGTTTGGCAACTCGAACCTTCAGCTCCCTCCACAGATTTTCTATGGGATTAAGGTCTGGGGACTGGCTAAGCCACTCCAGGACCTTAATGTGCTTCTTCTTGAGCCACTCCTTTGTTGCCTTGGCCGTGTGTTTTTGGTCATTGTCATGCTGGAATACCCATCCACGACCCATTTTCAATGCCCTGGCTGAGGGAAGGAGGTTCTCATCCAAGATTTGACGGTACATGGCCCCGTCCATCGTCCCTTTGATGCGGTGAAGTTGTCCTGTCCCCTTAGCAGAAAAGAACATCATCCCCACCTCCATGTTTGACGGTGGGGATGATGTTCTTGGGGTCATAGGCAGCATTCCTTCTCCCCCAAACACGGCGAGTTGAGTTGATGCCAAAGAGCTCCATTTTGGTCTCATCTGACCACAACACTTTCATCCAGTTGTCCTCTGAATCATTCAGATGTCCAATGGCAAAATTCAGACGGGCATGTATATGTGCTTTCTTGAGCTGGGGGACCTTGCGGGCGCTGCAGGATTTCAGTCCTTCACGGCGTAGTGTGTTACCAATTGTTTTCTTGGTGACTATGGTCCCAGCTGCCTTGAGATCATTGACAAGATCCTCCCGTGTAGTTCTGGGCTGATTCCTCACCGTTCTCATGATCATTGCAAGTCCACGAGGTGAGATCTTGCATGGAGCCCCAGGCCGAGGGAGATTGACAGTTCTTTTGTGTTTCTTCCATTTGTGAATAATCGCACCAACTGTTGTCACCTACTCACCAAGTTGCTTGGCAATGGTCTTGTAGCCCATTCCAGCCTTGTGTAGGTCTACAATATTGTCGCTGACATCCTTGGAGAGCTCTTTGGTCTTGGGCATGGTGGAGAGTTTGGAATCTGATTGATTGCTTCTGTGGACAGGTGTCTTTTATACAGGTAACACGCTGAGATTAGGAGCACTCCCTTTAAGAGTGTGCTCCTAATCTCAGCTCGTTACCTGTATACAAGACAGCTGGGAGCCAGAAATCTTTCTGATTGAGAGGGGGTCAAATACTTATTTCCCTCATTAAAATGCAAATCAATTTATAACATTTTTGACATGCGTTTTTCTGGATTTTGTTGTTTTCATTCTGTCTCTCACTGTTCAAATAAACATACCATTAAAATTATAGACTGATCATTTCTTTGTCAGTGGGCAAACGTACAAAATCAGCAGGGGATCAAATACTTTTTTCCCTCACTGTACCTAGCCGTGCCATACCCATAACCTATAAACCTAGCCCTGCCATACCCATAACCTATAAACCTAGCCCTGCCATAACCTGAACCTATATACCTAGCCCTGCCATACCCTGAACCTATATACCTAGCCGTGCCATACCCATAACCTATAAACCTAGCCCTGCCATACCCATAACCTATAAACCGAGCCTTGCTATACCCATAACCTATATAACTAGCTCTGCCATACCCTGAACCTATATACCTAGCCCTGCCATACCCTGAACCTATATACCTAGCCGTGCCATACCCATAACCTATAAACCTAGCCCTGCCATACCCATAACCTATAAACCGAGCCTTGCTATACCCATAACCTATATAACTAGCCCTGCAATACCCTGAACCTATATACCTAGCCCTGCCATACCCTGAACCTATATACCTAGCCGTGCCATACCCATAACCTATAAACCTAGCCCTGCCATACCCATAACCTATAAACCGAGCCTTGCTATACCCATAACCTATATAACTAGCTCTGCCATACCCTGAACCTATATACCTAGCCCTGCCATACCCTGAACCTATATACCTAGCCGTGCCATACCCATAACCTATAAACCTAGCCCTGCCATACCCATAACCTATAAACCGAGCCTTGCTATACCCATAACCTATATAACTAGCTCTGCCATACCCTGAACCTATATACCTAGCCCTGCCATACCCTGAACCTATATACCTAGCCGTGCCATACCCATAACCTATAAACCTAGCCCTGCCATACCCATAACCTATAAACCGAGCCTTGCTATACCCATAACCTATATAACTAGCCCTGCAATACCCTGAACCTATATACCTAGCCCTGCCATACCCTGAACCTATATACCTAGCCGTGCCATACCCATAACCTATAAACCTAGCCCTGCCATACCCATAACCTATAAACCGAGCCTTGCTATACCCATAACCTATATAACTAGCCCTGCCATACCCTGAATCTATATACCTAGCCATGCCATACCCATAACCTATATACCTAGCCCTGCCATACCTAGAGCTCTAACCCTATAACCTAGCCCTGCCATACCCAAAGCTCTAACCCTACAACCTAGACCTTAACTCTAATGCCCTCACCCTGCCGTACCCCTAACCAGACCACACGATACAGTAGGGAAAGGACTCCGGTAATGCTGTACACAGTCCCAATAACCTTAACCCCATAGCCGATAGACCCAAACAACTACGCACTACTTTAACCCTAACACAAACGTGACCCTGCCCTGACTATTATTGCGTGCAACATTTTTTGTTGTTACAAAATTAAGTTTGGTGAAACCGAGTTGGGGGTTGTCGCACCAATGGCACAGGGCCGGAGCCTACCGTGTTCACTTGTAGGGTTAGCCTAGCACTGTAGGTGAGAGTTACAGGCCCGATCCTATACCTCTTACCCTATAGCCTGGACTCTATGGCCCTAACCTTACCCAGCTCAAACCTTACGCTGCCTACAACGCTAACCCTACAAGTACTAACATTAACCCCAATTCGCTGATATTAGCCCTATATCTCGAACTCCAGCCCCACGATACCTGAAACAGTAACTCTGTAGTCCTAACGTTAACTTAACCATAACCTTGTATGTACAGTAGGGCTAGGTGAGAATTCGAGCTACAGGTTAGCGTTATGGATATGGGATAAGTCCGACCCTATAACCATAGCTCTACCTACATACACCTAACCACGTTATGTTTATAGCCTTATAACCCTAACACAACTATACCCCTAACACAACTATACCCCTGTCCTAACACAACTATACCCCTAACCCTAATACAACTACACCCCTAATACAACTATACCCCTAACCCTAACACAACCATACCCCTAACAACACAACTATACCCCTAACCCGAATACAACGATACCCCTCACAACACAACTACACCCCTCACCCTAATACAACTACACCCCTGATACAATGATACCCCTCACAACACAACTACACCCCAAACACAACTACACCCCTAACACTAACACAACTATAATCCTAATACAACGATACCCCTCACAACACAACTACACCCCTAACACAACTGCACTCACAACACAACTATACCTCTAACACAACTACACCCCTAACCCTAACACAACTATACCTCTAACACAACTACACCCCTCACAACACAACTATACCTCTAACACAACTACACCCCTAACACAACTACACCCCTAACACTAACACAACTATACCTCTAACACAACTACACCCCTAACACAACTACACCCCTAACACTAACACAACTATACCTCGAACACAACTACACCCCTAACACTAACACAACTATACCTCTAACACAACTACACCCCTCACAACACAACTATACCTCTAGCACAACTACACCCCTAACCCTAACACAACTATACCTCTAACACAACAACACCCCTCACAACACAACTATACCTCTAACACAACTACACCCCTCACAACACAACTATACCTCTAACACAACTACACCCCTAAAACAACTACACCCCTAACACTAACACAACTATACCTCTAACACAACTACACCCCTAACACAACTACACCCCTAACACTAACACAACTATACCTCGAACACAACTACACACCTAACACTAACACAACTATACCTCTAATACAACAACACCCCTCACAACACAACTATAACTCTAACACAACTACACCCCTGACCCTAACACAACTACACCTCTAACACAACTACACCCCTCACAACACAACTACACCCCACACAACATAACTACACCCCTCACAACACAACTACACCCCTAACACAACTATACCTCTAACACAACTACACCCCTAACACAACAACACCCCTCACAACACAACTATACCTCTAACACAACTACACCCCTAACCCTAGCACAACTATACCTCTAACACAACTACACCCCTCACAACAAAACTATACCTCTAACACAACTACACCCCTAACACAACCACACCCCTAACACTAACACAACTATACCTCTAACACAACTACAGCCCTCACAACACAACTATACCTCTAACACAACTACACCCCTCACAACACAACTATACCTCTAACACAACTACACCCCGAACACAACTACACCCCTAACACAACTACACCCCTAACCCTAACACAACTATACCTCTAACACAACTACACCCCTCACAACACAACTATACCTCTAACACAACTACACCCCTAACCCTAACACAACTATACCTCTAACACAACTACACCCCTCACAACACAACTATACCTCTAACACAACTACACCCCTAACACAACTACACCCCTAACACTAACACAACTATACCTCTAACACAACTACACCCCTAACACAACTACACCCCTAACACTAACACAACTATACCTCTAACACAACAACACCCCTCACAACACAACTATAACTCTAACACAACTACACCCCTGACCCTAACACAACTACACCTCTAACACAACTACACCCCTCACAACACAACTACACCTCTAACACAACTACACCCCTCACAACACAACTATACCTCTAACACAACTACACCCCTCACAACACAACTATACCTCTAACACAACTACACCCCTAACACAACTATACCTCTAACACAACAACACCCCTCACAACACAACTATACCTCTAACACAACTACACCCCTAACCCTAGCACAACTATACCTCTAACACAACTACACCCCTCACAACAAAACTATACCTCTAACACAACTACACCCCTAACACAACCACACCCCTAACACTAACACAACTATACCTCTAACACAACTACACCCCTCACAACACAACTATACCTCTAACACAACTACACCCCTAACACAACTACACCCCTAACACTAACACAACTATACCTCTAACACAACTACACCCCTAACACAACTACACCCCTAACACTAACACAACTATAATCCTAATACAACTATACCTCTAACACAACTACACCCCTCACAACACAACTATACCTCTAACACAACTACACCCTCACAACACAACTATACCTCTAACACAACTACACCCCTAACACAACACAACTACACCTCTAACCCAACTACACCCCACACAACATAACTATACCTCTAACACAACTACACCCCTAACACTAACACAACTATACCTCTAACACAACTACACCCCTCACAACACAACTACACCCCTCACAACACAACTACACCCCACACAACATAACTACACCCCTCACAACACAACTACACCCCACACAACATAACTACACCCCTCACAACACAACTATACCACTAACACAACTACACCTCTAACACGACTATACCTCTAACACAACTACACCCCACACAACTATAGCTCTAACACAACTACACCTCTAACACAACTACACCTCTAACACAAATACACCTCTAACACAACTACACCTCTAACACAACTACACCTCTAACACAACTACACCCCACACAACTACACCTGTAACACAACTACACCTCTAACACAACTACACCCCTAACACAACTACACCCCACACTACACAACTACGCCTCTAACACAACTACACCCCTAACACTAACACAACTACACCTGTAACACTACACCTGTAACACAACTACACCTCTAACACAACTACACCCCACACAACACAACTACACCTCTAACACAACTACACCCTCACAACACAACTATACCTCTAACACAACTACACCTCTAACACAACTACACCCCACACAACACAACTACACCTCTAACACAACTACACCTGTAACACAACTACACCTGTAACACAACTACACACCTAACACTAACACAACTACACAACTACACCCCACACAACACAACACAAACTCCTGTCACCCCCCATACCGCCCCCGTACTCGCCGCCCACGCCCAAGCCGCGGGCTCCGACTCCATGTCGCGGCCCTCTCCTCCTGCTTCTCCTCCTCCTGCTGCTTCTCCTCCTCCTGCTGCTTCTCCTCCTCCTGCTGCTTCTCCTGCTGCTGCTTCTCCTGCTGCTTCTCCTCCTGCTTCTCCTCCTGCTCCTACTTCTCCTGCTGCTGCCCCCCGCTGAGCGGGGGGTCAAGACCCCACGACGCCGGGGAAGGGGGTGCCCACAGCGAGACCCTCATCCCCGTGGTACCCCCGTTGCTCGGGGTGGGTCCCCTTACCTCGCGCTCAGGGTCCTCCTCGTGCCCTGAGCGAGGGCCGCATGGCCCCGGGTAGAGACGACGCCGCCGCCGCCGACGCCGCCGCCGCCGACCTCTCCCCGGGGTGACTGCTGGGGGCAACCCTCGATATGGTCGCCGGGTGATCCCTGAAAGATTCCCGAAGGGGTCCCGGGGCGGGTGAGTGGGTGAGGTGAGGTGGGGGGGTCCCCACAGTGGGGCTTTCTGTCGACGATAACGACCGTGCGGACTTGGGTATCTTGAGCTGTCAAACACTCCCCCACCACCACCCACCACCACCACCACGTTGCTGCTGCTGCTGCGTCTCTCTCCTCCCTCCGCTTCCGTGCCCCCCTTTAATTCGCCTTGCGTTTCGATGCGGGGATCTCCCGGCCTCAGTATGTCGCCCCGTCCCCCTCCTCCTCCCAGCGCGTGTTGACTCCGCGGGTGACAACGGCGCTCCGTCTCCTACCACCACCTCCTCCACCTCCTTCACCACCACCACCTCCTCCTCCTCCTGCTGCTGCTACTCGTACGGCGACGGCGGCGATGCGCGATGTGGACTCGGGGCGGCGCTCGCACCAACAACAACCACCACCACCACCACTCGCACCAGCAACAACAACAACCACCACCACCACCACCACTCGCACCAACAACAACCACCACCACCACTCGCACCAACAACAACAACCACCACCACCACTCGCACCAACAACAACAACCACCACCACCACCACTCGCACCAACAACAACCACCACTACTACTCACACAAACTCACCACTCTGCTTCTATCACAGCAACAACATACGTTTACAATCGTAATCGGTTTATTAAGTTGTGAATAATATACATAACATGTACATAACATATACATAACATGTACATGACATATACACAACATGTACACAACACACAGCACAATTGCCACTGGTATAGGTGTACTGCTGCTGCTGGGGTATATACGTTCAATCGCTGTTATACACAACAACAACAATCGCAATCGCTTTAATATGTTGTGAATAATATACACAACATATCCACAATATATGCACAACATATACAAAACATATACACATGTACACAACACACAGCACAATTGCCACTGGTATAGGTGTGCTGCTGCTGGAGTATATACGTTCAATCGCTGTTATATACAACAATCGTAATCGCTTTAATACGTTGTGAATAATATACACAACATGTACACAACATGTACACAACATATACACAACACAGCACAATTGCAACTGGTATAGGGGTGCTGCTGCTGGGGTATTTGCGGTCAATCGCTGTTATACACAACAACAACAGAATGTTGATAATGCAATCGAACAACACTGCAGGTAGCTCCTAATGCTGTATAGTACACAAACACACAATTCCCATATGATAACGATGATTGTGTTAGAGGTACACTATAAGGTACACTACATTGTGTGCATGCATGGTTTATTGTTAATTCACTGCTAAATGAGTGCCGCGTGACAAACACATTGGTAAACAAATACGTGAATGCTATAGGACACAAACGACACAATGGACATTATGATTCATGTGTGTGTTATTACACAATATGAATGCACAATCCATAAAGTGTGTAACAGCACTGCTGCTTTAGACAAACACAATACGCGAGTGGACACAAGTTTACATCACAGCTGTCAACCCCTAATCAGTGTTGCCTGCCTTATTACAGACCAATTCAGACCTTAGTGGTGACCCCGTGCCCCTTATACATCTCAAAGTTCATCCTACAAAGTCCCATCACAAAGGGAGAAACACACAAATAGACAATCACCACTGCTACACTCACGACTAGTACACTCACCACTGCTACACTCACCACTGCTACACTCACCACTGCTACACTCACCACTAGTACACTCGCCACTGCTACACTCACCACTGCTACACTCACCACTGCTACACTCACCACTAGTACACTCGCCACTGCTACACTCGCCACTAGTACACTCACCACTACTACACTCACCACTGCTACACTCACCACTAATACACTCACCACTAGTACACTCACCACTGCTAGACTCACCACTGCTACACTCACCACTGCTACACTCACCACTGCTACACTCACCACTAGTACACTCACCACTAGTACACTCACCACTGCATACCTGTCAACCCTTATCAGTGCTGCCTGCCTTATTACAGACCAATTCAGACCTTATTGCTCACCCCGTAACAGCACATCAACACAATAGCACATCAACAACACAACAGCATTAACAACACAACAGCATCAACGACACAACAGCATCAACAACACAACAGCACATCAACACAACAGCACATCAACAACACAACAGCATTAACAACACAACGGCATTAACACAACAGCATTAACAACACAACAGCACATCAACAACACAACAGCATTAACAAGACAACAGCATTAACAAGACAACAGCATTAACAACACAACAGCATTAACAACACAACAGCACATCAACAACACAACAGCATTAACAACACAACAGCATTAACACAACATTAACACAACAGCACATTAACAACACAACAGTACATCAACACAACAGCACATCAACAACACAACAGCATTAACAACACAACAGCATTAACACAACGGCATTAACACAACAGCACATTACCAACACAACAGCACATCAACACAACAGCACATGAACAACACAACAGCATTAACAACACAACAGCACATCAACAAACACAACAGCATTAACAAAACAGCATTAACAAAACAGCATCAACACAACAGCATCAACACAACAACAACAACACAACAGGATCCACAACAAAACAGCACATCAACAAACACAACAGCATCAACAACACATCAGCATCAACAAACACAACAGCATCAACAACAGAGCTGCTGGTGGTCCATGCTGTGCCGTGATGCTGTGCCCGTGCACGCGTTCGTAATCGATGGTCGTTAACCCCGCAGCCTCCCTCCCTCCCTATTCAACCACAACCAATAGCAATTCAGAGAAGGCGGGAAACCCCCCCCGTCCCCTCCCCTCCCCGTTGTGACGATACCGGTGACGTCCGCAAAGCCCCCCCCCCCCCTCTCTCCCCCTCCCTCTCTCCCCCTCTCATTGTCTTCACCTCCTGTCCAGCGGCACACGTGTGGACAGAGAGTATGAGAGTATGGATCCTAGCAGTCACGAAAGCTTTAAATCTAGAATAGTCTGTAGATATATTTGAAAGTCTGCTTTGAAAACCCATCTCTTCAAACGGAACATTCCCTTTTTGTTATTTGCTCGGTTGTCCCCTGGTTTTGTTGTTTTAGTTTCCCGCTTTCCATGCATCGCGCATTGGGATCCGAGGATGGAATTCGCATTGTGCATTTTAATTTTTGTTATAAATCGAACCGATGCACAATCACAGATAGCACGCTTGCGTAAAAAAAAACATATATACAGTAGTCATCCCGATTATAAGTCGCACTATCCCCAGACCCTCCCTCCCCCCCGTGACTAAAGCAAACGTTGGCGGCGCGTCTTATAATCCGGTACGAGATGCCGGATTTGTATAACTTTACCGGGTGCGTCTTATAATCCCGTACGAGATACCGGATTTGTATAACTTTACCGGGTGCGTCTTATAATCCGGTACGAGATACCGGATTTGTATAACTTTTACCGGGTGCGTCTTTTAATCCGGTACGAGATTCCGGATTTGTATAACTTTACTGGGTGCGTCTTGTAATCCGGTACGCATGAGTTACCAAATTTGTATAACATTACAGCGGACGTCTTATAATCAGGAGCTTGCTTGCCATGAATCTAAAACAATCGATTCGTGCCACTATAAGATTATTCGATTAATGTACTGTATCTGAACCGAGAGAATCGATTTGTTAACTGTAGCGATTAATCTCAAATCCACGATACATTACAGACGTCTCGATTCCGTATTTACAATTCGATTTCGGAATTTATTCTGACGGGACGTGCGGAGACTACAGTTTATCGCTGGGTTTGCACGAGCGCATCCGAGACCATTTATCGTAAATAAAGTCAATCATTGCACGCACGATTACGTTTAAACTGGCCGTGTGAACATACAGAGAATCTATACAGTATATCGATCCACGCACAACACAGTGAACGCGTGTCATCGGGTCTCTGCGCATGCGCACAACGCGCGCGTGAGGGGAGTTGGGAAGGGGGTCTCGTGACGTCACCGCCCACAACTGCGCGTCGCGTGACGGCACGGAAACGGGGCGCGGCCTTAGATGGGAGCAATGTGGGCGGGGCCAAGAAGGGGGGGTGGGGCCAATAAGGGGGGGTAGGGCCAATAAGGGAGGGTGGGGCCAATAAGGGAGGGTGGGGCCAAGAAGGGGGGGTGGGGCCAAGAATGGGGGTGGGGCCAAGAAGAGGGGGGGTGGGGCCAAGAAGGGGGGGGCAACAAGGGGTGGGGTCAACAGGGGGGGTGCCAATAAGGGGGAGTAAACAAATTGGGGGAGGGGGGCAATATTGGGGGGGGGGAAGAAGAGGAGCAAGAAGGGGGGGTGCAAGAAGGGGGGGGGTGCAAGTCGGGGGTGGGCGCAAGGCGCCGTGGGCGGGGCTACTCGCCCCCCCCGCCATCAAGTCGGGGTCGTTACGGGGTTCAGAATCAGAATGTTTCAATCTTGATTTGAAGCTTTCGTGACTGCAGGAATCCACACTCTTTGGTTCTTTCGGTAAAGTCACGTAGGTAGAAAATAAAACAAATCACGACGTTTCGATCGCAACACAAGCGGCCGTCATCAGGTGTAACAGACACGGCAGGACTGCTGACATAGTAGAAAGCTGCTGCTAACAAGAGTCGATATAGGATTTTGGTGGGCTCAACCTAAGGGTAATTGGGCGGAGCTAGAGACGGAACTAGCATGTAAATGTGACAGATTAGCACGTCAATGTGAGACGCCGTGATTTATTTTATTTTATACCTACGTGACTTTACCGAAAGAATTAAATAGTATAATCAGAATGTTTGTTTGTAGCTGGAGCAATCCGATGAGCTAGACAGCTCTTCTTCACAGACGTGCAGCAGGGGCCGGGTCAGAACGTTGCGACAACAAACGATGCAAAAACAATAATATAGGAGTGCAAAGTATAGGAAAGGTAAAACAAATCACTTTTAAAAATGTACAAATAAAACTTCATTTTTTTTATTATACCAAGTAAAGCCCACCGTGCTATTAACGGATTTTCTTTCGTTTGGTTACCAAGAAAAGCCTCACCGAGACGTTTTCTGGAGGTTCTTGTCAAGTTTTACGCAGTAAGGGGGGGGGCGATAGCTGTTGTCGCTGTGAGATGCCGAGAGCGATGGCCCAGGGAGTTTTGCAGCATTGGGATATTTAGACGAAAGGGAGTTCCACTGTGTGTGGGTTTAGCTATGGGAGGATGAAACCGGAGGAAACCCGTGCAGAACATCAAGGGAAGATCTAAATCCCGCACAGCAAAGCGGCGCCTGAGTAGGTACTCCCAACTCAGGGGGCCCTTTGCTGCGAGGCGCCGGTTGTTATCAGTGCGCCGGTGAGGCGTAAGGTGACATCGCCGTGGTCGATCCACTGCTGGAAGAGCGCCTCCCCCGAGCCAGCGCTGCTACCGCCCCCGTCTCGCTTCCGCTGCAGCGCACGAGCCCATTGGGTCGCTCCCATCTCCTGTGGACGCTCTCGCGAAATCGTCGTCTCGTCTCTCCACTGCGTGCAATTTTCAAGCGTGCATCGCGAACTTTTTCAGCTTTACATTCGGTCCGAGCCACCGGTGAAGATTCCTCGTTTGCTGCGGCAAACGAGGAATCTTCTTTCGCACCGTACGTGGCCAACCATGCAAATCACCCACGCGCTCATGCGACATTCGTCAATAACGTGGCCCAAAGAGGAAATATATATACTGGTAGAAACCTCCTGGTGACACCAACCCACATTATTGTGTCCGTCCGTCCGTCGTGCATCCAAAAATGGGAGCGTGGGGCTGGGTGGGGAGGGGCTGGTCACCCCATGGTGCCCTTATAAAACTCCGGGCATATTTGCGGAATACACCACGCCGCCGTTGACCCTGGCCATTGACCGAGCAACCCAACGTTCCTACCAGCTCCCTCCGCAGGAATGTGTTAATAGGCAACGTTTCGGGATAAAGTGGCCAGGGAGATAAGCGGACTCGCCTTATCAGTCACAATCTCTTGAAAAGCAACCGTTGTTCGCCACTAAGTGAAGTGTAGAAGGCCCGCTGGCAGGTCACGAGACAGACCCAGGTGCCATGGGTTGACCGAGGTGACCGGCAAAGGTCTAATCTGTGCTCCCACTTGTTGTTGTGAACGTCGCTCCTTTGCCCTCCATTGCTGCCAGAGGCCTCAAACTCCCCGGGAGTGAGGGTCCTTCACGAACATCCTCCAATCTCTCACCCACTCATTCATTCATTCACACCCACTCACAAAGATCCCCTGTATAACCTGAACAGACTGTTGGGGCAAGTGATGTTATCGAGCACCTATAAAGGCCGGCACGGCACACGAAGGGGTGGGTGGCCAACACCACGCCCGACCGCCTTTGTCTCCCTAGTGGCGATGTTTACACAATGCACCAGGTACTCATTTGAGGCTGAGTCGACCTCGGGGAGGCCCAGGACCGGTTCAGATAATCGTCACTGGTGTTGGCCTTGAGCGGGAATCGAACTCGGGGACAACGGGGTTCGAAGCGCAGCGCGCTAACCGCTACACCACCGCTCCCCTTACTCACTCACACTCACTCACACCTCTTCACGCAGGGCCACGCAGGGCCACACCGGGGGTTGTGCGGCAGCACCGACGTGAGACCAGACCCCCAAGTTACGTAAAACTCTTTTTTTCATTTCAGGAGAGAAAAAAAAACACAGTGGCGTGCATTTACATCGTTCTCCGCGACGCGAGTGCGCGGGGAGGAGGAAGGCAGAGGAGGTCCTGGGAGCCACGGTGGCCGAGTTGGATACCAGGACCAGGGCAAGGCCATCGGTTATGACCATTGCACACATTTGTAAACAAGAACCCACACGCAGCAACAATAAAAATAACGATCAGAAAATCGTCATCACCATGACCACCATTGTCATCATCAGCAGCACCACCACCCCAGCATGCGCTGTCTCAGCGCCGCATTCCGAGTCACAAGCTCGGCTCAGCCTTGAGCCGCTCAGCTGCTTCAAAAGATGCAGGAAGCGGGCTCATCCGTGGCTCGGCTGAGTTCATGTAAACAGTGAGCGCAGCTTAAACCACTTGAGCCAGAGCCGTGACTAAGAATGCGGGCCCAAGCGTAGTGTGTACAGCTTTCAAGGCAATGGAATAGACCACCTCGGCATGGCCTTGTTACGTACTCAGGTTTGGAATTTCGGCCATTCCTACGGCGCAAAGCCGTCACGGAGATGCATTGTTTCACAGACGGGTAGTGTGCCAGGAAGGGGCGATGTTGCCACGTGTTTTAACCCAACAAAGCTAATTCTTGGGCAATTGTTTAATTCATGAGTCACGCAAACTAGCAGTGGATTGAGCGTGGACGACGATGATCGTAAAAGGGCGGTGTGACACGACCGAGCAGAGATTTGCGGTTCGAGTACTGCGGCCGCCCTGGTTAATACTGCGGCAAATCAACCAAAAATACTCCGTGCCGTTTGCTTCCCAGTGAACGTTAATGATTCTGCGACTCGTAAAAAATTAGCAGTAGGCCATGCGTGCAGGCGTTACGGTCCACGCAATTGACAAACATTTTAAAATTCCGTAAATTTTCCTCAATTGGGAAGATATATCATTGCACCCACCGCACAACTTAGCAGGACCCTCCTGAAAACAATCTAAAGTCTCGACGAGGCTCTCCTGGGTCAATAAAGGTTGACCGTAATTAGCAACGATTGGGCCAAATGTCGCTCTCCGATGACTGCTTCATGTGGTCTCAATTCTTAAGCCATCTCTTACGGCTGCATCTGTTACCTGCTTTTCTGTCTTACCCTACTCCTTATGGATGTCGTTGTGAATCTATTGCTATGTGAATGTATCGGTCACAAAGGACATCTTATTTGTCTCTCTGCGAATCTATGAGTGTATATATTGACCTCTACGCGAGTATTGGTCTAAGGTTTGGTCTCTATGAATCTATTGCTCTGTGCGACTAGCTATCAGTCTCTAAGGTAATCTATTGTCTGTGAATCAATGGGGTCTCTTAAGTTTATGGGTCTCTCTCCAACATGTTCCTGCCATCAGCTCCATTGCGACAATGGGGCCTGCAACACCACTCTGTTCAGGCTTGATCTCCTTCCTCTAGATTATATAGCCCTGGTATCCAGTTCCGTCTTCCCCCTCCTGTATAATTTCCACATTTTCGTCAAATCTCCCGGGTCCAGGATCCGCCTGCCTTCATTCATTCTCGCCACGTGTCCAGAGCCTCCCGAGCCTTCTTTACGCGACTGTTTAACAAGTCGGACGCTGCTGATGAGACCCAGAAGGCGAATCGGCAATGCAATTCTGCCATTTTAAAAGGGGGGGGGGGTTAAGTCTGTACAATGCACGTGATCAATAAAAACAATTCTCTAGAGACCCCCCCCCCCACCGTGTAGCCCAACACGGAGCGTTGGAGAAAGTGCTGTTAGAGCGCAACTGTGAAGGGCGGCACTGCGCACGAGGTGGTGGTGGTCTGGCGGGCACCACGCCCAGCCGACTTGGTCTCCCGAATGCTGATGTTATTACACATCGCACCAGGTACCACCGGCCGCTTAAGGTTCGTGGGGAGTGGTGGGGCGCAGTGATAAATTCAGTCGTTCGGAATTAATTGACAGACTCAAACTAAGCGAGGCCAAGGACCCGGTTCAGGTATTCGGCACCGACGATGACGGCCGTGGCGAGGAATCGAGTAGAGGACACGGAGTTTGTGGTGCAGTGCGCCAACTGCTGCACCACTGCACCCAACAGAAGCAACACACACAGACACGCCGAGACACAAACCAGACTTAGCTCCTGCCAAGCATTAGGGCCGATGGCGCACGTTTTCACAATGAGATGTGAATCTCAAGGGTTTGTATCCTGATCAGATGTATATTTTATTTTACAGATGGGTGAAGGTGCAGCCCTGCATTGGCTGGCTCTCGCTACTGCTGGTGGATGGCGCTCTAAAGAGTGTTTGGCCTACTCCTCCACGATGGTCACACTTTACCCCACTAAACGTGGCCTACCGATCGACTGCGGTGACCCCATTAACGGTGATGGGTGGACAGCAGCGGTGTTGGTGGATTAAAAAAAACCCGCTCCATTATTTCAACTGCCACGCCAGGAGATTGAACCAGCGACCTCTGGATTGCATTTCTCGTATCATTTACAGAGTGAACGTGCCATTTACAAGCAGCCAATTTCAGTTTCCCAAAATAATGCATCCTCTCAATGTTTGTACCTGGGCGTGCGACTGATTCTGGTTAAATACAAACTTATTATAATGAGGCTACACCTGGTTGTTGAGTGTCAGCAAAGTCGAAACTCAGTCCGGGATTTTCTGACGTCTGCACCGCATTGGTTTTTGTGAGGCCACAGCTCAACGAGGAGACCCAGATAGTTGCCTCCACCACCAAACGCCACGAGGAACCACGGACGTGGAAGATTGTCCACAGCTCGACGGGTCGAACGTCGACTCTCGCATTGATTTCCACAAAGCCCGCGGGGCCCAGCACTCCAACGTTGCGCTCGGGTCGCACCGTGGTGTCCGTCGCAATGTCCGATGTTTCGCTCGAGGCGTTTGGGAGCTTCCGTAGAAACTTAGGAAGCTCCGAGCGCATTGAGCAAAACGTCGGACATCGTGAAGGACGACACGCGGTACGACCCGAACGCACGTCAAGAGCGCTACACAGCACAACCGTAACAGCAGTCTGCGTTAGCGATAGGAGGCAGCGTTAGAAATAGTGGACAGGGTTAGAGATTTGAGTCAGATTTAGAGATAGAAGGCAGTGATCGGGATAGGAGAGTGTGAGAGATAGGAGTCGTTGTTAGCGATACGAGCCAGTGTTAGAAATAGATCGGAGGCAGCGTTAGACAACGGAGGAATCGAATTGGAACTCGATTTGAATTGGAACTAAGTGCAGTTTTTAAAGAAGATGCCGGCACGCGGGAGCGGAACGTCAGACAGCATGCCAAGCAACACATAGCAGTACAACCTAAAAACACATGGGAGAGAGCCACACAGCAGCACAACAGCGAGAACTCAGGCAGCAGTAAAACCTCCATGCCTATGCGACGTGCATTCCTATGTACAGGTCACCATCATCACGACAAAAACAGCCATAATACAGGCTGGGTGTGTTCTTGGCGCACGTCAAGAGAACGCATGGATGTATGCCATGGCTCATCTCACCCTGCCGGTCCCGAGCCAGCAGTGATCATTCCACATGATTATGGCAGGGCCCAGTCTATTCTGATAAATTCCGAGCGAATCAACAAAAAACGGCGAGGGCGACAATAACAGCCGACTTCCTGGCACAGCCCTGCGACAGCCTCACCCGGTGCCGAGTACTCCTCTGGTCCTCTTTTGGCGACGGCGGCGGCGACAAGGATGACGACGGTGACGACGATGGAGAAATGATGCGGAAGCTGCAGGTGGCGATGATCATTTTGTAGGGAAAGAATGCCAATGACGACGATGGAGTTGACGACGCTGATCTTCTTCGCGTGGCTGATGTTGATGTGGCGCAGCAACTCTTAAATTTTACATTGAGGTGGTTGAGCCAGATAATTGTCAATGGCTTAGCCCGACAATATTTGCAGGAGCTTATCCATATTTACACCCCCAATGAAGTCCCTGAGATCTTCGTATCGCCTTCTTCTAAGGACTGCGAGGTCAAGGCTCTGTTGCTGGGGTAGCCAGGCTTTTGCCATTGCAGCTCCCAGACTGTGGGGCAACGCTTTGCCTTTGGTAATAAGACAATCAAGAATCAAGAGTCGTTAGAGCGGTTTAAATCTGTCTTGAAAACTCGCCTCTTTAAATTGGCCTTCATTCCCGCCAAGTTATGGATGTTTTCCCTGGTTCTATTTATTTCCTGCTTTTCATACATGGTGCGTTAGGATTAAATGCACCTTAAAATGTCATTATTATTGAGAGTGTTGCTGATGATGCTCGATGATAATACCAATTGTGAAAAGATGCTGCCGATGGCGATGCTGCAGATGGTGATGGCGCTGCCATATACGAATGTTACTTGCATTGTGCCGACTACAATATTGACCAGCAGTGCATCACACTAATTATGAGCTCAAGAATTAAAAGCCAGGTTGAAAATATAACATTGTAAACGCTTTCTGAAACGCATTTGAAGTTTTATCTACACGTAGTTTGCTGGCAAGTTAATTCCAAGCCTTGGGGCCCAGGGTACGAGAAGGCGCGCTCCCCCAAATGTGTTTTGTACGCGTGGGCCGTTGTAGTCAGAGCTGTCTGCAGAGTCAATACCAGCCCCGTGATGAGATTTTCTATGGGTGTGTTGGAGTTTTGTAAAAGGCTGGAAATGTGTTTATCTAAGCCGTGTGCATAACGAGGCAAGAGTTTATACACTACCCGGATGTGCACTGGGACCCAGAGCAACTCTTGAAGAGCTGGTGTGACTTGGGTTATGGAAGGCGAGAAATCCCATAAACAGCCTGGCTGTAAGGGAGCGATTGTAGATTTGGGCAAACTAGCGAGCGCACAGTTGCAGTTGTCTAAACGACTGAGAATAAAAGCGGTTACCAGCTTACCCATGGTGCCACGGATTATGATGGCAATTGCTACTGATGACGCCAATGATGATGGTGCTGCCGATGATGCCGATAACTGATATATGGTGACGATGGTGACAATCCTGAGCCTCCCCAACAAGGATTGGAACCTAAGGCCTCAGGCTCCCGAGCCATCACCGCGTTGCCGCCACACGCACACACGTGTGGGTGGGTGGGTATGTACTATTGACGCACGCACCTTATGTCTGTATGTATATATGTACACGCGCACATCACACAGCCATTAAATAATGAGTTTGTTAATTATAATCGCAGCTCAATTAAATCAAAACCATGCAACACGACACTGATCCTAGGCTCCACTACTACTCCTCTTCCTCCTGCTCTCCTCTTACCAATTTTCCACTGGCACATCCGAGCCTAGCCAGCAAGGGTCCCTCGCAGCACCGGTGGTTTTCCACCGGCTATTTGCAGAGCCGAGCCGGAAACAAAGCATGTGACGACGGGCTCACAACAACTTAGATGCGATGCGCCCATAACGTGACAAATGGCTTGGAGCGACATCGGAATCTGGCTAGGGGAAAAGTAGGACCGTGACTTCGGTTGCTGGAACTCAAAAGAAGTGTCGCCGCATCATTTGCACGGGGCTCTCGGCTCCTGCAGTGGAAAAACAACGCTGGCGCCTCCTGAGCCGCACGCTGGGCCAGCTTGGCCCTGCCCTGGTGCGGCTCGGTTGTGCAGTGGAAAAGGCATGCTGGAGACGGTGGAGCAGTGGGAAGGAGCGTCCGGGAAGTGTGGGGGAAGCACAGGAAGCGTTAGGAAGCACGGCGGTCTCTGTGGCGGGGGTCTCTGCCACCCCCCCCAGCCCCCCACTTCTCCCATGGCTGCCCACCACCCCCCCCCCACTCTTCAATCGCCTGTTTTGGTTTTCAAATCAAATCTACATGCGTAGTCACAATTCACCCTCTCCCTCCCTTCCCGAAAAGTGCAAAATAAATTTTAAAAAATCTAAACCATCACTTTAACGACGACGATAACGCACCTTGACTGCCAAATTACTCCTCTCCGCTCACTACTCGCCCCACTATTGAGTAAAGCTGGTTCCACACCCGAGCGATCGGCTGCGCAACCAAACCGCTCTGGAAACGACACAGATCGATCAGCATCCGAAGCCGCTTTGTCCAAGTCTGGATGAGAAGTTGCACGACGAGGACTTTCAACGGCTTCAGGCAATCGGGATCCTAATGGCCGTTCGACCAATCGCTGCTCGCGAATGTGTGGCACAAGGCGAAACGCGTCGCTACATACTGGATTCGGTCTTTACTGCGAGCAACAGAGTTGCAGAGATGTCCACACGTAAGCGGTTCCCCGTTGCACACCAGGCCACAACCGAGTTGCAGCAACTAATCGCTCAGGTGTGGAGCTGGCTTAATGCACACACAACACACGCATGCGTCGTGGTGATATCCCCCCCCCACCACCACCCTCCACCCCACGGTAGCGCCCCCCATATGCTCACCGGGCGGGTGAGCGAGTGGGCGAGTTCACGGGTCCCCCACTCTGTGACTCGCCCACCCACTTCCTGCCCAGCTCCCTCCATCCCAGCGAGTGGTTAAGGGGACGCGTGAGCGGGGCGAGCGGGTGAATGAGCGGGCGAGCGAATAGACAAATTAATGTGTCACGCAGCCTGGCATTGCGTGTCTCCCCTCCTCACCTCATGGTTCACCCGTCTCCTCGCCTCCTCACCCAGTGAGTGAGTGAGCAAATGGGTGAGTGGGAATGTTCACGCGTCACTGCAGACTGGTTTGTGTGCGTCCCATCTCATCCCCTCCACCCCGCCCTCCCACTTTCCTGGCTCGCTCGCTCGCCAGCAAAGTGGGCGAGCAAGCGAGCGAGCGGGCGAGTTCACGTGTCGCGCAGGCGATCGATGAGCTGCCAGCTGAGTCCGAGCTGCAGCAGGTGGCGTGGGGAGGCGTGGGCGAGGCAGGGCGCACTGGCGAGCAGCCGCTCCCAGCAGAGCTCCAGCAGGCTGGGCGCCGTGAGCCAGGCGCGGTACAGCGACGGCGTACGCCGGTTCTCCTGGATGCTCACCACACCGCCGTGCACGTACATGCAGCCAGCCTGCACGCGTGTACACACGCACGCGCACGGGGGACGCGTTGGTACGAGACACAAATGCACAAAGACAAATATCTCCTTCCACTCGCACTTCTGAGCGTCATTCACCCCGCCCCTGATTTAGATGCTTCGTGGGGCCAGCAGAGCACGGTTTTGTTCAAGCTCAGTTGGGCTCAGCAAAATTAACCTTATGGCGGTACCCCGGGGTACCATGGTACCATAGTACCCCGGGGTACCATAGTACCCCGGCTCTCGCATAGTGTCCGTGATGCAATCACTGTTAGTCTGTTGATGGTCGGCGATGTGGTAATCGACTAATCTCGACGAGCTGTACACTACGATGCACTAACTACGGTGCGTACCCAGAGCGTTCAGGGTTGCGGCACAATCGTCCTCGCTGCGTTTCGACATCGTGGAGTAGCACTGTTTTCGGATTGATTGGTACCCCAGTTGCGGAGTTACGTAACACCCCTGGAAAAAATAGTGTCCCAGAAATAAAAGATTTAATTGCCTCGGCCATTTTGTATTATTTGGTACCCCAGGGTAACGCCATAAGGATCGAATGCCAGTGTTTTTTTTTATTGATTTATTTTTTGCCTCTGGTCAAATCCATTGGGCAATGCTAATTTTCGATGGAGACCTGGTTACACCAAGCTCCAACAAAACACGAACAAAAGAATCCAAGATCCACCCGTGCCGTGCTGGCTTCATCCCGACCTCGTCCTGGCCCCGTGCTGGCACGGTTCGGATGTGCGAGTGGAAAACGAGTAAAATATTTTTTTGCGTAGCCCTTAACAGAATGTTTGGGAAAATCGCTGTTAGCGAGCACCCATTTACACGTACATACACACGTTGAGACATACAGGATGAGGTGCCACGTTGCTTTTAGTCCACAGCAAGGAAAGGGATGGTCGGTATTGGTTAGGTTAGTGTTAGATTTATGGTTAGGGTTAGGATAGGATTAAGAGTGAGGTTATGTTTGAGTTATGTTAGAGGTGATAGTTAGGTTAGAATTTCGTTATGGTTAACAGTTAGGTTAAAGTTATGTTAGGGTAAGTTTATAATTAAGAGTAAGGTTAGGATTAGTTTATGGTTGAGTGTTAGCTTTTGGTTAGTGTAGGATTAAGAGTTATGTTAGGATTAGATTAGAGTAAAGAATTAGGTTAGGGTTAAATTAGAGTTAATTTATGGTTAAAATTGAAGTGCCATGTTACGTTTGGTCCACGAAAATGTGGCGGACGGGCGGGGAGTTTACCGGCGTGACGGCAGCACAGTGGAAGTACGCCGGCTCGGGCATCTCCGCGGGCAGCTTCGTCCACTGGAAGGACCCCAGATTCAGCCGCCACAGGTCACCAAAGATTCTCTCTCCATCATAGCCTCCACAGATAAACACGTCTGGGACAAAGACAAAGATCCCACTTATAGCCACGCAGACTGCTGGGGCAAGTGCTATTAGCGAGGAGTGTCTGGCGTACAAAGACACAAGTACGTACGCTCAGGCAGACAGGCACACGGTCAGATATTATACGGACAGACAGCCAGACATACGGATAGACACACATGAGGATAGACTCACAGAAAGACGTACAGGCAGGTGTTAATATCTCACCGAATATTCTCCGGGTCGCTGGTAGACCAGAGAAGGTGATCATTACCACTCGTGCACAACACATGCACCACTGGTGGAAGGCCTCCCCACACGGTGCAGGTCACGGGGATTATATGGCCATACTTCACCAGGCTAGTCAGTGCGGCTTGGTGAAGGTGTGCCATGCCGGCTTTAATTGGTGCCTGCTAACAACACTGGCCCCATCAGCCTGTTAAAGGCCATAGGGGGGATCTTTGTCTTAGTTTGCAGTTGGTGTTGGTGGCAATGCGGTGGTGAAACCTCGGCACAACGGTGGCCGTACCTTTGCCGATCTGCACGCAGCTGTGGCATCGCCTGGCAGCCGGGAATCCTGGTGGCACACGGACAAGACGTCACAATCTCGCGTCATCACCTCGTCTCAAGCTACCGTTGCCACAAACCAAACTGAAGGTGTGCTACGGAGAAGTGTGCTCACCGATCTTATCATGAGGCTTGGTCATGATCTCCTCCCACATGTTGTTTTCCAGATTGTAGGCGTTGATCTGCAGACATGGACACACACGTGCAGATAAAACAAAAACCTCCCATATAGATTTAACCACTGTTGGGGCAAGTGCTGGCCAGCACCACGCCCGAATGATGATGTTTACACACCGCACCAGGTACTAATTTAAGGCTGAATTGAACCTTATGGCGGTACGCCGGGGTACCACAGTACCTCGGCTCTCGCATAATGTCCCCGTGATGCAGTCATTTTTATTCTGTTGATGGTCGGCGATGCGGCCACCGACTCATCTCGACGAGCTGTACACGATGCACTCTTCAAAGTAGAATTTTCGATAACGGATTTTTTAATGCTGATGTTTGGCGTTTCGACATTGCGGAGTTGCACTGATGTCGGATTGATTGGTACCCCAGCCACGGAGTTAAGTACACCCGTGGAAAAAAGTGTCCCAGAAATAAAATATTTAATTGCTTCGGCCATTTTGTACTATTTGGTACCCCGGGGTACTGCCATAAGGATCAATTGATCTTAGGGGAGGCCCAGGACCGGTTAAAATATTTATCACTGATGCTGGCTATCAGAGGGAAGAAAACTCGGGTCACCGGGTTCGTAGCGCAGTGTGACAACAACTACGCCACCGCTCCCCAAGCAGACACACATGGGCACACATAGTAACTAGAAAACACACGTACACAGACAGTGGGTACAGTGGGGAGGTGGAGGGCAGTGAGGGGCCGGTGAGGAGGTGGTGGTGAGGAGGTGACGAGGCGGAGGAAGAGGAGGTGGCGTTCTCACCTTGTCGAGGGGGTAGGCCATCCACGAGGTGCCCCCCCCCAGCACGTAGATCCTCGTGTCGTCATGCGCAATCTCGTGCCGGTATCTGCAGCACAACGCGAGCGACACAAACGAGGGGAACACAAAATCAGCAACACAACACGAGCAGCACAATGCGAGCAACACAAAATCAGCAACACAACACGAGCAACACAAAATTAGCAACACAACATGAGCAGCACAATGCGAGCTACACCACACTAGCAACACAACACGAGCACTAGAAATACAATACAAGCAACAATGCTAGGAACACATCATAGGCAACACAACGCTACTAGCTCTAACCCCCAACACTAACACCACAATCCCTACTTCTTGCCAGGCATCTTGTCTCAGCCATGACACGGCTCACCATCCAAAGCCAAAGAGATTCCTTGTATAGCCTTAACAGATGATTCTGGCAAGTGCTGTTAGCGAGCAACTATGAAGGCCAGCACGGCACATGAGGGGGTGGGTGGCCAGCACCACGCCCGGCCGCCTTTGTCTCCCAAGTGGAAATGATTACACACCAAACCAGGCACTCATTTGAGGCCGAGTCGACCTTTGGGAGGCCGAGGAGCAGTTCAGATAATAGTTACTAGGTGTTGGCCGTGAGCGGGAATCGAACTCGGGTCGCCAGGTTCGTAACGCAGCACGCTTACCGCTACGGTACCGCTCCCCACTCACCCACACACTGTGCTCGCCACACTCACCCATCTACTTTCCCACACAGCCCAGCCCCCCCTTACCGCCAGCCACCAAACCTGACCATCACCACCGGCGGCGCTCACCTCTCGCCGGGCATCTCGTCGCGGCCGTTGCAGGGCTCCAGCTTGACCCACTCGTGCGTACCGAGGTCGAGGCGGTGCAGGTCGGTGTTGTACACGTAGCCCGTGGTGCCGCCGAACACGTACAGAGCGCCGTGGATGATGGCCATGGCCTGCCCGTAGATCTTGCTGGGCTTGCGCCCGCGGCTCGGCAGCCGCGTCCAGCAACGCGAGCGCAGGTTGCACACGTTCACGTCGTTACCGCTGCTCTCGCCAAACGGCACGCCCGTGCCGCCGAACGTCAGCAGGCTGCTGCCATGCAGGACGACTACACACGGACGCAAAAAAGACAAAACATCCCCAATTGCCCCCCGCCGTATAGCGTTGGCAGACTTTTGGGGCAAACTCTGTTTTTTAGCGACCGCCACCGATGGAGGCCGGCATAGCACACGAGTCTTTGTCTCCCGAGTGGCGACGATTACACACCGCACCAGGTACTCATTTGAGGCCGAGTCGACCTAGGGGACTCCCATGACCGGTTCAGATAATCCTCAAACACACACCAGGCATCAGCAGGCTGTTGCCATGTAGGATCATTACACTAGCACACACACACACACAAAATACACACGGCCTCCCGCAGGCCGGTCGCCTAACCCCAGGCGGCAGTAGTAGCCGTCAACACTCCCTGCCACCCGCCCGCCCGCCCGCCAGCCCCCCCTCCCTCCCTGCCTCCCTCCCCTGCTCTCGCTCCTCACTCACCGGACATGGAGGCGAGCTCCTTGGGGGTGTAGCCGTCGGTGGGCACGCGGTGCCACGTGCCCGTCGCCAGGTGGTAGCGCCACAGCTCGCGGAACAGGGGATACTCCGCGTTCCCAGGCCCACCCGACTCGTCAAAGTCCGGGTTGTACCCCCCGAACACGTAGAGGTTCGCGCTGTCCGCGATGCACCGGTGACCGCTCCTAGCGGGGGGCTCGGGTTCACCTGGGGGGGAGGGGGCGGTGGACGAAAGGGGGGTGGTTTTGGGGTTCACAGCGGATGAAGAGTTGGGGGTGAGGAGTGGGCTTATAATTAAACGTGGAGTCAGAATTGTGATGAGGGTTTAAGTGAGAGGTCAGGTTAGAGGCGAGGTGAGGAATTTGGACAGCTTCGGTGTGTTAAGGTGAGCTGTGGGGCTATGTATTTAGGGTTGGGTGAAGAATGGGGTTGTGGCGAGGAGAGGGGTTGCGGCGAGGAGTGGGGTCATGGTAAGGAATAGGATCGTAGTGAGGAGTAGAGTTGTGGTGAGGAGTGGGATTGTGGTGAAGAGTGGGGTCATGGTAAGGAGTAGGGTCGCAGTAAGGAGTGGGGTTTTGGTGAAGTGGGGTTATGGAGTTTGCAGGAATTGTGTTTTTTATGTTTGTATGAAAATTTACACTAGGTTTGCAATTGTGTTTAGAGGCAGATCTTCGTCCTTTTATTAACATTATTATTAGACTTGTTTACCCTCGCATAACAATGATAATGAAATTCATGTTATGGGTTAGGTTAGGTATTTGGCTTAGGGCTTAGGATTATGAGGAAGATCATGAGTTAGGTTTATGGGGTGCACTATTGCTTGGGCTATATCTAAAGCTATGAGCTGTGTCTGGGCTGTGTCCAAGTTATATGCTGCATCAGGGCTTTAGGCTATGTCCAGCTATGGGCTGTCAGAGCTGCGTGCATCTCTCTACACCAGATGGATCTGCACAGGGAGCAGCAGGAAATAATGGAGGCAGTTTCACTCACAGACGGAAAAAGAGCCACGAGCATCGCCTCTCCGCACCATTGCACCACCTCCCTGGCCGCGACACCAACGCCAGTTAACCCAACCGCCAAAGGACACGGCAAACAAACGCACTGGTCTTTTGCCGGACCAATCAGCTGCTGATCACATGGGCCATCAAAGACCGCCACCCAAGGAGGAGTGGCGTTGCCGCTGTTTTCAAGCGAGCGGCTTAACTAACCGTGTTGCTGGTGATTGTGGTGATGGCCGTAGCGTTGATGGTTCGTTCGCCGCTTGTTGGAGAGATTCGCGATTCAAATCCAGTGGGCGAACCTGATTAATGCTGTTATTTTTATTATCATTCCACATGGTAGAGGTGAGAGACGGGCACAGCAGGGCCTTTATGTACACTGCAGTCCTCGTGTCAATCCACTGCTGAATGAAGTTCCGTTTGGCAAGTCTCAGAAAAATGGTCAAAGAAGACGACGGCCGATATGGTTGGAACCAAACAGTGCAAGAAGGATAGAGCATCCACTACCTCTTTTACACTGCACAACCGAGCCACGTTGGCCGTGCCGAACCGGCCCGGCGTGGCTCAGAAGGCGCAAGGTTGTTTTTCCACAGCAGTAGCCGAGCTGAGGTGCTAATGTCACACGTAATGAACGAGTGGGAACACATGCAGATGACGCAGTGATGTCGTCCTCAGTGAACTGACATCCCACCAATTGAATGCGTCAATAACCCCCCACCCCTGGCCCTGCTGAGCCCCGAGCCATATTCAGACATCTTCTTGTGAGGTAAGTGTAGCATGGTTTGGTTCTGGCCTGGCTCGGCAAACAGCTAGTGGAAAACCACCCCTACCACAACGGACCTGTTCTGGCTTGGCTCAGATGTGCCAATGGAGAAGGGGTATATAAGGCTTCAGCCGGGTCCACACCTGAGCGATCAGTTGTGCAACAATTAGGTCTCTGCACCTGCCCTTGTGTTGGTTTGTTCCAAACCCCTCGCCCACATTTTCCACAACCAATCACAGCTCGCAAAAAACGTGCAGCACGTTGCTACAAATCGCTGAGCTAAAAAGCAGAATCTGTCTCGACTAAGAGCAACCGATTATGGAAATTGTTGTAGAGACATCCACACGAGCAATTCAGTGGCACAACCGATCGCCGGAGGTGTGCAGCCGGCTTTTAAGTGGGAGGAACTCCAGGTGAGCACAAAACCGTGATGAGTGGAGGCACTCGGTGGGTTGTCCGACGTTTCAGTGACACGGGCTGGGGCTACGTAGGTAAGAGAAGCGGCGAGCGGAAGAGACCAGGCGAGCACCAGGCCTCTCGCTCACCGCCGCTCACCATCGCTCACCACCGCTCATCGTCAGCAAGGCTCACCTTGATACAAAAACCTGTTAGGGACATGCAGACTGGGGTCGCGCTCCTTAGCAGCCCCGATTCCCATAATCTTCTCGCAGCCTGCCGTGATATAACGCAACGCGGGCGATGGCTTTAGTGGCGGTTGGGTGGCGGCGGTGGCGACACTCTCGCGGTGAAAGCGCGGTTAAAGCTGTGGCGCTAGAGGCGGTGGGGTAAACCGCGGCGGTGCTCGGGATAAAACAACCGCCGACGGCGGTTGCAGATAGCATTGAAAATATATAACAGGTGACATTTCAGGCAATGGCACTTGTTCACGAGCTATAAAGAAGGGGCACTGCTCAAAATGTCACCTATCCTATAGAAACGTGGCCCATATTTCTTCAGTTGGGTTTGGATGTTAAAAGCTCTTCTTGCTTTACTGGTAACCGCACACAATAAGCACGTCCAGAGCAATAAACAAATTTATTATTTAACTCCTCAACTGAGTAGCGCAAGGAGTTGCTGCAGTTGAGTAGTGGCAAGCAATACAGAGGTCGGCATTTGGATTCCATCTCCTGGTGAGACAGTTTAAAAAAAACATGGCGTACATGTCTTAAATCAGTGCATCCGTTATTAAAATTACACTGGAAAGGGTTCCCGGTTATCGTTTAGCAGCCCTAACATATACAATAGCTGACGTTTCAGGCAATGCTCTGTCTTCATGAAGAAGGGCCATTGTCCAAGACATCACTAATCATACATTTTATCCTTTGGCCAGTGTTTTATGATTGACAGATGCAATGAGTTATTGTTATTTGCGTTTGTGTACTCCTGCCAACTTTATTATCACCAAATATGTTTTTATTTTGCAGATGTATTTGGGTCGTTGCATAATTTACCATCCCAAGGCAAAACAGTCAAGGTAGTGCAGCCCTGAAATTACCTGCCTACTCAAGCCACAAGAGAGCCCCTCCTGAGGATATCCTTGGCCTACTCTTCCACGTTGACAAGACATCTTTGAAGAAGTAGGAATACCCACCCTTTACCCCACCACACGCGCCCTGCCGATGGACTTACCGTAGTGCAACCTTTAACACTGCTGCTTGATGGACAGAGGCAGGGGCATTACGAAACTTGCAGCAAAGTTTCAACTGCCGCACAAGGAGATTGAATTGAACCGGTGACCTCTGATTTGCAAGTCCACCGCGCAAACCATGACACCACGTCACATTCCCAGTTTTTTTCCATTACCTAATTTTGGCACCGACTAAAATGTATTTTCACGTTGCAAAATGAAACGTTACCTTCGTGAAATCGTGAGTAATTTAGCTAAAAATGTCTATTAATATAAATGAGAAATGCTATGCATTAGTTTATGTCAACTCATGGGGTTATGCGTTACGCTCAAACCGCAACAAAAACGTGTTCAAAACGTGCAAATTATTTGGTCTCAAAACCCCGAAAATATTTCTCAATGAGAATGTTTACATATTTCTAATTCTTCCAAGCATTATTATTATTATTTAAATTCCAATTGGAAGCGAAACCACACACGAGATTCGCAGTACACATTACCGAACGTGCCTTCATGGGCTGCAAAGGATCACGTGACAGCCACTGAACCACCGAGCGTGTAATCACACAGACTCGAGGCTGTGCAGCGCAATTGCCTCGTCGTATTATTATGCGCAAAACGTTATTTTCATACGCAACTCGTATACAGATTTTGTTTTTAAAGAATACAACACCCAGAACGCAGAGCAATAATCCGCTAAAATGCTGTTACCAGGGTCGACAATATTTCACCAAACCCTCCAGTGCTCAATGAGTGCCACAAAAATGCTACTTGCAGTGACGTACAAACATCGTCTGCGGGACCGTTTCAAATGGGGTTGGAGCCTCTTGTGGCCACCGCGGGCCGTATACACTGTAGCGGTGGGCTCTGTGTGTGGTGGGATAATGAACGCTGATGATTCCCTCTTCAGCAACCTGGCTGGTTTAACCAGAGCTTGATTTCCCAATCAATATTTTCTGGGTCGCTGGGAGACTGGAGTAGGTGGCACGTGACTCGTGCTGTAAGAAGAACCACAGCCACAGCAAGGGGTATGTATACTGGATGTATAATGGATATGTCAGGAGAGAAAATATTTATCTGAGCTGCCAAACTTGGCAGACCCAGCTGAAATGAGGCCTTGGAAATAACCGTCGTTTGCGGGAGGCCTTCATCAAGAGTGGACTGTTCATGGCTGATGATGATGGAGATAACCCACGACAACTATATCCTTAAACCTAGATGTTATCGTTAACTGTAGCCCTGATCTTCTTTGGTTCTTTCGGTAAAGTGACGTAGAATGAGAATAAAATAATAAATTGATAAAATAAAATAACACAAATGTAGCCCTGATGTCACTAGTACTATCACTCACTTGCAAGTATCGATGATTATGAACTCAGGAAATTAAAATGATCGTCTTTCACGTTCGGTTTATGTTTCCGTTTTAATGTCGCCCAACGGGAATTTAACTGGTAATGTATAACGCGAACACTGACCCACAGCCTCAACACCAACAACACCTGTCACGTTATGGTGTTCGTCCATCCAAGCACACCATCCAGGCTCAAACATTCTTAATTCCTGGGAGATTCAGTGAATCAGTCACGGGCCAAAGAAAAGTAATGTGACGTTACCGTCAACATGGAGCACGTGAAGGTCACTAAAAGTCAGTTGCATTGAATATCTTCAGTGCCATTTCCCTTAATTCCCTCTGAGTTTCAAATGTAAATTAATGTTATGCAAATTGACCCTCGTTTTTCACAACACGTTTAAAAGTCAAAACAGCGCAGTCTAGGAGTGTAGTAGGGTCGCCAACTTTTCCACTACTGCTTTGACCAAACCGGACATATTTATCCGTTAGCCTTGGTCTATTATCAACACTGCAGTATTGTGTTAAGGTCAACACAATGCCACATCAGATCTCGGCGCAAATTCATTCCTGCCACCCGAACACCGATGTCAATTCTCGGACTGTCCGTGTGAAACACCACCTCGCGGCAACGCGAGTGTGTAACCATGAGTAGCAATCTCAAGACCCCAAAAACCACCCTCCTCGGGAACCCCCGAAACCCGAGAACCTCAGACATCGAGACACCGTGAAATATCTGGCACCTCAAAACACCACAAACGCTACGATTCCGGAAAACAGATATCCCAAGACTCCGGGACCACCGACACAGTAATCCCAATGATATGTTGACCCCAGAAACCCAAAGGTTAGTTACCAGGACCTCTGAAACTAACCTACTTTACGAGGTAAGGCACACTGAGATATATAGCTCTTTTTTGCAGAAGCGACCGGGCCTCAAATGATAGCCTTATCACGTTGAAATGTATAGCAACCAAAAATGTTGGAGGGGGAAAAACTGGAGGTCCCGGAGAACAATCCACGCGACCACGGGGAGAACACACAGACTCCAATTATACAGGAGGCGCCACGGTCGGGATCGAACCCACGAACCTCCTGTACATCAGGCGAGGTAGTTAACATCTCGCCACCATCAGAGACCCTGGGGATCTAAAGATGCTAGAGTTCCCAAAGGACCCCATGAATCACATGGTTCCACGCAACCACGGAACCCATAGGGACCTCAAAATCCCATAAACCCGCCCCCCCCCCCCCCCCCCCAAATAATCCAAGAACCAAAGACCCCGAATACCCGGAGCCAACAAGGACCACCTTGATATATTCGGAACCCTAAACCATGAGCTTCTCACGGTCGTAAAACCCCAACGTAGTCAAGCGGCACAGGGACCCACGAAAACCGCCACATTGGAGCCCTGGAAACCCCCCGCAGTGATCCCACCACCCCGCATCGCTCCCCGCAACCACCTCGGGCCCTCTCGCCCAGGCCTTACGCACCTGCCGCCCCGAAAGGCCCCCACCCGGGCAGCCGCACGAAGCCGCTGATCGGCGGCGCTTCGGCCATGTCGGCGCGGGGGATCTCGGCGATTTCAGTGTCTCGCGGGGGTGGTGGTGGGGGGGTTGTTGGTGGTGGTTGGTAGTGGTGGTGCGGGGGTAGTCTAAGGAAGAGGGGGGGGGGGGGGCGCCGTTCGTGAGGACCCCCGAAATGCCGCGGTGCCTCCTGCCCCGCGCACAATGGCCAGGCCGGGGCGGTCGGGCGAGCGAGCGGGGGAGGGGAAGGGAGGAGGAGGGGGGAGGAGAAGGGGGGGGGAAGGAGGGGGGAGGAGCCAACAGTGACGTGGGCGTTCGACGTCATTAAAACCACGCGACGCCGACGTTTAGTCGTGCGCCATCTTGCTAAGGAGTGACCCGCGCGCTTCCCGGTGTGGGGTCACGAGAGTCTACGCCGGGGTCCGACGCGCGTAGCGATGACGTCGTGTGAGAAGTCGCCGTCGTTGACGGCGTTTTGTTCGCTTCCCCGAGCCAAGATGGCCGCCGCGGAGTCATCCGTTGCCCGGTGGGGTGAGCAGGTGACCGGCCCGACAGAGTCACGTGGCCTGCCATGATGACGAGACAAATGCAACAAAGACAAAGACCACCCCCCCCCCCCCGTGTAGCCTGTGACAGACTGTAGGGGCAAGTGCTGTTAGTGAGGACCTATGAAGGCCGGCACGGCACACGAGAGGGTGGATGGTCAACACCACGCCCGGCCGCCTTCGCCTCCCACAGTTGCGATATTTACACATCGCACCGGGTGCTCATTTGAGGCCGAGTCGACCTAGGGGCCGTCCATAAATGACGTCACGCACCTAGAGGGGGGGGGGGGTCAGACATTCGTGACGATGTGCGACGAGGGGGGGGTTGAGAAATATGACGTCACATCAAAATGCGCAACTTTAAATAAATATAGACAACACGTTCTACTAAATTAAATAGACTTTTAAATAAATGTTTTCTCCAACAACATCAGAGTGCAGCGCCACATTAAATACGCACTACAATGACAATAGTTTAAAGCGATTTGAAGCAAGTTTTATTTTCAAAATGGAAATATGGTTGGGGGGGGTGTGCAGAGCTTTGTGACGTCATAGTTGAGGGGGAGGGTCTGACTTTTTATGACGCCGTGTGACGAAAGGGGGGAGGGGTCAAAAATCGTCCAAAATCGCGTGACGTAATTTATAGACGGCCACCTAGGGGGAGGCCCGGGACCGATTCGGATAATCATCACCGGTGCTGGTGGCCGTGAACCGGAATCGAACCCAGGGGTGGCCGGGATCATAGCGCAGCGTAGCGCTGACCGCTACACTACCGCTCCCCGCACGATGTGAAACACGACGTGGTGCACAAGCAACAAAGAACGTGAAACGCGCTCCTCTGCGTCAATTAAACTACGGTGGCGAGACGTTATCTCCCTGGACTGGTTTGCACGAGGTCATGGGTTCGATCCTGAGACCCTGACGCCTGCATTATTTGGAGTTCGTGTGTTTTCACCGTGGTCGCGTGGCATTTTCTCCCGAGTCCTCCGGGTTTCCTCTCCACATTTAGAATCATGCGTTTGGATTTGGATATCACTATAAATTCCCACTTAATAAGTCGCTTCGATGAGCGTGTGGCCACGTCGCCTCTGAAAAAGAGCTATATAGCCCAGTAGGCTTGACCTGTTAAGTAAACGTTTAGCTTACACAATAGGGCCCTGATGAACATTACAGTTTGAAAATGTTTCCTAATGAAGGCTTTTATTTGGCATTAATAGTTGCCTAATAGTATCAATACAAATATTAACATTTGCTGGCACATTGCATCATGGGTGGACCTGTTGCAGTGAGGTCAATGGGACACATTTCTTGTATCATTAATTATACATTCCTCAACACATTCGCATCATAAAACTTGCCTTAAATTATAAATATACTGTATGAGCTTTACTACCCGGCTTCGCCCGAGACTTGGATTAAAACACGGCCTACGCGGAGGGTGGGGGGGGATGCATGACGTCAGCAGACACACTGCGTGACGCTGCCGCATGCGGGTGACATCACAGATGTGACGTCAACACTCACTTGCCGTGCAAAATATATCCATTATTGCGCCCTCCCTCCCCCCCAAAAAATATACAAAAGTCTATTTTATACTTTTTGCATTGTGTACAGTCTGGAAGCTACCCACATCCCAAATTTAAAGTTTGTTGCATGTTGGGAAGCATGCTAAACATTTAGAACAGACATTCACAAATTTCCCTTTTATATACAGTATATATACGCTACTTGAGCTATTTGGATGTCGTGTGCTATGACGAAGAGCCATGTCCCGAAAGTGCTGTGTGGAAAATTTGCATATGCAGATGACTGTGCCCTGGTATCGCAAGCGGCGCCCTTAAAATACATCAAGTCCACCTTGAACAGCGACCTAAATGCCACTGAGATATTTTTGGAAATGGGATGTTCAAACCAAACCATGGCAGACCCGTACGTTTGATGATTCGCACCTCCGAGATAGCACGGTTGGCAAACGTGCGGTGCGAAAAAAGTTCAACATACAGTTGAAGACTCAATGTTCGAGTCACAAACACGCAGGGGGCATCGTCAGGGCGATGCACTCCGCTACTCCTGCCGCAATGAGCTGGCTCAATGACATCAGCCACGCGAAGGCGCGTGGCACTGCGCAGGGTGGCATAGTGTCGAGCCCTCTCCGTTTATTGGCCACTGCTCGAAACGTCGCCCATTTACAGGCTTTTTTAAATTATTTAACTCACTGTCGTATCCTAAAAAATCTTGTCACTCAATTTTTTACCCACTTCCCAATGTGGTATCGACTGCAAACTTGGTATACTTATGTCATACTGATGACAATACTGTATTCTCTCATTAAAATATATTTTAAGCAATTTTTTTTATATATCTTACTAGCTGTACTACACGGCTTCGCCCGGGACTTGGATTCAGCACGCCCGGCCGCCTTTGTCCCCCAAGTGGCGATGTTCATACACCACACCAGTTACTCGTTTGAGGCTGAGTCGACCTAGGGGAGGCCCAGGACCGGTTAAAATAATCGTCACCGGTGGTGGCCGTGAGCGAGAATCGAACTCAGGTCGCCGAGTTCCTAGCGCGGCGCGCTAACCACTACACTACAATGCGTTACGCTTCCACACACACATTACACATACACAGCACGCTAACCACTACACTACAATGCGTTACGCTTCCACATGCGCGCGTCACGTGACAGGTTTGACGTCACAGCTCACTTGCCGTGCAAAAAATATATGCATTATTTAGCTCCCCCCCCCTAAAAAAGTCTATTTTTATAATTGTTGCATGGTGTACAGTCTGGAAAGTACCCACATGGCAAATTTCAAGTTTGTTGCATGTCGGGAAGTACGCTAAACATTTTGAACAGACACATATTCACAATTTTGTCTTTTGGGTCTAATTGTCCACACTCAACTAACGTTGGCTGTAAATCACCAGTCCCTTACGTTATGGCAAGCTTCGGGGCCACTTCCTGGAGTCGTGGAGTTCTGCCATTACTCGTACGGTACATTTCATTAAAGCGTGTTTTAAAAAGGTATTTTTAAATATTACTTATTATATAATTGTTTCCATGTAAGGCCACACGGGGTGGCATTGGCACGGAACGTATTGTCCTTCCCCATAGCTGTTAACCCCTTATCAGTGCTCCCTAGTTTATTACAGACCAATTCAGACCTTAGTGGTCACCCCGTGCCCTTATAAATCTCAACGTTCATCCTACAAAGTCCCATCACAAGGGAGAAAGACAAATAAACAAACGTATTTTCTTGTCTTCTTTGGTTCTTTCGGTAAAGTCACGTAGAATGAGAATAAAATAATAAAATAAAACAAAATTCTCACGACGTTTCGGCCACAACACAAGTGGCCTTCTTCAGGTGAAAGGAACAACGAGCTACGTCACCCAGCTCTGTCGTCCCGACAGGTTTGTTCCTTTCACCTGAAGAAGGCCACTTGTGTTATGGCCGAAACGTCGTGAGAATTTTATTGTTTTATTATTTTATTCTCATTCTACGTGACTTTACCGAAAGAACCAAAGAAGATGAATCCTTGCAGTCACGAAAGCTTTAAATCGAATTTTTTTTTGCCCGTATTGAAACGGCTGTACGCCGTACGAACCTGAAAACTCAATTTCCCTGTACAAGAATACGGGGTAAGCCGTATGGGTTCGACAAGCTATGTTATCACGGTTGGCAACGTACGGTGCGAAAGAAGTTCAACACACGTGTACCCACACAACGCATCCGCACGTCACCCAAACCCTTCATAATTGATCAACGGGCAACCGATTTATCGGGGGTGCATGCTCTTTTCGCCGACTGGGTGGGTGGGGACACATGAACATTCACGTTGTCGGCGGCGTTTGTCTGCAAGCGACCACGCGTTGCCGCATGTCGGTGCGTCGGTGCACCTAAAAAGCGAACCAGACGTGGCCTCGCGATTGGCTGGGCGCGTGGCGCCCTCCGATTGGTCAGTTCCGCAGTGTTGGGGGCGAGTTGAGGAAGGAAATCCTTGTCCCCCCACTCTCCCCGTATTCGTCCAATGGACAGCGAGCGTTTGCCGCACGCGCCAGAAGGCGGTCGCCGATTGGGCGACGAGGTGGCGGCGACGCGGCTTTAAGATAGGGGGGGTGGAGGGAGGGGGGCGGAGTGGAGTCGACAGCCGCCGCCACTGCCGCCGCCGCTGTTGGGGGGACGCGGAGTCAGCAGAGCGGGGACACTCGGCCACTTTCACGCACGCTCGAGGATAATAAAGAAGTCAACGCGACACTAACCGCTGGCTCCTGCTGCTGCTGGGCGTTAAGGGCTCATTGGCCGTTCAGAGGCGGCGGCGGCGACGGCGGCCGGCTCAGATCTCGGCTTCGCACTGGACAGGTAACTAGAACTGGAATTTAATTGGCACCGGTACCCTCATTGACGATGTGCGTTAATTGACACTGTACAGGCGATCGACACTGTTGACTGACACCGTACATGCGACTGGCACTGCGTGTTAATTGACACCGTACATGCGACTGGCACTGCGTGTTAATTGACACCGTGCATGCGATTAGCACTGCGTGTTAATTGACGCCGTGCATGCGACTAGCACTGCGTGTTAATTGACGCCGTACATGCGACTGGCACTGCGTGTTAATTGACACCGTGCATGTGACTGGCACTGCGTGTTAATTGACGCCGTACTTGCGACTGGCACTGCGTGTTAATTGACACCGTGCATGCGACTGGCACTGCGTGTTAATTGACACCGTGCATGTGACTGGCACTGCGTGTTAATTGACACCGTACATGCGACTGGCACTGCGTGTTAATTGACACCGTGCATGCGACTGGCACTGCGTGTTAATTGACACCGTGCATGCGACTGGCACTGCGTGTTAATTGACACCGTGCATGCGACTGGCACTGCGTGTTAATTGACACCGTGCATGTGACTGGCACTGCGTGTTAATTGACACCGTGCATGCGACTGGCACTGCGTGTTAATTGACACCGTACATGCGACTGGCACTGCGTGTTAATTGACACCGTGCATGCGACTGGCACTGCGTGTTAATTGACACCGTGCATGCGACTGGCACTGCGTGTTAATTGACACCGTACATGCGACTGGCACTGCGTGTTAATTGACGCCGTACATGCGACTGGCACTACGTGTTAATTGACACCGTGCATGTGACTGGCACTGCGTGTTAATTGACACCGTACATGCGACTGGCACTGCGTGTTAATTGACACCGTGCATGCGACTGGCACTGCGTGTTAATTGACACCGTGCATGCGACTGGCACTGCGTGTTAATTGACGCCGTACATGCGACTGGCACTACGTGTTAATTGACACCGTGCATGTGACTGGCACTGCGTGTTAATTGACACCGTACATGCGACTGGCACTGCGTGTTAATTGACGCCGTACATGCGACTGGCACTGTGTGTTAATTGACACCGTGCATGTGACTGGCACTGCGTGTTAATTGACACCGTACATGCGACTGGCACTGCGTGTTAATTGACGCCGTACATGCGACTGGCACTGCGTGTTAATTGACACCGTGCATGTGACTGGCACTGCGTGTTAATTGACACCGTACATGCGACTGGCACTGCGTGTTAATTGACACCGTGCATGCGACTGGCACTGCGTGTTAATTGACACCGTGCATGCGACTGGCACTGCGTGTTAATTGACACCGTACATGCGACTGGCACTGCGTGTTAATTGACACCGTGCATGCGACTGGCACTGCGTGTTAATTGACACCGTGCATGCGACTGGCACTGCGTGTTAATTGACACTGTACATGCGACTGGCACTGCGTGTTAATTGACACCGTGCATGCGACTGGCACTGCGTGTTAATTGACACCGTACATGCGACTGGCACTGCGTGTTAATTGACACTGTACATGCGACTGGCACTGCGTGTTAATTGTCGCTCTGTGCCGTCGTTGACGATGTTGGCCGAACATCCCAAAAAAATCAATGCAAGGCAGGAAACCCTCTCCCGCACTCTGCGTGGCTTTCCACGAGTGAACGAGGCGATTGGAACCTAAACCACGCGTTGACACTGCGCCCTGAACTTGATGGCGTGGCTTGGCTGGGTGGCTTGTGGTTGAACCTATGCGTGGTTTCACGCGTACCTGGTAAACCCATATGCTTAACCCCGTATGGGTTGACAGGTTTGCTACTATGCACTACGCTACGATATGCTACACTGCTACATGACTGCCAACCCGTACGGTTTACCCCGTATTCTTGTACAGAGAAATTGGGTTTTCAGGTCCATACGGCGTACAGCCGTTTCAATGCGGGCACAAAATGTTGTTTGTCTATTTGTTTGTGTTTCTCCCTTGTGATGGGACTTTGTAGGACGAACGTTGAGATTTATAAGGGCACGGGGTGAACCAATAGGGTCCGAATTGGTCTCTAATCAGGTGTTGATAGGTTTGTCTGACGCTTGCTCGACTTGGTGACGCGGAGTGGTCTGTGCTGCGTGGCGGCAGGAGTCCAGCATTCGGCAACGTTCACACTTAAAGACACCCGTCGTTGGCTGATGTTACTATTGTGTTGCCCTTAAAAGTTCCTTACAGGAAACACGATTTCAATTTTCTGACTCCCGTGCGTAGGTGAACTCGCCCCCTGCTGGCAAAGCCCTGGGTCTGTGCTTTGACGAGACACGGGCCAGGACTGGCAAGGGACACACCTGAGCACAGGTTGGAGGGCAGAGGTTTTGAGACCGCGGGGGCACTTGCGTGGACGTTGGAGAGAGTGGACATTGCGGAGCAGAGTTTTGGAGGAAGTTGATCGCGTTCCAACACTGACGAGTGAATGTTGGAGAGTGGCCACTCTGGAGAGTGGACACTGAGGAGTGATCATCGGGGAACGGGGCTTGCAGAGTGTGACACTGGGCGGTGGACACTGGGGAGCGGCGATTCTCGATGGCGCGCTGTGCCCAGCTGTGTCTGCTCATCGTGGCCCTGATGGTGGTGGGCCGGCACGTTGTTGCATCTCACGGTGACGAACCCTGCTCCATGTGCCGGGGAATCGTGGAGAACTTCAAGAAGGTGGGAGCCATGGCCTCCACGAATGGAAACGCTGCCTCAAACCAACTAAGCGGGCTTTTGGTTGAGATTTTTGTGTCAACTGCTTTTTGCATTTAGTTTGTCCTTGCCCCGCATCTCCGATTAGCACGGTTGGCTACTTACAGTGCAAAGCAAGTTCTACATGCATACATATGAGGGGAGGCAGAGAGGAGTTTAGGAGGGAGCACACTAGCCTACCATACACTTGGATGCTCACCATCTCACGAACCGTAACCCTTACACCCAACCAACTAGCCAACCAGCCACTTCTAGTAGCCTCTGACTGAGCTTCATCCTAACCTACTGCTAGTCAACCAGACACAGGTATTAGTCTCACCCACGGGGCTTGGTTGTTCACTGGGCTAAGACCATCGACTCGCTGCACTTGAAAACATGGGCGAGGAGTCGCTTATAATATAATTGGGGCGCGTGTAAAGGTGGTATATTTGTTTTTGCGCAAGCACGGCTAAATTTGCGACCTGGACAGTCTGCCCGTCCATGGCTAATGGAGAGTTAACCGAGGTGGTGGCGCGGTGGTCCAGCTGCAGCAGTGCCTTTGCCGCTTGTTGCGGAGGTTCGTGGTTGGTATCTGCTAGGCTGCCCTGGTTATTGCTGCAGTGGTGGTGTGCGTATTAACCATGAAAATACTACACGCAGTCTGCTTCGTGTTGGACGGACACTAAAGATCCCCTGATGTCACCTGACGTCACGTTCGAAATTTGAAAAATTATCTGAAAGTAGCTCAGATGGGATCGCGCACAGCAGCAACATCACCCCTACTTGAATAACTCCTGCAAGCCTGTCTTTGTGAAACACAGCAGTGCCTTGCGCTAAAGCGCCGACATACTCAATCATTCTGATTGTTATTGCTTTATTTTTCTGGTTTATAGATGGACCCCACCCACGTCCGCCACCAGAGCTCGGTAATCGATGGTGCCATGTGTATTCCCCCCCCAACCCTGGCAGGGCATAGAGAACACTGCCAAGAAGAACTTTGGAGGAGGGAACACGGCGTGGGAGGCGGAGCGTGTGGCTAAGTACGAGCAGAGGTGAGCAGAGCTCCGTGCCACCGAGTAGCCAACCTCCGATGAGCGAGGGGTGGCCCGGACCCCCATTCTTCTCGGGATTGAGGCGCGCCTCTCTCCTGCATTGGAAAGCATTGCTGGTTATTACCGGTGTAATGCACCTCCACTCAAGAGCGTTAATGGGTTCCCCACAGTCGCTCGACAAGTCGAGCGGTGTGGGTACGTCCCCCACCCCTCCCTCCACCTCTTCCAACGTGTCCGGTCAGCGTGAAAGACTAGGCCAAATACCTTCTCGTGCTGTAATCTAGTGGAGGAGGCCCTTCCACCAATTGTGGCATATAAGAAATAGCAGGGCTGTACCTTTTCCGATATGCTCAGGTCTCCCTTGCGAGACATGAGCTTTTCACTGTTTGCTCAGCTGGTAAAATATAACATGCATGGGTGTGTGTGTTGGCTGTAGGCTACGATAAATAATGAATGAGTGCGTGCGTGTAAGATGAGACTTGGTAAGTCGTCAGCTCCCATCATTCCCCAGAGCTGTATGAACAAAACTGCTGATCCGACATCACCGGGCAATCGATAGCCATGCCTCTTACTTACCCCCCCCCCCTTTCATGACCATCATCAGCCACGATCAATCCACCGCTGGATGGAGGCCCCTCCCCAAGCTATCGCCATCTCTCAGAGTTGTGTAGCCTAATTTAAATGTGGTTGTGCATTGCTTTTCCAATGGAGACATTTGAAATGGAGCCCTGGATAAATAAGGGAAGTGGAGTGCGGGGTGACCTGGATCATTGTGGGCAATGGTCTGCAGTGTGAGAATGGCGTGCGTGTGATATGCGGGTTGAGAGTGGTGTGTGGCGGCGTGGCATAATGGCGTGGTGTGACGTGGTGTGACGCGGTGGCAGTGAGACGCGCCTGGTGGAGATCCTGGAGTCGCTGTGCGACAAGACCGCCTACGCATGCCACGCGATGCTGGAGCAGCACGAGGAGCACCTCGAGAAGTGGTGGTTCCACAAGTACGACCCCTTCACCCACAACCCTGCCCACCCCTTAACCAGTTTAACACGTAGGTTTTTTGCGACCAATATCATCCATAATACAGGTTTTTTTTTTTTTGGGGGGGGGTTAGATTGCGTAAAGATAAATGTGTCGTTAAATCCACCACCAGACGCAGCCAACTAGTAAGGTTTGTCACGTAAACGGAACATGCCAATTCGTTACTAGTACAACAAACCTTAACCCTCGCCTACGATCTATAACCTAACTTATCACCTACAGCCCATCATCCCACACCTATAGCTCATCACTCCGGTTGTGATCATCACTCCGGTTGTGATCATCACTCCGGTTGTGTGATTGTTTATTGGGTTATGTGTGGGTTGTTTATTGGGTTGTATATTTGGTTGTGTGCTGGTTGTTTATTGGGTTGTATATTTGGTTGTGTGCTGGTTGTTTGTTGATTGTTTATTGGGTTGTGAGTGCAGGCAGCGTGCCCACCCTGACCTTTACAGCTGGTTCTGCGTGGAGATGGCCAAGGTCTGCTGCCCGGCCGGATCCTTCGGGCCCGACTGCAACCGTGGGTGCCGGCCCCTCCACACCCCAACAATGCTACCCAACCACACCAGCACCGCTCTCAACGACACCAGCACCGCTCTCAACGACACCAGCACCGCTCTCAACGACACCAGCACCGCTCTCAACGACACCAGCACCGCTCTCAACGACACCAGCACCGCTCTCAACGACACCAGCACCGCTCTCAACGACACCAGCACCGCTCTCAACGACACCAGCACCGCTCTCAACGACACCAGCACCGCTCTCAACGACACCAGCACCGCTCTCAACGACACCAGCACCGCTCTCAACGACACCAGCACCGCTCTCAACGACACCAGCACCGCTCTCAATGACACCAGCACCGCTCTCAACCACACCAGCACCGCTCTCAACCACACCAGTACCGCTCTCAACCACACCAGCACCGCTCTCAACCACACCAGCACCGCTCTCAACCACACCAGCACCGCTCTCAACCACACCAGCACCGCTCTCAACCACACCAGCACCGCTCTCAACCACACCAGCACCGCTCTCAACCACACCAGCACCGCTCTCAACCACACCAGCACCGCTCTCAACCACACCAGCACCGCTCTCAACCACACCAGCACCGCTCTCAACCACACCAGCACCGCTCTCAATGCTATCAACCCACATCCCCCTGTCTCTCAGTGCCACCTGTAAATATGTGCCCCCCCCCCATTCCCCTGTACCCCTCCCCCCCAGAGTGCCAGGGCGAAGCGACGCGGCCGTGCGCGGGGAACGGGCGGTGTGACGGCGATGGGACGCGGCGCGGCACGGGGCTGTGCGTCTGCCACCCGGGCTACGTGGGCTCCCTGTGCCTCGAGTGCGAGGAGGAGGGCTTCTACTTGGCCCAGCACAATGACACGCACGCGCTATGCTCCGGTACCCGCTCGCCTCCACTCACCCACTTGCTCACCCTCTGACCCCCACCCATTCACTCGCCCACCCACCGTGCCTACCTGCATTGAAGTCCCATTGTCGACATGATCGTTGTGCCACTGATGAGTGCTTGTGTGTGTACTGTTACTGTTGGGTGGTGGGGGGGGGGGGACAGCATGCCACTCGGCCTGCAAAACCTGCAGCGGACCACAGCACACGAACTGCGGGGACTGCCGGCCTGGTTACGCCAAGCAGGACGAGGAGGGCGGCTGCGTCGGTGAGCCTGTGTGCCGGATTTCCACTGCCAGCTTATCTTGGACACGTGCGGCCATTGCGGTGTTTGACTTTGTGGCTCTGTTTTCTCCAGTGTTATCCCGATTGTGCTCTCCACGTCCTGTCTTGTTGTGTGTAACTCTGTCTTTGTGTTGTGTGCGATTTCTGTGTTGTCGGTGCCGTACCTGCGCGATCCCTTAAGCAATGAAATCGCGCTGATTAGTCGTCATCAACGGCTTTGTCCACATCTGAGCGAGCAGTTGCGTGACACGCCTGTGTCTAGGAGTTGCTAAAGTTTCTGGCCACACCCTTCACAGTAGAGCCCTGCCCCTTTTTTGATTGAGCTCCACCCACCCCCCTTACCCCCCCCATCAAGATCAACGCTTGAGAACAGAGTCCATCTTTGCTGGTAGCAAGCGATTGCACAACTACGAGCAACCAGTCGACTGATCGTGTGTCGGTGTGTGTGTGTCCGTCTACGCAGACGTGGACGAGTGTGCGAGTGAGCCGACCCCCTGCCATGGAAGCCAGTTCTGCTCCAACACCGAGGGCTCGTATGTGTGCAAAGGTAACGCCACGGTGACCACCGCCACTTCCACGTAACGACCCGCGGTGCTGGACCCTGGTAACGATCACCTCTGTACCTCACCCTCCCCCCCGCATCACAGTGTGCGACCCGGCGTGCGAAGGCTGCAAGGCCGCGGGCCCTGACAGCTGTCACAAGTGTCTGCGTGGATACACGGAGCGCGACGGCGTCTGTGTGGGTGAGTAGCTTGTCCTGTATCCGCTCCGCTCGCTCTCTCACCCCGAGAGACCAGGGTGTTGGTGGAACAACATCTACCACACAAACAATAAACATAACACCTTAATATTCTTAGCTCTTTCGGTAAAGTCGCGTTGAAGGGAAACAATAAAATAATAAAATATATATAAAACAATAAAAATTCTCACGACGTTTTGACCATAACACAAACGGTCATCATCAGGTGTGAAAACCAACGGCAAGAAACATTTGAAAGAAGTGGCGGTTCGCATTTATGTATTTATTAACGGTGTTTGTATTTATTTAAATAAAAAACGTTAGCACCACGGGCAGCGATTTGGCAGTTTGTTTAGAAGGACGAGTCCATCTATGTTCTGAAAAGAGGAGGGGGGAGACGAAAAATGAATGTATGCTGTCTGAAAGCCACCGTAAGCGTGAACAATCTATTAAGACCTGAAATGGTTTATCAAATCCTTGCAATGATTGCTAAGCCAGAATCCATCTTCTCGGTTGAAATTGTCTCTGTGCTTGTATATGTGGATATATATTATTATTTTATTGTTTCCCCTCAACGTGACTTTACCGAAAGAGCTTAGAATATGAATTACTGCAGTCACGAAAGCTTTAAATCAAACTATAACACCTACAGTTAGTGGAACAACAACAACAACAGTGTCAGAATGTTTGTGTGACCAGTACATTTGTGTGTAATGACCATGTGTGCGACTCGTGTTTGTGTACTGAACATGTATGACGAGTGTGTAAATGAACCTATTTTGTGTTCAATGAACCCGTGTGTGACCCGTGTGTAGATGTGAACGAGTGCGAGGAGGGCCTCGCCACGCAGTGCGTGCGGGAGAACGAGGTGTGCGTGAACACTGAGGGCGGCTACCGCTGCGAATGTGGGCCAGGCTTCCACGACCGCGCCGGGGCCTGCAAGCTCGTCAAGCCTCCAGGTACATTGTCGCCTGCTGAGCGAGAGAGCAGCAGGTGGTGGTGTAGCGCAATACGTGGGCAGGGCTGCCTGTGCGGGCAGAGGGAGCAAGGGGGATGTGTTGGCAGGGGAACGAGTGTGTGAACGGGTGAGCGAGGGTAGAGCGTGTGCCGATCATCTTCTCGTCATCGTGGGTCCTGGGTGTAAGAGGACCCGTGGAGATCGCTTGATTTGTATCCGTCCTCGTTTAAACATTGTAATGAGACGGTGGCGAGGTGCAGGCATCTTCCCGTTGAGCATGGCTGTCGTGACGATTGTGGAAGCGTGTGAGCGTGTGTCCAACGCCCCTTCCTAACAACAACCACCGTTCAACGCTGACGTGACTTCACAGCGCTTGTGCCAGACTAGGTGCACTTTGAGGCTAATGTGTGGAAGGTTCACAAGCAGGTGGTCATTGGATAGGCCCAGGCCTTATGATGGGTTAACTGACTTGGTTAGCTGGCAGTTGAACCACCTGTGCTCCCCACTGGCACGGTCCTTGCCACAACAGACAAAGATCCCCACGTAGCCGACTTCTGCTGTTGAGGCAAGTGCTGTTAGCGAGCACCTATTAAGGCAGGCATGGCAAACGGGGAGTGGTGTGGTCGGCATCACACACGGTCGCCGTTGTTTCCCCAGTGCTAATTCTGAGTCGACCTAGGAGAGGCCCACTATAGGCATTTGTGTTGTAGTATGGGGCATTGGTGTTGGTTAGTAGTGTGAGGCTCATAGCAATCGATGTAGCAGTTTGTAGATTGTACGGATGAGATGGTCAGGTAACAGCAGCAGCGTCTTTTGATGACGCTACGACTGTCCACTCAGATGACCACGTGGTCCAGTGACAGCAGGATCAAGCGATGACTGCCACGAGATTGCGGTGTCATGTGACCACGGGGTCAGCTGATGACGGTATCGGGCGAATGACAGAAATTGGGCGACGGGGTCGAGTGATAACAGGGTCAGGTGACGGTAAGTTCATATGGGCACGTGGTCAGCTGTGTCCACGTGGGTCACGTGATGACGGGGCAGAGCAAAAATGCACGGTCAGGCAACCAGCGCGGGGCGGCGCAGCAACGGAAACCGCGGTGACGGTGGATGGGCGGCGGGCGGTGCAGGCGAGCAGGGCCTCTTTGACGAGATCTCCGAGGACGAGCTGGTGGTGCTGCGGCAGATGGCGGTGGGCGTGGTGCTGTGCGCGCTCGCCACGCTCGCCGCCAAGGGCGACATGGTCTACACCTCGCTGTTCATCGGGGCCGCCGCCGCCACCGCCGGCTACTGGCTCTCGGAGCGCGGGGACCGCCTGCTGGACGACATGCTCACCGTCAAGCAGTAGATGAGGCGGGGGGCGGGGGGTGGGGGATGAGGGGGCTGCCCCACTGCTGCCACCTGGGATAATGGGGGGCAGATCGATCGTCAACGTCAGTGGGGTGCTCAGCAAAGAAGAAGCCATGGCAACGCCGCCGCTTATGGGGGACCGACCGCTCCAGGAGGATAACGGGGGGGGGGGGGGGGGGGGGCGGGTGCCACGTGATAATAGGCGGTCACTGCCGTCAACAATAATGGGAGTGACTCCTGCCGCATGATATAATGGGGGCGCCTCCTCCCCTCGAAAACCTCAGAGCAGTAGACGCAGAGGTAATGGGAGGCCCACTGGAGCCACCTGCAGTAACGGCGAGGGGGCCGAGTGCCGCTGCCAAGGGGTCATGGGGGTGGCGGTGTGGATGCTGTGGGGTGGCAACCACCGCAACAGTCGCCCGGGTCTCAACCACCGCAACAGTCGCCCGGGTCTCAACCACCGCAACAGTCGCCCGGGTCTCAACCACCGCAACAGTCGCCCGGGTCTCAACCACCGCAACGACAACCGTCAACTCGATGTGCCGTTGCTGACGGTGTGCACTGATTGAAAACTTTTCTGCGCTTCCTTCCAGCAGGGGTTTGCATACGCCGCTCCCCATGATGAGCGAACGCTAAACCAGGGCCTATTTTAAGGAGCGTGTAACCCTGCCCCTAGAGCTCTGCGGTGTGTTCTTGTACACGGGGGTGGGGATAGCATAGCATCGTATATACCTTGTGGATTACACAGCATCTCAGAATCGGAAGCCGAATCTCGATTTAGACTTCAGGAAGCTGACGAGCTATGAAGTTGTTCACAAATGTGCAGGGGTCGGTCGGCAACGTATAAACAAATAATAAAAAAAAACTACAGAAGTGTGAAATGGATGAAAGGTAAGCAAGTCACGATAAATAAATATACATCCAAGTTCTGGATGTTAGTGCAAATTGCGTAAGTTCCTGCCGATTTTTCGACACGAATTGCAAGCTTGGGCAAGGCATAAAAACAACAAATCCAGTCCCCCACCAGCCACCCCGCCCAGACCACACCAAGACAGCACCACAATTCCTTCAATTTGTAGTGCACATCTCACACGGCTGCTGCGGCTAGGCCCTGCTGGACACGGTGTGACGTGCGCAGCACGTAGCCAGTGACATCGAAGTTGGTGTCTATGTCGTGGCGAATCGACGGTCACTCGTAGCGGCGGAGGAGAAGGTCCTGAGCCTGGGTTGGGACGATGGTGGGGGGGAGGCAGCAGCATGGGCAGCTGCGGGGAAGAGGGAATTTAAGATTGTGGGGGCAGCCATCGCAAAAGTTGCTGTCGTCATGGACGGGCCCGGATGTCATTGCGAAAAAATTTAAACGCCTCCGTTTGTGACGCTGTGGCCTTAAGGGGTCGATGGAAGGCAACGGGCGTCGTTTTGGCTCCTATTGATTGCACGTGCGTGTGTGTATTTTGAAATTATTTTGCACCGTACATAGCCAACCGTGCGAATCGGAGGTGCGGGGGAAGGACAACAAACTAAACACACAAAGCAGTTCTAAAGAAATTGTTTTTTCAATCTAGATTGAAAAGTGCATAACTCCAGTGGCTTCCTAATATCGGAAGGAAGAGCGTTCCAGACGGCCGCAGAAGCGCATTTGAAAGCAGTAACCGTCTTTATTCGATGGCCAGCCAAAAACAACTGAACAAGGGCCAGTGGCCGGAACGTCGCCTCTTGGTGGTTTCCTCCCACCCCTCCCCCCCACCCCCACAGCATTCTCGACAGGGAACGTGTTTGAGTGATTTTCATATCATTTGCGTGTGCACCAATGCGGCGCAATAGCAGCATCGCGAGATAATTTGTCCAGTTTCATTACTGGCCATTGGCAATATTATTTGGCACTGACCAAGGTCGGCTTGGCACAGGTGCGTTTTCGTCATCGCTTACCGTTAGAGTAGTCCTCCTTTTTAAACCCTGTGCCCCTGAAAAAAAAAAACTTGCCAGGACCCACCAGTGAAAGAGACTTTAGACTCGGTGAGGCCTGCCTGGGTAAGTATTTAATAATAATAATTTATGGTATTGCTCGACTCTAACCACAGGGGGGTCTAAGCCAGGATTCACACCGCATAGGGAAGCTTCTGTTATAACGTTGATGGTAAACCGGGCTATAGCTATGGCTGGGTCTAGCCCCGGGTGCTGACCGCTAACCCGAGCCCAGCACCGGGCTAAGCCGGGTCTGGCTCGCCCGGTGGAATATCCACGTGATTTCTAACGACTGCAGTCACTGCCGTCATACTCCTGTCAACCCTTACTCTTTCACACACACACATGCCTAACACACACACACGTGTAACACACACACATGCGTGTACACATGCCCAATACACACACACGTCTAACACTCGCGCACACACACGCACGCGTGTACACATGCCTTACACACACGCATGTACACATACCTAACACTGCGCGCACACACATTTGCACGTGCAGAAAACGCACGTCTCCCCATACACATGTCCACACTGTGACTCTGACCCCTGCCTCCCATTTGAATCGCTGAACCTTGTAGTCGGTGCTCATGGGTCAATAAAGTTCGTGTCACTGAGTCGCCCGTGCCCGCGTGCGTCACCCATGCCTGAGTGCGCCACGGCTCCCAGGGTTTCCAACGACACGCACGCGCGTGTACAAACAGCACTCGGCCCTTGTGAATTGTGCAAAAAAAAAATAGCCCGTTCCTGAAGCGAACTGCAATGTCGTTCACCATCAAAATACATTTGAGGAAATGTGACCGCCTCGGGGCCACAAGAGTCCACCGCCACCACTCTGATGTCGTGGTCCGCACGCTGGACTTGAAATCCACGCGTTGCCGATTTGGCTCCATCTCCTGGCTTGGCCATTGAAACGGTGGGGCAAATTTATTAAATCCACCCTCCCCTACTTTCCGCTTTCCACCGCAGTTAGTCGATCGGCAGGTCACGTGTATTGGTGGGCTAAAGTATGGGCAATCCCACCTCTTCCAAGACGTCTGGTCAGCGTGAAAGAGTAGGCCAGGTACTCCAGACCGAGTTGGATCTCGTGGGGGCCCTTCCGACAGCAGTGGCGTGAGCGTGCGGAATTGCTGGGCTGCGCCTTTGCAATTTAACCATGCCGTGCTTTTTAAGGCGCGTTCCGGAGTCGTGGGCCGCGTGGTGGTCACGCGACCTTCCTAATTAGTTGATTATCGAATCGGTGTTTGTGCCACTGACGGCGCGCCCGACCTAAGCGCCGTGTGCGGTGCGAGGTGAACGATCGGGAGGCTTGCGTCCGCTTGTGGCGAGCAAAACCGCAGGTGAAGAACTCGTCGAGTACGAAATCTTCGTCCCTGCCACGTGTGTGGCAAAGCTTCCGACACGGCAACCCTTGACTCGTGGCTAAAAATATATACAGGAGACTGATATCGCCATGATCGCCCCCTCGTCAAGTTTGTCGTGCATCGTTCGAGAATTTTACCGCGACACCCGAGTCGATAAATCTCTGGGCTTGAGTCCACTCGGGTTAAAAGCTTCACTCGATAGTGAAATCAAATTTTCAGAATATACTGGAGGAATCCGATGCGCTATAAAGCTATTTCACAGATGTCCAGTGAAATGTTTTAACCGGGGCTGGAGAAGAGTTGCCTGAACGAGGTCCAAACGTGCTTACTCTCCACACGAGTGTGTGTGTAACATTGTGTGTACGTGACATGTGTCACTCATGTGATTGTAATTCGCTGTGTGTGTGTAATGCATGTTTTTGTGTCTGTGTACATAACACGTGTGCGTGTCTCCCATTGCCGTCGAGTGGCCCGGATCATTCTGTTAAGGTCAGTGAAGGGCAGGGCAAGAGAGGGCATGTGTTTGAGCTTAGGGAATGGCCAGTAATTCCGCACCTCCCTCCCCGTACACACGCACGTGGTGAACATGCATGGACCTTAGGAGTGAGTGTGGCGTTGCCGCTGTTTTAAAGCGGGTGGCTTGACTAATAGTGTTGCTGGTGTTTGTGGTGCCGCTTGTCACAGAGGTTCGCAGTTCAATCTGGCAGGCTGCCCTGGTTAATACTGTGGTGGTAGTGGTGTTTACAGTATTAACTAAAATTACTCCGCCGTCTGCTTAACTTGCAGTGGAATTTAAAGATCCCGTGATGTCGTTCGCAAGTGGAGGGTCCCTTATGTGCCGGAGTCGGGGTCCAAATTTGAAAAAAAATTATTCTGCAAAACAACTATTAGGGATCACATAGCAGCAATCGTTGCCTATTGGCAGCAGACTAATGTCATGTGGGCCAGGTGCTACGTCACCTTGCACTGCACATGGACCGCTGGCACTAGGGGTGCCCTATCAAATGTGATGCGAGGTGGTGTAAGGGGCTTATCGCATGTCTGGTGCTGTGAGACGCCCCGGCGTGCAGCAGGACACCTCTTTCAAAAACACGCAGTGCTGCACTGTTACTTTGGTGATGGCAATGATGGGGGTTCATAACTGTCGCTAAAGACAAAGATCCCCCGTATAGCCTTAACAGACTGCTGGGACAAGTGCTTTTAGCGAGCACGTGTCACCACCATCACTGCCATCGACACGATCATCGCCACTACGGTGCCAACGGAACCGGGGGCCAGATTAGAGAACGACTTGCAACACGTGAGAACCGACGGCCCGTTCAAGACGAGACTTTCCTTAACTCCGAGTAAGCAAGGTAGTTGCGACAAATGGTCACGAGAAATCTTTCGATGATGGCTAGTCCGTCGTAGTTGCAGTACCTCCACCCAGCCCCCCCCCCTCCCTCCCCCCGTCGGATCTTGAGCGTGAATGCACAGATGCATGCGTCGGTGTGAAGAGCAATTTTCCAGCATTGCTTTAGGAGTAAACCTGCGGCAAATTCGATTGGGTGACACCGCATCGGACGACGCATGGAATTGAGTGGCGGTTTTTCACGCTAGGAGTTATGCAGCCCGCAAGTCGCCGCACGGTCGCTGCGCTCCGGGCCTTCCGTCCCTCACTGGAGTGCGGCTGTTGTTGTTTGTCGATTGTTGTTCTTGTTCGTTGCGATCTTGTTGTTAATGTTGCAGATGTTGTTGGGTTTGATATTGTTATTGGGCGCCACGGTGTAGAGATGTTAACCACCTCGCCTGGTATACTGGAGGCTGTGGGTTTGATTCTATTCCTGATGCCTGTATATTTGGAGTTTGCATGTTCTCCCCGTGGTCGCGTGGATTTTGCTCCAGGTCTTTCGGTTTTTCTTTCCATTTAGAATCATGCGTTTAGATTATTTGGCTGCTGTACATTTCCATATGATAAGCCACTTGGTTGAGCTATCATTTGTGGCCAGGTCACTTCTGGAAAAAGAGCTCTCATAAAATAACAAAAATAGCTTAAATAGTTTTTTTGGTGTTGATGTGGTAATGCTCATGATCTTACTTTAATTCGTGTAGGTTTTCGCGACCAAAGTGATGATTCGGGGATTATTTCTGATTGGTTTGTGGGTCACAATCACTCTCGGCAACCTGGGTTTCGTGGTCTCGTTCGTGTCGTGGATGTTGTGCATTGGTGTTGCATACCTTGGTGTTGACGACGTTGTTGTTATTGTTTGCAGATGAGGAGGAGGTGGGTGAGAGTGATCAGGAGAAGACACAAGACCACAATCACCGTGACCTCTGACCCCGAGGGTCCACCACAACCGCTACACCCCACACTCGCTACAAACGCAACCACAACTGACAACCACTAAAACCACACTCGCAGCCACTACCTTGGCCACCACTACCACCACAACCACACACGCAGCCACTACTGTTACAACCACTGTTGCGACCACTCCCATACCACCCTACCCACAGCCCTTGTCACCATCGGACCCCACCCAACGCATGGCGCTGCATGGGGTCGAACACGGGTTTGGGGTTCGAGGGGTCCAGGGATTCGGGGTCTGGGACCGAGCAATTTTATGGTGGAGGAAGTGGGGATGATGGGTCGGTCCCCCCAGAATATACAGCACTGCCCATCTCCTCATGTGTGGCCCCCAATTCAGAGGCAGCTCCTCTGGTCGGGGGACCCGGTCCGGTTTAAGTTATTAAAATGATCACGGTGCTCGTGATGCCACCGCCAACCGCATCTCGCCACCCCTCGCCGCATCTCGCCATCGCTTCCTGCCGCCAGATCCCTGCACCGGTTGGCCCAGCCTCACCCGGGCTGCACGCTCTGCTGTCCGCCCGTTCCACACCCCAGCGAGCAGCTGCGCGAAACCAAACCGCTCTGAAAATCGCGCAGATCCACGGTGGTCCGCAGCCACTTTGTCCACGTCTGGGGTGAGCAGTTGCACGACGGCGACATTAAGCGGCTGCGCGGATTCGGGATCCAACCAGCCGACCAATCGCACCTCGTGAATGTTGCCGCACGCGTCGCTACGGAAAGCGCAGTCGGTCTCTGCTGCGAGCAACCGTGTTGCTCAGACGTGTCCACGCAAGGGATTCCGTTGCGCGGAACCAAGTTGCGCACAGCCGATCGCTCGGATGTGGTGCCAACGCTACGTGCGGACGTCTCTGGAACGCTGTTGCTCGCGGCGGAGACCGACTGAAACTTTCGCGTCGCGACGAGAGCGCTGCACGTTCGCGAGCCGCGGTTTTGGTCGTGAGGAACCTCGAATCCGTGCGGCCGTTTTTAAGGTCCTCGTCGCACGTCCACTCGCCCAGGCGCGGACAGAGCGGCTGCCGGCAACGGAGTTGGGTGATTCGATATCCATAGCCGGGGGGGGGGGGGGTGGTTTGCTTGCGAAACGGACTCGCTGCGGTATGGATCCGGCTTGACAGTCTCATCCCACTTGTAGAGGTTTTTAATCGTTTGGGGGGGAGGGGGATGGAGTTGGTGCCCCCCTTCTCCCCCCCTCTGTTTCATGTTTACAGTATCTGAGTGACCACTTTTTAGGGGGCTCAGGGTTGGAAAGATCCCCCTGGGATTAGGGGTCTGCGGGGTGGGGTGCAGGCGTGTAAACAGGGGGGTTAATTTGGGAATGTGAGTCTCGGGTGCCGGGGTCTCCTGTACAAGGGGACCCTGGTCCCCTACAAGGATCCCTGTGTTGCAGAGATCAGAGGGCGCAGGGTCCCTGTTTTACAGTGGCATCTGGGGTCCTGGTTCCCCATTTCACAGGGGACCTGTTGCCCTAAAAAGAGGGGGGAGGGGGCTGGATTTCTGGAGCCCCTGTGCTACTGTGCGACCAGGTCTCTTTGGGTCCCTGCAAAAAGGGCATCTGGGTGAATGATGTCCCGGTTTTACAGAGCGGGGGGGGGGGGGATGGGGGCCTTGGGGACCTCCGGGTCCTGGGATCTCTGGATCCTGTAAAAGCGGGACCTGGGGTGCTCTCGGTCACAGGAGCCCGGGAGGTGATACTTGAAACGACTGCACGTGTGGTGACGAATAAAGAGAGATGATTGCGAGGAGCTGATCAGTGGGCGCTCAGATCGAACTGCACAGATTTTCAACATGCATCGAATTCTTTTTTTTTTCCCTTTCTCCCACGCGAGATGAGAAATGTGACCACGTGAAACGGCCCAACGTGGCATGCGCACGTAGAGCCCACATCAACTAGCCCTACCACTAAACCCTACCACACACCCTGCCTCTATACAACCACGGACGTTACAGCGGCGAGGGTGGGTCCTGGACTGGCTGGCAATCGAACCGAGGTGTGCAGGGTTGGTGCAGTCTTCGGAATGGATACCGTGCAAGATCAAGGGCTCCATAGCGTTGGTGCAGGCGTGTCTCTGCCCTGCACAAAATCGAGGGTGGGACCGCACGTGCATCTTTATCACAACCCAACACGTGTGGGTGCTGTCGCGTCCGCAGCAGCTGCCACCGTTTCTGGGCTGTAACCTTCGGTGGGTTTTGACACTGGGTTAAAAAAAAAAATCTGCCTCCCAGGGCAAGAGGTGGCAACAGAGGACGAGACGAGGGCATCTCCTTCCAAAGGGTTCACAGCGGCATCCTAAGCGCACGGGTCTCTCTGGAACGGGGGGGCGGTGGGGGGGGTGTAGGTGAGTGGACTTTGATGGATGTGTTGAATGTTGGGGAAGAGTTGTGAGTGGGCGAGAGCGCGTCAGCTGTTGTGGGGGGCGGGGGGGTGGCCGCATGAGCCGTGCTTGGAGACGGCTGGGCTCGACGTGGCTGTCGGATCAGAGGGATTGCTCCGCGTGCGTCTCGTGGCACCACTGCTCGTGACAGCGGAATTGGTGGCCGTGTCAAGTACTGTAGACCCACTTAGGCCCACATACGGTACGTAGAGGCCCAACGTGACTGAGAGACTTGGGGAAATGCCCAGAAGCCGCAATAGTGCAATTGTCAGAAATCGGAATCTTTTATTCGTACTGGAGGAATCCGATGAGCTACAAAGCTCATTTTTACATGTCCAGGAAATCGGCGGTCCCCAACCTTTTTGGCACCAGGGACCGGTTTCGTGGAAGACAAATTTTTCACGGACCGGGGATGGGGGTTCATGATTGGGTCTGTCCCCCTTTTCAAAGAAGCTGTCCAGCGACGTTTGTTTTTTTTACTCATTTTGGCTACTAGGGGGTAGCTTGTGGGCTTTATACCAACACTGACTGAGACAAGTGTGCAGTGCGGGAAAGAGGCGCAGATGGAAGTGGAAAAGAATCAAATAAAAGGGGGCGGGCCACGCGCGGGCTCACCGCTCTCATCTCCTGCTGCTGCTGTGCGGACCGGTTCCTAACAGGCCACGGACCGGTCCGCGGCCCGGGGGTTGAGGACCCCTGCTGTAAATGGCCATGCAACCCAAACTATGGGCCGTGTCGTAGCCCACTGCAGTGTGCGCGCCCTGTTAACGCAGGAGGAGGAGGAACAGCGAAAGCACACAAACCACACGGGTCTCTTGACGAAGCCCTCTCGTTGTGGCCAGCAGCAGAGCTCGACAAGTTTGCATCCATCTCCTCCACATCTCGCCGCTGCCCATCGTTACGTCGGGATGAAGCCGCCGTGTCACTCACGACGGAGAGTCGGGAATCCTCACGGGTCTCCTTGGATGCTGCGCTTCGTTGCTCTGTGCTCGAGTCGCGCAGGCAGCTGCCGTGTCGCATTGAGGGTGCTGCACGAGTCCCGGGTGTGATTGCGCCAGGAGTAGCGGAGTGCTTGTGCCAGGGCCCAGTCCCGGATCAGGGGCCGTTCATAAATGACGTCACGCACCTAGGAGTGGGGGGGGGTGTCAGACATTTGTGACGATGTGTGACGAGGAGGGGGGGGGGGGGTTAAGAAGTGACGTCACATCAAAATGCGCAACTTTAAATGAATATAGAATCATAACACTCCTGCAACATCAGAGTGCAGCGCCACATTAAATACGCACTACAATGACAATAGTTTAAAGCGATGTGAAGCATGTTTTATTTTCGAAATGGAAATATGGTTTTCGGGGGGGGGCAGAGCTGTGTGACGAGGCGGGGGGGGAATCAAAAATCGTCTAAAATCGCGTTACGTCATTTATGGACGGCCCCTTATCCTAGTAGGACAAGTAGCTGCGGTGCCCCGCGCCTTCAAGGGCCCCGCGCGAAATGCTTTCAAGCTATCAACCGACCGTGCCAATCGGAGGTTGCGGGGGAAGGACAACAACCTAACGACAAAGAGCAGTCGTGAAGAAATGAGTTTTTCAATCTACACGGCGTGAAAGTGCATCGCTCCAGTGGCTTATTCATATCGGAAGAAGAGCGTTCCAGACGGCCGTGGGAGCGCGTCTGAAAGCGCGCGCGTCCACCAGAGGGCAGCACGTGACCGTGCATTGCAGAGCTGCGCGTGTCCACCCTCGGCCCCAAGCCCAACTCCCTGGTGGTAGTGGACACCCGCTGTGGAGGTGGCAGCAGCAGCAGCAGCAGCCAGGGTTGGTGAATCACCACGCAGATTTTGATTTAAAGCTTTCGTGACTGCAGTAATTCATATTCTTAGCTATTTCGGTAAAGTCACGTTGAAGGGAAACAATAAAATAATAAAATATATAAAACAACAAAAATTCTCACGACGTGACTTTACCGAAATAGCTAAGAATATGCACCACGCAGATGTTGCGAAAATCCCTTCCCGTGTGCGAGCGATGACGAGGAGGAGCCGTGTTACGGCTCGACAGGTTCAGGCGGTACAGTAAAGTTTGGACGAATCTCAATCTGTCCCAGCTGTATGGGATAGAGTGGTGCCCCCTCAAACGCGTGTACAACAGGCACGTGTACGGACACGTGTACAGACAGCACACGGACACGTGTACAGACGCCTACAGACAGCACACAGACACGTGTACAGACACGTGTACAGAACACAGACGTGTACAGACAGCACACAAACACGTGTACGGACGTGTACAGACACGTGTAAGGACGTGTACAGAACACACAGACGTGTACAGACAGAACACAAACACGTGTAAGGACGTGTACAGAACACACAGACGTGTACAGACAGCACACAAACACGTGTACAGACGTGTACAGACACGTGTACGGACATGTGTACAGAACACACAGACGTGTACAGACAGCACACAAACACGTGCACGGACATGTACAGACACGTCTACAGATAGCCTCTGTGCATGGTGTTTGTTGCATGTCTTGTTTTTTTTCTGTGTAAAAGGTGGCAACTCGCCTACTCACCAGACAATCACACTCACCTACTCACCCACCCACCAATCACACTCACCAGACAATCACACTCACCTACTCACCCACTCACCAATCACACTCACCAGACAATTACACGCACCTACTCACCCACCCACCAATTACACTCACCAGATAATCACACTCACGTACTCACCCACCCACCAATCACAATCACCAATCACACTCACCAGATAATCACACTCACCTACTCACCCACCCACCAATCACTCACCAATCACACTCACCAGATAATCACACTCACCCACCCACCAATCACACTCACCAGATAATCACACTCACGTACTCACCCACCCACCAATCACAATCACCAATCACACTCACCAGATAATCACACTCACCTACTCACCCACCCACCAATCACTCACCAATCACACTCACCAGACAATCACACTCACCTACTCACCCACCCACCAATCACACTCACCAATCACACTCACCAGACAATCACACTCACCTACTCACCCACCCACCAATCACACTCACCAGATAATCACACCCCTCACTCAATGCATTGCTTTCCAGAATATCGTGACAACTTTCTGTAAATTAGCAACCAAATTCCTCTGTTAGGTAACCACAGCCCCCACCGCCCTCCCCCCCACCCCCCACCGCCCCCCCTACCGCCCTCATCCCCCCCCATCGCCCCCCTACCGCCCTCTCCTACCGCCCTCACCCCACCGCCCCCACCCCCCCGACTGCCCCCCACCGCCCCCCCTACCGCCCTCCCCCCACCGCCCCCCCACCGCCGTTCCCCCGGGCGGGCCAGCGGCCGTCACCGTGGGCGCGTGCGTTCACCATGGCTGCGCAAGGCGACGCGACCCCTTCACTCTCACACCGTGGGACGACATTTACCATCGCCGTGACGCGCCGACATTGGAAGAACAATTTTTGAGACATTTTCACCGCGAGAGTGACTCAGTAGGGACGACACACACAGCAGCAGCAGCATCATCGCCCGAGTTGGCGAGATGTGAACTACCTCGCCTGGCATCACGCCCGTCAACCCCTTGTCAGTGCTGACTTCCTTGGTACAGACCAATTCAGACCTTATTGGTCACCCCGTGCCCCTTGTACATCTCAACGTTCATCCTACAAAGTCCCATCACAAGGGAGAAACTAAAAAAAAAGAAGCAATATTTTATTTTGCCCCGTATTGAAACGGCTGTACGCCGTATGGATCTGAAAACTAAACTTCCCTGTAGAAGAATACGGGGTAAGCCGTATGGGTTGACACGGTATGTGATATGGAGTGGGTTCGACCCCGACCCAGACGCCTGCTGCTGTGTATTTGGAGTTTGCGCGTCTCTCTCTCTCTCCGCGTGGTCGCCTGGAATGTTGTCCGGGTCCTCCGGCGTTTCCCTCCACATCATTAATGAACCTTGTGGCGGGGCTCCGGGGTCCCATAAGCCCCCGGGCTCTCGCATGAACTGCGTCGCGACGTCGTTTTATGTCTGTTGAAGGCGAACGACACGGCGATCTGTTCCCCTCGACGAGCTCTACACGATGCACCAATAAAAGTTTCAAAGTTTTGTTGATGACTACGGCAATTTTGGCAACGGCGGGTGCCTGGTGGAGAACGAGGAGAGGACTGGTTTTCTGGTGAGTCGCGGCGTTTATGTGCGCGGTGAGACGGAGTCGCCAATAATTACGATTTTGACTTCCGTTTATTCGAGCATGGGTTACAGCATGGGGTCGAGCATGGGGGTCGAGCTGTTACGGGTTTGAGCATGGACAGGGCAGGTGGGCCCGCCAGTGCCCCCGGGCGTTGTGTCTGGCCATCGGATGGTTTAGCATCGCAAACCCCCCACCCACCCACCCCTGATGCAGCAGTTTACTTGGTCAGCTATCTGCTGCTGCTGCCAGCGGCACACAAACACAGAACAAACAACAACAACCGACGCGTTGGTCAACAACGCGCTGTGAGCGGGTTGTTGCCTTATCTGGCAAACAAAGCCCAGTTATATAATAGGCGACGTTTCGGGCAAACGGTCCTTCTTCATGACACGAGATGTGGGGTGGGGAGGGGGCATTGGCCCCCGCAACGTTGCTTGTGAGATGTTTATTGTGCGGCTGTGCTCGAGACGAGTTTTGTTGACATGTTTGCGTTGTTGTTGTGTTTGGTGATTGGCCCGCGCTGGTGAGCACCCTCCCACTCACCATTTCATTCACACTCACCTCTCACCCTCTCACTCACCCTCTCACAGTCACCCTCTCTCACTCACCCTCTCACAGTCACCCTCACTCACCCTCTCACAGTCACCCTCTCTCACTCACCCTCTCACAGTCACCCTCTCACAGTCACCCTCACTCACCCTCTCTCACTCACCCTCCCACTCACCCTCTCACAGTCACCCTCTCTCACTCACCCTCTCTCACCCTCTCACAGTCACCCTCTCTCACTCACCCTCTCTCACTCACCCTCCCACTCACCCTCTCACAGTCACCCTCTCTCACTCACCCTCTCTCACTCACCCTCCCACTCACCCTCTCACAGTCACCTTCTCTCACTCACCCTCTCTCACTCACCCACCCTCACTCGACCCTATCACAGTCACCCTCTCTCACTCTCACTGCACCCTCTCACTCACTCTCACTCACCCTCTCACAGTCACCCTCTCTCACTCCACCCTCTCACTCACCCTCACTCACCCACTCAACCACTCTCACTCCACGCTCTCACAGTCACCCTCTCTCACTCCACCCTCTCACTCACCCTCACTCACCCACTTCACACTCTCACTTCACGCTCTCACAATCACCCCCTCTCACTCCACCCTCTCACTCACCTACCCTCACTCGACCCTCTCTCACTCACTCTTTCACTCACCCACTCTCACTCGACCCTCTCACTCACCCACACTCGCTCACCAGACTCACCTCTCACTCACCCACTCATTCACCCACTCTCACTCACCCACTCTCACTCACCCACTCTCACTCCACCCTCTCACCCACACTCGCTCCACCCTCTCACTCACCCACACTCGCTCACCCGACTCACCTCTCACTCACCCACTCACCCACTCTCACTCCACCCTCTCACCCACACTCGCTCCACCCTCTCACTCACCCACACTCGCTCACCCGACTCACCTCTCACTCACCCACTCACCCACTCTCGCTCCACCCTCTCACTCACCCACACTCGCTCCACACTCTCACTCACTCACACTCGCTCCACCCTCTCACAGTCACCCTCTCTCACTCCACCCTCTCACTCACCCACTCACCCGACTCACCTCTCACTCACCCACTCTCACTCCACCCTCTCACCCACACTCGCTCCACCCTCTCACTCACCCACACTCGCTCACCCGACTCACCCCTCGCTCGTCCCACAACCGCGGGACTTCGCCCACGATCGATTCTCCGCCTCCTCCAATCGCAGCTCGTCACCGCCCCCCCCACCCTCCACGATTAAAGGAGTCCCCCGTGCAGCCACGGGCACCAGGGAAGTTCATCTCCTGGTCAGCAGCCTCGGGATCCCGAATCCCCCTCGACGTCGTCGCCGCCGCCGCCGCAGCCGCCGCCAGCGATGCCGAGCGTGGCGGAGCTGTGCCGGGGCCTGCCCCTGGATCCGCTGCCCCCGCCACGCGGTCGCGACCCCAACTGCCCCCACGCTCCCGTGAGGACACCCGGCCTCTCCCCTGCCCAGGAAAAGGTAGCACCCCCCCCCCTCTCTCCATTCAGCCCCCCCCCCCCACCAGCAGCACGCAGTGGCTGTCACCCCCCCCCCCACCTTACCTCGACACGCGCACCACACGTACCACATACACCTCACACGTACCACACACGCACCACATACACCTCACACGCACCACATACACCTCACACACACCACATACACGTCACACGCACCACATACACCTCACACGCACCTCACACGCACCACATACACCTCACACACGCACCACACACGCACCACACGCACCACATACACCACACACGCACCACATACACCTCACACGCCCCACACGTACCACATACACCTCACACGCACCTCACACGCACCACATACACCACACACGCACCACATACACCTCACGCACCACACGTACCACATACACCTCACACGCACCTCACACGCACCACATACACCTCACACACGCACCTCACACGCACCACATACACCTCACACACGCACCTCACACGCACCTCACACGCACCACATACACCTCACACACGCACCACACGAGGTGTCCGTGTGTTTGCATCGACGCGCGGTGTCACCGTCACGCTGTGTCCGGCGGCGAGAAGGGATCCCCGGGGTTCGATTCCCGACTCGAGCGCCGCCTTTCTGCGTGGAGTTTGTGCGTCCCCCCCCCCTGTCCTGCAGAGTGCGAGTGAGCGTGGGTGAGTAGGGAGTGGTGGTGCAGCAGTTAGCCCGCTGCGCTACAAACCTGGCGAACCGGGTTCGATTCCAACCTTCACTACAAAGGCAGAACCCTCACGTCACGCGATCTCCGTCACGCTATTGAGACATAGAAGTAAAGAGGACGTCAAGATGAACAAGGGATTATCACCTTAAAATGAAATAGCTCTGTGTCACCGCGCACCCTTACAAATTGTACACGAATTGATGCAATGAATATCACGTCGCGGTCTGATTTTCGCTTGCAAGTTTCAGATTTACTGCAATACACCCGTCCTTGTACGGGCAAAAGGTTAGTAAGTAAATGCGCAGACAATGCTTAGATATTTGTCTCTCCGCGTAAAAAGGGCAGTCGCTGGATTCGAACCGCAAACCTCACCACGGCTGAATCGCGTCACCGCCCCACGGCTGAAGGAGGAGACCGTGAAGACTGAAGCTCCTCCGGCTCTCAGTGGTCATGTGGCCAGGTGGTCATGTGGCCAGGTGGTCAGGTGATCAAGTGGTTATGCGGCCAGGTGGTCATATGGTCAGGTAGCCAGGTGGCCAGGTGGTCAGATGGTCATGTGGCTAGGTGGTCATGTGGCCAGGTGGCCAGATGGCCAGGTAGCCAGGTGGCCAGGTAGCAAAGTGACCAGGTAGCCAGGTGGCCAGGTAGCCAGGTGGCCAGGTAGCCAGGTGGCCAGGTAGCCAGGTGGGCAGGTAGCCAGGTGGCCAGGTAGCCAGGTGTTATCATCGGTCATGAGCGGGAGTGTGTCTGTGTGTGTCCCCTTGCCGTTCACCACCCTTCGCAGGTCGCCCTGCGCAATGCGCTGCGTTACTTCCCGGCCTCGCTGCACGAGCTGCTGGCCCCGGAGTTCCTGCAGGAGCTGCGGGCGTACGGACACATCTACATGTACCGCCTGTACCCCACGCTCGAGATGAGGTGGGTGCCCCACAGCCTGCACCGCCGCATGAACCCGGCGCTGCTCCCTTGAGGCGCGCCAAACCTGATCGCCTTTTCCTTGACCCGGTCGCCACCGTGGGGCGCTCCGTCTTGGAGGACGGGTGAGGGTCAACCCACTTTTGACCCCACCTGCCGATCGACTCACCTGCGGTGAACCCATTACACCGATGCTGAGAGGGGACCTTGAGAAACTCACACCCATTGTTTTGACTGCCGCGCCGGGAGATGGAATCGAACCTACGACCTTTGGATTCAAGTTCGGTGAGCTGCTGCTGCAGCTGACGGTTACTGTGGCAGCAGCTCCTGGGAGACGATGGTCTTCACCCGAAACGTCGGACAATAGCGAAACATATTTAATATTTATGTTTCCTTTTCGAGCCCGAGTGTTGTTGTTGACACGGGGCGTGTTGGGTTATTGTTGTTGTTGTTGTTCATGTCCCACTGCCCATGCTGGAGCAGTAGCAGCATTATCAGGGGCATAAACCATCGTTACGTGAACTCCGGTCAATCTCGCAGCAGCAGCAGCAGCGGCGGCTTTTGACTGCTGGCCATCGAACACAGATGACGGTCACCGCATCGCGCGGCGCTTTCAAATGCGCTTCTGCGGCCGTCTGGAACGCTCTTCCTTCCAGATATGAGGAAGCCACTGGAGCAGTGTAACTTTTAAATCATCCAGATTGAAAACGCATTTCTCTCAAACTACTAAAACTGCTTTTTATTATGTTGTTCTTCCCCCACACCTCCAATTATCACGGTTGGCTACGTACGGTGCGAAAAAAATATTCAACATCCGTTGTACAGGTAAGCTGTGCAAATTACCGGAACTCTGCTCACTCCAGCGGTAGCAACGTCTGCTGCGGCCACGGACTCTGTGAGGGCGTGGAGGCGATCCTCTCTGTGCCGCTCACGGCTCGGCTCTCTCCTTGTTTTTTTTTCCTTCCCACAGGGCGTACCCGATCCACGCGTACCCGTGCCAGTGTGTACACGCGGCTGCCATCATGCACATGATCATGAACAACCTGGACCCGCGGGTGGCACAGGTGGGCAACTGGACCAATCCGCAGCAGCTGCTGCAGCAGCACCAATTAAACTCACGCACAAAGACAAAGACCCCCCCCCCCCACGTATGAAGACAAAGATCCCACGTATGATCTTAACAGACTGTTGGGGCAAGTGCTGTTAGCGAGCACCTATGAAGGCCGGTACGGCACACGAGGGGGTGGGTGGCCAATACCACGCCCGGCCGCCTTTGTCTCCCTAGTAGCCATGTTTACACACCGCGCCAGGTACTGGGAGGCCCAGGACCGGTTCAGATAATCGTCACTGGTGTTGGCCATGAGCGGGAATCGAACCCGGGTTGCCGGGTTCATAGCGCAGCGCGCTAATTGCTACACTACTGCCCCAACAGTCTGTTAGGACTACACACTCACATACACACATACACACAACAACAACCGCCATTCGCCACTAAGTGGCGGTGACGTCACCACGACGCTTGTGCCAGGCTATGTGCACCCTGAGGCCACGTGAAGTGTCGAATGCTCGCTGGCAGGTCACGGGGCAGACCCAGGTGCCACGGGTCGACTGACTGAGATGACTGGCTGATGCACCACCTGTGCCCCCTACTGTGCCAACTTGCTGTGCTTTAGCCACCCGGCGCTCCGCTCGTTGTTCTGAGCGTCGCTCCTCCGCCCTCCGTTGTTGTTGGAGGGTGACTACCTCCAACTGCCCAGTAGCGTCCTTCACGAGCCTCCTCCACAGAGGCCGATCTTGACACCGCTGGTACCAGTCATCGGCAAGTCCACTCAGCTCCACGTCCTCCTGTACCACATCACTCCATCTCTTCTCTAGCCCGTGCCGCGCCCGCTTAGCCCCCTTAATCCGGCTGAACAAAAGCTGTTTCGGCATGCGGTGGCTGGGCATGCGGGCTACATGACCCAGCCATCGCAGCCTTGCCCGCCGGAGGAGCTCACCGATGGGACCTTGCCCAGATCTTTCAAGGATTTGTGAGCTCCTCACACAATCCAGTCTGGTTAAACCCAGGATGGATCATAGGCAGGCCAGCCTAAATGGTTCTAACCGGCGAAGATGTTCCATTAGGGGGGTCCACGTTTCGCAAGCGTAAAGAAGGGAGGGAATGACCGTGGCCGAGAAGACCTGAAGCTTAGTGCGGAGTGACAGACCAGGTAGCTTCCACAAAGCGTTACGCAACCGATGAAAAGATATTGCCGCTCGACTGATTCGGAGTGAGACCTCTGCTGTTAAACTGGAGCCAGTCATAAGCACACTGCCCAGGTATGGGAAACTCTCCACTCTCTCCACAACTGCCCCATCACCGATTGGGAGTTGTGGGGGTGGAGTGTCCGATGGTACAAAATACCCAGGCAGGTGCTTAGTTTTGGTGGGGCTGATGGTAAGGCCCCAACTCTTAGTGGCACGCTCCAGTCTCAGCAGCAGCGTCTCCAACTCCTCCTCTGACTGAGCAGCTATTACCAAATCATCAGCATACATAACGTGGTTGAGCAATAGGGAGCCATCCCTTGACCGCACCCGGGCATCGATCAGCCTCCCATTATATCTGTACCATATGGAGATTCCCCCGGTACAGCTATTGAAGGCTTCACGAACTACGTGGTCAAAATAGATGTTAAATAATGTGGAAGTCAGAGGACATCCCTGTCGCACCCCAAGGTGTACAGGGAATGGCTCTGACTCCCGGCCACGTAGTTTTACTCGGGCCCGCTCACCATCATTAAGGTCCTTAATGATCGTGAGCAGAGGGTCAGGTACTCCAAAAGCATGAAGAACAACCCAGAGCCCAGGCCTACTGATGGTATCATAGGCCTTGACCAGGTCAATAAAGCAGAGATGTAGGTCTTGTTGGAATTCCCTACACCTCTGCTGTAGCAGACGGACAGAAAATATGGCATCTGTGCAGGACCGCCCTTTCCTGAAACCGCATTGGGGCTCCGCAAGCCTCTCCTCAGCGTGCCTGGCAAGGCGTTGTTGAATAATCCTTGCCGGGACCTATCCCAGCACACTGAGGAGTGAGATGCCCCTGTAGTTGTTACAGTCTGTGTGGTCCCCCTTCTTAAAGAGGGGGACAACCAAGGCATCCTTCCAATCCTGCGGAACCCGTCCAGTGGTCCAGACTGTTGTTATGATGTCATATAGGGCAGTCTGTGCACAAACTCCACCCTCCCTCAGCATTTCGCTTGGGAGATCATCTCTGCCCGCTGCCTTTCCTGGTCTCAGACTCCGGATCGCCCTCAGTACTTCCTCAACAGATGGCACTTCAGCCAGCCACTCACAGGGGGTGATTTCTTTCAATATTTGAGGCACCGCAGCCTCAGCAGGGTCATCCTCACTTTGTGCCACGATGTTTTCCTGGCTGAGGGATTTTCCCTCCCCCAGGTCCTCACAGAAATGCTCAGCAAATCTGCAAACCTTTTCCTGGGGGTCGGAGATTGGATCACCGTGTTTTCCCCTAATGATGGTAATAGGTGTGGCGCTGCAGGTTACTTTTTTGATGGAGCTAAATAGAGATTTGTGATCACGGGCCATTGAGGCAGACTCCATCTCCTCAGCAACCCGCGACTACCACCCATCCTTGCAGCGCCTCACGGCTCTCCGAACCTCCGAGCGAAGGCTGCGGTAAGCATCCTCATTCTCTGACGTGGGATTCTGTAGCCAATGACAAAGTGGGCCTGTCGCTTTTTCTCAACCATCCTGAACACCTCCTCTGTCAGCCAGGGTCTCTGGAGAGGTCTGGACCGCATACCCAAAGCAGCCATTGCAGCTGCATGAGTCACAGTCCTAAACCTCGCCCATTTACCCTCGACATCAGGAGGAGTGGGGGACGATGCCAACCCCAGCCGCAAGCGATGATGAAATTCTCGCTTGCAACTTCCATCAGATAACTGAGACCAGGCCACTTTAGGTTGGAATGGGGTCCTGGGTGTACACCCACCACCGGAGTGGAAGAATGGCAGGCGCATCTTACAGATGACTAGTCGATGGTCAGAGGGCAGATCCGCTCCACGGTAGGTCCTGGTGTCAAGCACATGGGCTCGCATCCGCTGGTCCGTCACTATGTAATCCAGCAGATGTTCTTGCTTGGACCCGGCATGCATCCATGATGTTGTGTGGATGTGCCGATGCCGGAACAGCGTGTTGGTAATTACAAGCCCATGGGCTGCACAAAAATCTAGCAGGCTCCTACCATTGTTATTGAGCTGATCTGGCCCATGCCCTCCAATCACTCCAGACCAGGTGCCAGCATCATGACCAACTTGGGCTTTGAAGTCACCCAACAAGATGACTCTATCCCGAGGGGCCACTTTAGCCAGCACCTGTGACAGGAGGTCATAGAAGGCATCTGACTCATCGGCTTTGCCTGCATCCCTCCACGGATGTTCGTCTTCGGTGGGGGCATAAGTAACCACGATCACCACTCCTTGCCTCCGGTTGATGGGAAGGCGAGCCCAAAGTAGCCTGGGGCTTACAGCTTCCCACACCTCACCGCCACGCTCCCACGCCCCCTTCATTCTTTTGTTCAAAAGAAGAGCCACACCCTGCTGTTTGGCAGTCTGCTGCCCCGAGTAGAGGACTGTCCACCCCTCATGGTGGCAGGAGCCAGAACCGGTCCACCGGACCTCCTGAATGCCACAGAGATCCAGGCGGTACCGGTCCAGCTCCCAACAGAGGAGTGGCAGCCTCTCTTCCGCAGTGAGCGTTCGAACATTCCACGTGGCAATCTGTAGTGGCTTTTCGTTGTTTCTGGAGGAGCCCCGAGGGTAGAGATTCAATCTCCTGGCTCCGCCAATTGGGGTTTGGCCAGGAGACGTCATAGACGCCTGTCCCCCCGGGGCCTCCAGCACAAGCTTATTAGTTACATATTTTAATCGTAGTTTAGTGGTAATTAATTGAAGGTGGAGGGGTTACCAGCCCCTCGCACCCGTCCAGAGCCCCCGTTTAGCCACTGTGGTGGTCACATACACCATGAAGGGAGGAGCCAATCGGAATTGGCCCTCCCCCCACAGCACTGTCCACGACAGAGTTGCCCGTCCGGCACCGCGAGGAGGTAGGGGGTTGTTTTTTCCGGACACATACACACATATACACACATACACACACATACACACACACATACACACACACATACACACACATACACACACACATACACACATTGCATACGAATGTCATCTCCCCGATTGGGCGATGAAAGGCTCGCGTGCTGGGAGAGTCGTGATGATGATGGTGGTGATGATGATGGTGGTGGTGATGATGAGTGGGGGTGTGGGCACGTGTTGAGTCAGCGTGGAGCACGAGGCGAGTACTAATTGATGAGGGTTGCCAAGGGGAGAGATGATTGGTTAATTGGAAGGTGGAGGTCAGGGAGAGGTCAGGAGGTATTTTAGGAGAGAGGGGAGCCACTGGTTTATGGTGCCCCAGTGGGTTCGGAGGAAATCCCCAGCGGGATGGGAAGCAGCCCCCTAGCCACGAAAGACTTTCTACACGTACAGAGAGTGGAAGCGGGGTAATCGAGGAGGCCGTGGGAGCTGTGGGAAGCCGTCAGTTCCTCGAGGGGAGTAAACGGGAGCGACGCTCGAGGCGGTGTGGTGGTGGCCGGCCTCGCCAACAACGTTGTTGAGGCCGGGGTCGACCCCACGGCGTCCCGAGCGGGTGCGGTGCCCCCCCCCCCCCGTGGGCAAGGCCCCCTGCCGCCCCAGGGGCTTTCCCGTCGCACCGCGGGCATTGGCACCGGTCGCTTTCCACACGCGGCCCGTGGTGGTGCTCGTGGCCACGTTGGTGACCACGGCTTTCTGTTGAATGGGGGGGGGGGGGTGAATAAGAATTTGCTGTTTGACCCTTTATGGCGCTAAAACAGGAGGCGGTAAGATCATTAGTAGATGGGGTTTTTTGGGGTGTTAGATCGCGTAAAAATATAAATATTGAGTCGTTAAACCCGCCACCACCCGAGACAGCTAATTAGTAAGGCTTGTCACGTAAACAGAACTTGCCAATTCGTTACTAGAACAGCACACCGGTTGTGTGTTGGAGAGCAAACCCTGATCGGAGTAACGGCGTGTTCCCGAAACTCCACGTGTTGAAACAAGCGTTAAGATCTTGATTTGAAGCTTTCGTGACTGCAGGAATCCATACTTCACCTGAAGACGGTTGCTTGCGTTGCGATCGAAACGTCGCGATCTATTTGTTTTGTCTACCTACGTGACTTTCACGAAAGAACCAAAGAGTAAGCGTTAAGATGTTCAAACGCGGGACGGATACGCCTTATTGCAAGGCATCAAGTACTGCTGCATTAACCACACGCGCGTCACGCGTGGTTCATGCAGCAGTAGTGATGCCTGCATTGCCTTTGACACGGGTTGGCCTACACGAGAGAGATGGGGGGGGGGGCTCCCTTTGTGGCCGCGTCTCAAACCGACCACTGTAGGGCCCAGACCACAACGCCAAAAAGTGAACCCTCGCCAAGGACGATGCGACTATCGCAGCACCAATAGCCTCGGGGCTGAGCAGTCGTAGGTATCTATTTAGCGTTTGAACGTCTTAACTCTGTTTTTTTATGTACAGAGGGTGAAGCCGATATTTGTTGGCACGTGGCTTGGTTTGTAATAAAATTTAAACGGAAAGGTAATATTCCTAATAAAGGTTTTTGGGTTAGATCGCGTTATTTATAAATGTGTCGTAACCCTCCACCACCCGACACGGCGAATCAGCAAAAAAGTGTCACGTTGACAAAAGACAAAATAGTTTTACCCCTTATTGGCACTAAAACACGAGTTGTTTTAAGATGTTTAAACAACCAAATGGGTATCTGTTGCAAGGAATCGAGTCTGCATTGACCACACGTGCTTGTGGTGAACATGCAAACAAACATTCTCCGATAATTGATGGCATTGCCGTTGAAACTGACGAGCCTACACCCGAGACAGCCGATGTCCCGAGTCTCACCGGTGTCAGACCAGAGAACAACACCAAAAGGCGAACGTAAAGATGTCGCGTTGCATGTTGTAGGCCTACTGTGAGCGGTGCTGCTGCTGCTACGCACAATTCGAAAGTTATAACTCGCACAAAGCCAAGGGGTCCCCCTCCCCCGTGTGTAGCCTAGAACAAGCACTGTTGGGGCAAGTGCTGCGAGCGAACATCGGTGTGGCCAGGACCACGCTCGGCCGCCTTTGTCTCCCCAATGCCCCCATGTCTCGCGCACCGCCCCCAGGCACTCGTGTGAGGCGCGATGCCCGCTTCACTCCGAGTGGACATCAACGAATTCGATGGTGACATTCGCAGAGGAGGCCACTGCTGGGTCAACATCGAGTTCCGAACTTGCGAAATTCGAAAAACGACGCCGCAAATGACTTTTTTTTACCGTTGTGATCGCGCGCACGCAGCAGCGGTCACCGCACCCGCATTGGTAGCAAACCTCATCAATCTTCGCGAGTGAGTGCTGTGTGCCGCTGTTTGGTGTCCTCAGCCGGTCACAAACTCAACCTGCAACTCGCGCGCGTGCAGTTTCCCCAGGAGCTGGTGACTTACGGAGGGAATGGGCAAGTGTTCAGCAACTGGGCCCAAGTGAGAAACCGTCTTGTGCCCTCTACCCCTCTCTCTCACACACCCACACACGTGTACCCTGTACCCCACACACACCCACACACGTGTACCCTGTACCCCACACACACCCACACACGTGTACCCTGTACCCCACACACACCCACACACGTGTACCCTGTACCCCACACACACACACCCACACACGTGTACCCTGTACCCCACACACACCCACACACGTGTACCCTGTACCCCACACACACCCACACACGTGTACGCTGTACCCCACACACACCCACACACGTGTACCCTGTACCCCACACACACCCACACACGTGTACCCTGTACCCCACACACACCCACACACGTGTACCCTGTACCCCACACACACCCACACACGTGTACCCTGTACCCCACACACACCCACACACGTGTACCCTGTACCCCACACACACCCACACACGTGTACCCTGTACCCCACACACACCCACACACGTGTACCCTGTACCCCACACACCCACACACGTGTACCCTGTACCCCACACACACACACCCACACACGTGTACCCTGTACCCCTCTCACACACCTCACACGTGTGTCCTCCACCCCTCTTACACACCCACACACTTGTACCCTCCACCCCTCTCACACACCCACACACGTGTACCCTGTACCCCTCACCCCCACCCACACACGTGTACCCTCCACCACTCTCTCACACCCACACACGTGTACCCTCCACCACTCTCTCACACCCACACACGTGTACTCTCTACCACTCTCACAGACCCACACACGTGTACCCTGTACCCCTCACACCCACCCACACACGTGTACTCTCTACCACTCTCTCACACCCACTCACGTGTACCCTCCACCCCTCTCTCACACCCACACACGTGTACCCACGCAAATGGCTCAACTGGGGTTGAAAGGGTTTTTCTGGGTAAATAAACATCACAAGAATAATTAACTAATCGAGCACATTGTCGCTTGCGTGTGTGTTCCTGGGGAGCGGTAGCGTCGTGGCGAGCACAATGCGCTCACGGCCAACAACAGTGGCGATTACTTGAACTGGTCGTGGGCGTCCCCTAGGTCGGCTCGGCATCAAACGAGTGCCCGGTGCGACAGTGTAAGCATCGCCGCTCGGGAGACAAAGGCGGCCGGGCGTGACGCTGGCCACCCACCCTCTCGCGTGCCGTGCCGTCATAGGTGGTGCTCGCTAACAGCGCTTGCCCCAAGCAAGTGTAGCCCACGGTCTGCGTGGGCCACACGATGGGAGAGGGTGGAGGGTTAGCTTTGTCTCCGTGACCCTCGCTGCCCGTGGTGGCGGTGGTGGTGGTGGCGGTGCAGTTCTGGGTGGTGATGCAGCTGCTGGCCGAGATGACGGAGGAGCAGACCCTGGTCGTCTACAGCGGCCACCCCATGGGGCTGTTCCCCAGCACGAGACACGGGCCACGACTCGTCATCACCAATGGCATGGTGAGGTTCACGCGCGCGGGGGGGTGAGGCGCGCGTGCGCGGGAGGGGGCGAGGCTTGCCCGCGGGGGGGGGGGGGGCAATAAACGAACCTCATCCAGTATTTATGGCCGAGCTGAAATATCTGTCCCCGGTGTGAGAGCCGCCGTGCACCTGCCCCCGGCGACGCATCGATGATTGGGTGCAGCCGACACGTCTCTGGACCCTTTAAATCAAACAGCGCCTCGTCAGCGGAGTTCCCACTGGCTTCAATCAACGCCGCCGCCGATGATGATGATGAACTCCCAGACGTGATATGAAATGGGCGCTCAAAGGGGAATATCGATCAGAAGGGGGTCCCACGTCCCTGGCACCCCCACGCCGTCTCCTGCAGCACCCTGCCGCCACGGTCTCTCTCCGGGTCTCTCCCGACACCCCACCCTCTCTCTCATCCTACCGTGTCTCCATCATTTACCTTACACCCAGACAAGGGTTAAGTCCTGTTGACTCAATTTACCTATCTGGGCTGTAAATTACTGCTGTGTTGGCCGCCCTAATCGTTCCCCTAACCCGCGCAATGAACACAAGACAATGGGTGTCCGTGCGGTTCAATCCGTGCACTGGGAGTCTTCCAGTCGACCCGTGGCGCCAACCATCGTCTTGAATACCCTTGCCCCCCCCCCACCCAACAATCAAATTTAGTGAGCAAAGACAAAGATCCCCCCGTGTAGCCTGAACAGACTGTAGGGGCAGTGATAGCTCAAAGAAGTGGCTTATCACCACGTTGGAAATTGATAGCAGCCAAATACTCTCAAATGCGTGTTTCTGAATGCGGAGGGAAAAACCGGAGGACCCAGAGAAAAATCCACGCGACCATGGGGGAGAACACGCAAACTCCTAATATACAGCAAGCGTCAGGGTCGGGATGTAACCCACGAACTCCTGTATACCAGGCGAGGTAGTTAACATCGGACCACGTTAGCTTTAGCCCAAGGGCCAAGCAATGAGTGGCCGTAACAGAGCGCACACACGGGGTTCACAATTGCTGGCGCAGTGACGCGATAGAACCGAGTCCGTTCCATCGCACACACGCCGCTATGCTACCGCAGCCCCATCGCGCACACTCTCACAATTACCGGTCCTGGGCCTCCCCTAAGTCCACTCAGCCTCAAATGAGTACCTGGGTGCGGCCGGGCGTGGGGCTGGCCACCCACCCCCTTCGTGTGTCGTTCCGGCCTTGATAGACGCTGCTCGCTAACAGCACTTGCCCCAAAAGTATGCTGAGGCTATACGGGGGGGGACCTGTCTTGTGTCTGCGTGTCGTGCCGTGCGTGTGTCCCCAGGTGATCCCCAACTACTCCTCCCGGGAGGAGTACGAGAAGCTCTTCGCCCTCGGGGTCACCATGTGAGTGAACCCCCCCCCCCCCGTGGCATATTTGTAGCTGGGCGACTGTCAACACCACCACCACCACTTGTGCCTTGTCATCAATTAGCATGCCATAATTAGTCACGGTCACATCATTATGACTCTTGTTTACCGAGGAGAGCCTCGCCGAGTCTCCAGTCTCTCTTTCAAGGAGGGTCCTGCCAAGTTTTCGCAGTAGGGGGGGGGGGGGGGGAGCGATGTTGCTGTCGCTGCTGTGAAATCATCGCAATCGAGTGATGGTGCAGGGAGTTTTTCAGCGCCGGGAAGTTTTTGGCCAAAAGCAGTTCCACTGTGTTTGTGGGGTTTCGCTATGGGAGGGAGGAAACCGGAGAAGCCAGACCAGGGGGACTTCATACAAACGCCACACGCAGTTGAGAGCCACACGGAGAGCAGTGATCTTGGTGGCGGATCGAATCTCAGGCACCGCCTGCGCTGTAAAAGCCGCCAGCGTCACCGCCGCTGCTGCCGTGAGCGCTCGCACTGAGGTGGCTGCTGCTGCTGCTGCTGTTCGTTGTTGATGTTGTGGTGGTTGGTGGTGTCCGCGCCAGGTACGGGCAGATGACGGCCGGCAGCTACTGCTACATCGGCCCGCAGGGGATCGTGCACGGCACCCTGGTACCCCGCGCGCACGCCACGCACGCCACGCACGCCACGCCCGGCACCGTGCTCGCTGCGCTGCTGCCGCCGTTGAGTAACCGTGGCGCTGCCGTGGCCGCAGCTGACGGTGCTGAACGCCGGGCGGCGCTACCTGGGGCTGGAGGACCTGCGGGGCCGCGTGTTCGTCACCTCGGGGCTCGGCGGCATGAGCGGTGCGCAGGCCAAGGCCGCGGTGATCGCCGGGTGCATCGGGGTCATCGCGGAGGTGAGCTCGCCCCGCCGCTCCCTCAGCCTCACCCGGCTCGCCCGCCTCGCCCGTCGTGGGGAGCACTGCGCTACGAACCCGGCGACCCCAGTTCGATTCCCGCTCACGACCGACGACAGCGGCGAATGTTTGAACCGGTCCCGGGCCTCCTCTAGGTCGACCCAACCTCAAATGAGTACCCGGCGCGACGTGCAAATATCGCCCTTGGGGAGACAAAGGTCGGCCGGGGCCGGCGTTGGTCACCGCCAACCCCTTCGTGTGCCGTGCCGGCCTTCATAGGTGCTCGCTGACAGCACTTGCCCCAGCAGTCTGTTGCAGGCTACACGGGGGATCTTTGTCTTTGTGCATCTCAGGTGGACGAGGTGGCCCTGAGGAAGCGGTTCGAGCAGGGCTGGCTCATGGAGGTCTGCACCAACCTCGACCACTGCATCGCGCGCATCCGGTGAGCACGACCCGTGTGTGTGGGGAGTGGTGGTGCAGCGGTTAGCGCTACGCTGCGCTACGAAACGAGTTCGATTCCCGCTCACGGCCATCAACACCGGTGACGGTTGTCTTAACCCGTCCTGGGCCTCCCCTAGGTCGACTCGGCCTCAAATGAGTACTTGGTGCGATGTGTAAAATTATTGCCACTGGGGAGACAAAGGCGGCCGAGCGTCGTGCTGGCCACACACCCCCTCGTGTGCCGTGCCGGCCTTCGAAGGTACTACTCATTAACACCACTCGCCCCAACAGTCTGTTAAAGACTACATGGGGGGTCTTTGTCTTTGTGTGTGTTTAGTGATGCACGTGCCAAGAAGGTTCCCCTCAGTCTCGGTTACCATGGAAACATCGTGGACTTGTGGTGAGTTGAAAAGTTTATTCTTGCCGAATATCACTCATTGGTGCGGTGGCACGGTGCGATGTGGTGTTGGGGTGGCACCTCGTGGCGGTGTGAGGGAGTGGGGTGGCACCTCGTGGTGGTGTGAGGGAGTGGGGTGGCACCTCGTGGTGGTGTGAGGGCGCTGGGTGGCACCTCGTGGTGGTGAGGGAGTGGGGTGGCACCTCGTGGCGGTGTGAGGGAGTGGGGTGGCACCTCGTGGTGATGGGAGGGCGCTGGGTGGCACCTCGTGGCGGTGTGAGGGCACGGGGTGGCACCTCGTGGTGGTGTGAGGGAGTGGGGTGGCACCTCGTGATGGTGGGAGGGTGCTGGGTGGCACCTCGTGGTGGTGTGAGGGAGTGGGGTGGCACCTCGTGGTGGTGTGAGGGCGCTGGGTGGCACCTCGTGGTGGTGTGAGGGAGTGGGGTGGCACCTCGTGGTGGTGTGAGGGCGCTGGGTGGCACCTCGTGGCGGTGTGAGGGCACGGGGTGGCACGTAGTGGCGGTGTCCTCTCGGCACAGGGAGCGGCTGGTGCAGGAAGCGGAGGAGAGCGGGGAGCTGCTGGCGGACCTCGGCTCGGACCAGACCTCGTGCCACAACCCCTACGGGGGCGGCTACTGCCCCGTGCAGCTGGCGCACGGCGAGGCGCTGAGCCTCCTGCAGGCCGAGCCCACGCGGTTCCGCGCACTCGTGCAGGAGAGGTGCGCGCCGCACCATCGCCACACGGCACCACTGCACACGGAGTTGGATTCCCACTCACAAATAAACTTCAGCGACGAATATCTGAACCGGTCCTGGGCCTCCCCTACGCAAACTTAATTGGGTACCCGGTGCGACGTGTCAACGGTAGAACTGGGGCAACAAAAGGCGTGGTGGGGGCCACACATGCCCTGCGGTGTCCGGTGCCAGCCTTCGTAGGTGCTCACTAACAGCACCGTCTGTTGAGGCTACACCCGGGGATCTTTGTCTGTTGGTGTGCGTTTGCAGCCTGCGGAGGCACGTGGCGGCCATCAACGCCCTGGCAGAGCGAGGCCTCTTCTTCTGGGACTACGGCAACGCCTTCCTCCTGGAGGCTAAACGCGCAGGTAATGTCCCTCCCCTCCACAATGCTCCCTCCCTCCTACTCCCTCCTCCTCCCTACTCCTTCCCCTCCCTCCAGGCCAATATGGGCCGGCATGGCTGGTGGTGTCCATGCCGAGCGTGCGACGTGGTGCGTGTCTTCTCTAGGAGCCGACGTGGAGAAGGCCGGATCCGGTGACCAGACCGAGTTCCGGTACCCGTCGTACGTGCAGCACATCATGGGGTGAGGCCGCCCCTCCCGGCCGCGGGTCCGGTCGGCACGCAGCACCGCACAGAGTCCTCCTCTTGCCCTAGGGTGGCCTCCTGCCTTCCACTGGGGGCCACACCCAGGCACGCCTCCTCTCGGTCGGCAATCGGCCCCATCCCACACCGCGCAGGTTACCGCGATAACGTCCTCACGGTAACCGACACAAAGCCGGAACCAGATCCCCCGGCACAAATCCATCGCAGACGCCAGTTCCCGGACTTGGTGGCGACGCTGCTCTGGCCGTTCCGCCGTGACCCGGTCAGCCCGCACCGCGGGGTGACGCCGCGCCGGCGATGACTCCGCTCGTGGTGGTCCCGCGTCCACTCGCGTACCGGCACCAGCGCGACAATCGCCCTCCAATCCGTGCTCGCGTTTCCGCAGCTGCATTTTACTCCTAACGCATTGAATTTGTCGGAGCCAAATTATACACTGCTGGTGTCTGTCCGCTGTTTTTCAATTTCCTCTGTGGCGCGCAGTTATTTTTGGCTCCAATTTCTATTTCCGTCATAGCTACGCTTGTAAGTACGCCAGTGCCGTCGGCCTCCCGAATTGTCCGTCCCGGTTTTAACTCGAACACGACCGCGCGTGCCCAGGGACATCTTTTCCATGGGCTTCGGGCCCTTCCGCTGGGTGTGCACTTCCGGAGACGCCCGCGACCTCCTTGCCACCGACGCCATCGCAGCTGCCGTGCTCCAGGAGATCGTCGCCGACCGCAGCCACCCAGGTGGAGGGGAGAGGCACGGAGGAGAAGGGAGAGGTGTGGCCGGGGGTTCACAGTTGGAACCCAGCAGCAGGCTGCCCCGCTTGTTGCTGCCGGTGTGGTCCCCGTTAAGCTCCGCTTCTCGTTGGACATTAAAAGACGGCGTGAGCCGGCCAGTGCTCGCCGGCGTCGCGGCCAAAAATTTGCCAAATCCTAAAACGGTTGCCCCGCCGGTGACTCAATCGGGTTCGCACGCGGCAGCAACCACCGCCCCTCTCCTGGCAGACCGACGCCCGCTTGCAGGCCGGCTCCGAGGCACAAACACGGGGAACAGCTGCCACCGCGGGGGGCGCCCCCTCTCACGTCCGAGATGCGACGCGAGGCACTCTGCGTTTCCGAGTCATTTCGACGAGCCCCATGTGAATGAGAATCTTGCTGCTCCTGCCCATGCCGTCCGAGCGCACGGACGCGGCGCCGGTCGCGCCGGCACCGCTCTGCTGTGACCTCCTCTGTCTCCGCGATCCCCCGCAGTCCCCGAGTCCGTCCGGCAGCAGTACCTCGACAACATCCGCTGGATCAAGGAAGCGCACAAGCACAACCTGGTGAGCCGGCGTGGGTGCGGCGGCAGCGTTCGCTGCTCGTTGCCGAGGTTCGTGGTTCAATTCCGGCGGCCGCCCTGGTTAATCCTTGCGCTGGTGGGCAGCGTGTGAACCAACCGTGATAAGTGCTGCTGGGCACTGTCCGCTTCACTCGCGGTGGACGTTACAGATCCCGTGACGCCATTCGGAAGGAGTTGGCCATCGTGTGCCCCACGTCACGGTCCGAATTTGCCCAATTTGAAAATAGATCGCTCCGCAAACGACTCAACTGGGTTCACAGGTGAGCGGCAGCCGTCGCCCCCTCCTGCTCACGTGTGGGAGGACCCTCCTGGATTTGGCTCGAGGTACTCGGCGAGGCTCTCCTGGGTTAGTGGAGCGCGGGGGTGGCGGTCACACCCCCGTGGCCGCGGGGTTGGCGTCACTGGTGAACGCGGTTGCCGCCCGTGGCCGCAGGTCGTTGGCTCGCAGGCGCGGATCCTCTACTCCGACCAGGCTGGCCGCGCCGCCCTCGCTGACGCCTTCAACTGCGCGGTCGCCGACGGGAAGCTCCGGGTGAGAATTCGCGCCGAGCGACCGCAACCTTCCGAAACCAGCTAACCGTGTCCGGAGCCGACGACCAGGTTCCCAAAGTCCGGAGTCGGAACGAGCTGCGCGTTCAAGCGACTTCATCCCAGCTCTAAGACAACCTTGCGTTGCTGCCGGTGACCCCGGCTCGCGGTGGCGAGCGTGCGGTGTAACGGTGACGACGCGGCACTGCGTTCCGACTCCCGCAGGGCCCGGTGGTCATCAGCCGCGACCATCACGATGTGAGCGGCACCGACAGCCCCTTCCGCGAGACGTCCAACGTCTACGACGGCTCGGCCTTCTGCGCAGGCAAGGGGCTCGCGGCAGCACCGCCTCTCGCTCGCGCACACGCGCGCTGGTAACACGCAGCTCGCTCACCGATATCTCTCACCCTCAGACATGGCCGTGCAGAACTTTGTGGGCGACGCTTTCCGCGGGGCCACGTGGGTGGCGCTGCACAACGGCGGCGGCGTCGGATGGTACGACGCCCGCCGCTACCCCCCCTCCCGCACCACTCCCCCTCGCTCGCTCCGACTGCACCACGGTTTCTCAGCACGGCCCAAAACGGCAAGCGGCCAGGAACAAACAGCACCGTCAAAGATATTTATCGATGACGAATACCTAAACCGGTGCGGTGTGAAAATACCAACACTCGGGGAGACAAAGGAGGTGGCATGCGCTAAATGGCAGTGCTGGGTGGGACGCGCGAGCAGGAGGGGCGGCGAGGCCCGATCGTCAAGGCGGCCACTGGAGTGGTCTCCGTGAGCCCAGCGGTCAAGGGGAAGAGAAGAGAGCACGTGGTGTGAGATGCTGTCAGGGCAGCAGCGGGTCTATGGGGCTCTTTGTGAGTCCACGAGTCTCGGAGCATGTGGTGACTGTCCCCCGGGCAGGTCCTGGGAGGGCATCGCACATCTCCTGCGCAGCAGCTGTGGGATCTAACTGGGGGGGGGAGAACGCGTCGCGATGACTTCTTGATTGATCTGAACATCACTTGCCCCCAACAGTCTGCTAAGGGCCATGCGGGGTGGTCTTTGACTTTGCAGGGGTGAGGTCATCAACGGTGGCTTTGGGCTGGTGCTGGACGGGTCGAGCGACGCGGCCCAGCGTGCTGCCCGCATGCTGCACTGGGACGTGATGAACGGGGTCAGTGCTGTGCCCCCCCGACCCCCCCCCCCCCCACCCGGCTCACTCCTAGCGGGCAGTTCGAGACACCCCACCGCCACCTGCTGCGTCGGTGCGATGTCGGTGCGATGTCTCGGTGCGATGGGCTGATGTGACGTCGCGATGACGTGCCAGCGTGTGTTTGCGCAACGCTTGTGCCGTCCCTGCAGGTGGCTCGCCGATGCTGGGCAGGAAACGTCACGGCTCGCGAGACGGTCAAACGGGAGGCAGCGCGGCACGCGGACCTGCGCGTCATACTTCCCCACCACCCAGCAGACTCAACTCTCCTGGATAGGGTCACTGGCAGTGGCTGCGGCAGCAACACCCCCTAGCAACAACACTCTCTAGCAGCAGCAGCAGCAACACCACCCTCTAGCAGCAGCAACACCACCACCCTCTAGCAGCAACACCCTCTAGCACCAGCAACAACACCACCACCCTCTAGCAACAACGCCCTCTAGCAGCAGCAGCAACACCACCACCCTCTAGCAGCAGCAGCAACACCACCACCCTCTAGCAGCAGCAACATCACCACCCTCTAGCAACAACACCCTCTAGCAGCAGCAGCAACACCACCACCCTCTAGCAGCAACAACACCACCCTCTAGCAGCAACACCATCACCCTCTAGCACCAGCAATACCACCACCACCACCCTCTAGCACCAGCAGCAATACCACCACCCTCTAGCACCAGCAGCAGCAACACCACCACCACTCTCTAGCACCAGCAACACCACCCTCTAGCACCAGCAACACCACCACCACCCTCTAGCACCAGCAGCAATACCACCACCCTCTAGCACCAGCAACACCACCACCACTCTCTAGCACCAGCAACACCACCACCACCCTCTAGCACCAGCAACACCACCACCATCCTCTAGCACCAGCAGCAATACCACCACCCTCTAGCACCAGCAACAACACCACCACTCTCTAGCAGCAGCAGCAGCAACACCACCACCCTGGAGCAGCAACACCACCACCCTCTAGCACCAGCAGCAACACCACCACCACTCTCTAGCAGCAGCAGCAACACCACCACCCTCTAGCACCAGCAGCAATACCACCACCCTCTAGCACCAGCAGCAGCAACACCACACTAGCAGCAGCAGCAACACCACCACCCTGCAGCAGCAACAACACCACCACCCTCTAGCAGCAACACCCTCTAGCACCAGCAGCAATACCACCACCCTCTAGCACCAGCGACACCACCACCACCCTCTAGCAGCAGCAACACCACCACCCTGCAGCAGCAGCAACACCAACACCCTGCAGCAGCAACACCACCACCCTCTAGCACCAGCAGCTCTGATTACTGCCGCACCGCGAGAATGTTCACGAGTGTCGCTGTGGGTTACTTGTGGAATTTAACTCGGCTACTCTTCACCCCCTTCGTGTACAATGTGTCTCCGCATACATTTTGTTTGTTACAAATCCCATCAGCCACATGGTCTCCTGGGAGCACATTCCACAGCATTGGTTTAATACGAGCAACGCTGCAGCGGGTTTTGACTGTCAGTGTCTCACGGGCAGTTGGGAAATAAGTTAAAAGTAAAATTCTGATTCAGATGACGTTTTAATTCCAATTATCTGTACACATCAAATAAAAGCACAAGTTTGAAGGTGGAGTGTCACTGCCTCCCTCCATAGTCACCAGCAGGTCTCCCCCTCTAACTGCTGCCTGTGTGTCACCTTGGCGTCAGCATCACTGTCACCCCTGCATCACCCCAGTCACTGTCAGCCCCCCCACCCCGCCAATGTTGTCACCGTCACCGCCCCACACTGTCACCGCCCCCCCCCCCCACCATCGCCCTCACCCGCGCATCACTCCTGCATTGCGGTGCCATCTGTCATGGGCGGCGGCAGCTGCATCATCTCCACGTCCCTCGAGGCCGAATGCTGGAGCTCACGCCGCACCTCGCCGGTCACGGCGGGGTGGCCGTGCACCTTTATGAGCTCCAGCAGCGCCTCCTTCTGCTCCGAGGAGAGGTCCTCCTTGTAGCGCTGCGTCAGCACCAGCAGAGCCTGGTGCCACAGCACGGGCAGCGTGCGCCGGTCGCTGCGGAAGCGCAGGAAGTGGGACACGAGGGCGTCCAGCACGCGGTACGGCAGCGCGTACTTCTTGTCGAGGAACAGGCGCAGGAACACGCTGTTGGCGCCGCTGTACTCCATCTCGGCGATCTTCAGCAGTGCGGCGCTGCACACGCGCAAAGATGATGACAGATTCGGCGAGTGGCCTATAAAAAAAGCTGGTGGGGGCAGGGTGCTGTTAGAGGGCACCTAGGAATGCTGGCACGGCGCACGAGTACTATATTCTGATTTCCTCCTACAGGTATACAACAACTCAATACAAGACCACAGAGCTTGAGAGGTTGTCTCCCTTCCCGAGCTCTTAATAATAATAATAATTTAAATGTATAAAGAGCCCTTAAAACAATCGTTCTCACTTTTCTGGTTCCCCGCGCCTCGGTGTGTAAATCAACCGAGTTACAAAGGTTACAGCGGTGGCTGGCTTGAGACGCAGTTTGCATGACCGCCGTTTAGAGTCGTCAATAGTTATGGGGGTAGTCTGCCGAGGTGGTGGCGGCGACAAGGCGCGAGGGTGCCGGCGGGCGGGGGGGGGGGGCACCTGGAGTGCAGCACGGGGATGGAGGACTTGGAGAGGATGCTGCCGACGATGATGGCCTCCCGGAGGGTGCAGGTGCCCGACTCGCACAGAGGGAGCAGAATCCCTGCGCCCGGCAGCGACGGGAGAGAGAGAGGAGCGGACAAGTTAAGCACCGCGCTTGCGCCACACCGGCAACGACGCGCCACCCGAGTGCCGTGTGAAAGCATCACCTTTGAACCAGGCCCCAGGCTTGAACAGGGCCTTCTTGAGCGCCATGTAGAGGTGGAAGTTGAGGCGCTTGTATTCGGCGATGTCATCGCGCACGCGTGGCAGCAGCACGAGGTTGAAGAAGCGCTGCGCCATCCTCTCCTTCAAGTTCGACGTGAAGATCCTGCGGCACAACCCCACTCCGTCACAACAAACACCTGCACAAGCCGGCCACCTCCACGGACTCCGTCCTTCAGAGCTGTTCTCTCCTTGCTAAAGCGAGCACTGTGTCAATGGTGCTCACCCCGTGTTCGTTTAGAGCCCCGAGCCACTGGGGGAAATACCACATTCTTATGGCAGGGACAAGTCGATTTATAGAATAACCATTGTTAACTCGGCAACGAGATAAAAAAATAACCACGTTACAGAAGAACTTGAAAACTATTTTGGTTAAACATATTTTACCGTTACAAAAGTTGGCTCGACCAAATTACCTTTAAAACCGTTCAGAGTAACATTAAGTTACTTCTATTTTGTTGTACACACCATGTGCTTTAGAAGCCAACATCTAATAGCATACTCTTTGGTTCTATTCGGTATAGTCACGTAGGTAAAAAATAAAACAAAAATCACGACGTTTCGGCCACAACACAAGCGGCCTTCATCAGGTGAAGGGAGCAGACTGTCTCGAGGACAGCGCTGGAGTGAAACACAGCCACACTCAGACCGCGACCTTTAAGCTGTGTGCGAGGAAACAGGTCGCGGTCTGTGTGTGGCTCTGTTTCACTCCAGCGCTGTCCTCGAGACAGTCTGCTCCCTTCACCTGATGAAGGCCGCTTGTGTTGTGGCCGAAACGTCGTGATTTTTGTTGTTTTATTTTTTACCTACGTGACTTTACCGAATAGAACCAAAGAGTATGGATCCTTGCAGTCACGAAAGCTTTAAATCTAGAATCTAATAGCATTTACCCAATGGCTCCCAGGATTGGTAGCCTCTCCCAGGTGGATCCAAGCCTTGGTAGTCTCTACCCAGTGGTTCCCATCTCTGGTAGCCTCTACCAGGTGGCTGCCAGCCCTCGTAGTCTCTACCCAGTAGCTCCCAGCCCTGGTAGTCCCTACCTGGTGGCTTGGTAGACTGCCGCTGCCGACCAACTCTCGGGCTCCGTGACGTACAGAATCTGCTCCCAGTTTGAGAGCGCTGGGATGATTTTGAAGGCCTTGGGAAGCTTCCCACTTCTGTATTTTGTTAAAATCTGCAATGGCAAATTTGGAAACAAAACGACTGTTACAAACGTGGCAACCTGCACCGACGTGTTACCCTCGTGCAGCTTGAGAGCGGGCGTGCGGAGGAGCGCGGCGCGAGTTCCCGTAACCTCTCTTCTCTCATGTCCCATTCACCCTGTTGGCTCCAGTCTCGTTCCCTCTTTTGGCCTAAAACCATCCACGTCTAGTTTCGACGTTTCGTAAATGATCGATTCTTCGACATGCGATTCGATGCAGGTATTCCAATCGAAACGATGCCAATCGATGAACTGTTAAATTCCATCTTCTTACCGCTGCCAAATACTCGCACATGCATACAAGTGCATCCTGATGACCCGTTGTCACGGTTGCAACACGTCATCAGGACGCACAGGCTGGCGACCTCGGCCCCTCCTCTCCCCGCCGTCTCTCGAACCTCGCGCACGCCTTTGTAGACTTCGAGCACGCGCGGGTCCAGCGCCGGCATGGGTCGCCCCGTGGCCTCCGACAGCGCAGACGCCACCTCCGTCTGCTTCTCCGTGATCTTCTCCATGATGATGTCCGCCAGCGTCTGCCTGACCGGACGCACAGACGGACACGCGCGTTAACACGTACGCGCGTTAACACGTATGCGCGCACACAAACGTGCATACACAGACACATGACGCACAAAGACCCTCCGCATAGCGTTAACAGACTGTTGGGGCAAGTACTGTTAGCGAGCACTCATGAACATCAGTACGGCACACAAGGGGGGTGAGTGCCCAGCAACCACACCAGGCTGCCTTTATCTCACCAGTTGCAATGTTTAAACACCGCACCAGGTACTGATTTGAGGCCATGTCGACCTAGGGGAGGCCCAGGACTGGTTCAGCTAATCGTCACTGGTGTTGGCCAAGGGAATCGAACCCGGGTCGCCGGGTTCATAGCGCTGCCGCTGCCCACATGCGCGTGCATGTGCTAGCTCGCGTGCGTGTACATTCCCACACAAAACCAGAGATACACACATGCACACACAAACATATCCACTCTCATGAACTACGGCCTCATTGCACAGCAACTCATATATTTAGAATTTATCGATCTTAATTCGCTATGCGTTACATTAAATTAGCATTCATGGGAATTTTTAATCTGCGCATTTCACGGTACTCAAGGTGGTGTGTGCGTAGTGCGTTACTCACACTGTACTAGTTTCCCACACTCTCCACGTTGGGGCTTTGTTCTGGTAAGTGTTTTACTGTATTTTTATTTTGCGAATTATGGAGTATTATTATATAAAATGTTCTATTTTCCATTAAATATGCGACAAAAATGTTTGCTGCGTTAAGCATGATTTTTAAAATTATGATTTCTTCAGGCTGTATTTATTT